AGCTTATGTTTTTTTTTTTCAGACTTTACGAATAAGAAAAGTCAGATGTATTGCAAAACTCTTTGCTTCCACGTTCTCTCCATCCCTTAGTCGTTGACAAATATTTCTATTCTATAAAGGATCCGCAAAACATAATTACGTGCTTAACCACATATATATATATATATATATATATATATATATATTATGCTTAAGCACGTAATTATGTTTTGCGGATCCTTTATAGAATAGAAATATTTGTCAACGACTAAGGGATGGAGAGAACGTGGAAGCAAAGAGTTTTGCAATACATCTGACTTTTCCTTATCGTAAAACCTTTTTACTATTTCTAAAAGTTTCAGCTAATTCACTCTCCATTCTTGTTTAGACGTACGTGTGGTTATAGTTATACCAAGCTCATTCATATGGTTCGATACATCCATACTTGGCATAGGCATAGTCACATTTTGGTTATGTAAATTAAAAAACATGCATCGGCAGAACAGTTAATAACATGCTTACGATTTTGACGCAATAGTAACTGTATCAATCCGCTTATTACATTCACATGGCTATTTAAGGTAAAACCAATGTTCAACAAGATGTATTGCACGGGTAAGGCCAATGGATTAGCTTCACAGGTCTTCTGTTGAAGTACCAATCACCTACAGACTCTGTAATTGTCTGTTCCAACAGCAACAAAACGAAAGAGATACGAAAACGTGGTCAGTTCATTTGTTAGTAGATAGTCTCGTGAAAATAAAGCAACAGATTACGTTACGTTTGTACCTTCTTTTCGATCCTTGTTAAAGTTTGGGAGTGCCATGTCTCTGTTATAAATGTCTGGCGATGAGCATTGCACGAGTTTATGAACATCCCACCGTCTTTGTTCTGATGGAATTCCCCCAATAGCATCCATCAGAGAACTGCGAAAACCTGCAAATCATATAAGATAAATACAGAGCATGATAGTATTAGAAAACATAACTCATGCTCCAAGGAAGACCAAAGATCTTAATAAAGCTGGTAAGATTTATAGATAATCACAAAGGGATCAACAAAACAGAGTTCATGTCTACGGATTGTAATCTGAAACAGATGAGAATTTTGGTAAAGCAAACAGTTTTAAAGAATCAACTTGCTCATCCTGGTGTGACATTAAAGAACTTCTACCAACATTAAAGCAAACCTTGTACAAATAAGTTACAATCAGCATATACATATGAGACTGCCAAGTGGCAATTTGTGTATACTCAATCAATATGGAGACGATATAACATGAAGTCATGAACATTGTGCATGAAGTCCCTATGTGATCAACTACACTAGGAAACAACGCAGTTGGCTTTCCCTGGACATCTTCAGTTTCAAGAAGATGGAAACCTTTAAGGACTCATATGGATTGAGAAGTTTGAGGAAACGACAGCTCCGTGGATGAAGAATTCTGGAGAAATTCAAGTTCAGGTGAAATTCAAGTTGTAACAAGAGGGGTTGCACGGGTAAGGACAATCGATTAGCTTCACCGGTTTTCGGTTGAAGTACCAGTCACCTACTGATTCTGCAATTGTCTGTTCCAACAACAACAACGAAAAAAAAGAGACACGAACCTGGTTAGGTCATTTGAAAGAAGAAAGGCTCGGGAAAGCAAACAACACGTCAAAAGCCGTTACCTTATTTTCTATTCTTGGTGAGGTTGGGGAGTGCCATGTCACTGACATGACTGTCTGGCAATGAGCAAAGCAGGAATCAATGAACATCCCACCATCTTTGTTCTGATGAAATTCCCCTATAGCATCCATCAGAGAACTGCGAAAACCTGCAAATCAAATAGTTTATATATATAATTAGAGTAAAACCACATTAGAACATTTATCTATGCTCCGAGTAAGATCTTATAATTCTCATAAATATTCAACTTGTATCTAAATAAAGGCGAAATATCTATAGCTACTTCACAGCTTGGTCATCTACTGACTGTACTTTGATACAGAGGAGACTTTTGATGATCGGGTTAGAGCTTATCCTTGTTTAACATCATTAAGATCTATTAAGGATTAAAATACCATGTAAAACTTTCATCTGTGCAGCATCACATTCTTTAATATTGAGTCTGCACTTTGCCCAAGTTTTATCTGGATCCGCAGAAGGTGGTACTAAGACATTTTGAATCTGAATGTGTGCTTGGTATTAGTAAGAAAATAAACATAAATTGGAGGAATCAAATGGAAGTAGGCAATGAGTGTTTTGATTGTTGACTCTAACCTGCCAAAAATCGTAGGCTGGGTTGACAAGAAATACCGGAGTTTTTATGTATTTCAAGAATTCGTGAGGAAACATACACTGCAAATATTAAAAAACTAGAAGTCTCAACACTAATTATAATCAGACAAAGAAAGATTATACCAGTAGATGGAAAATACAAAATCAAAGTAATAGACAAAACCTACCTTAGATGGCTCAATTTTGGCTACACATTTCTGATCCAAGCTCTTACCTACTCCCTGGTTGGTATCAACCGCAGCAACCCAGCACAGAACCATGCAAAAATCGATGACATGTTCTTTCGATGAAGAATTCAAGAGAATATATCGCAAAATATGATTTCGACTATTGACAGAAAGTGAATAGGAACCTGCAGGTTAACAACATCATGATAGAAAGACCTCATTGTTGGGTTTCCAAGGACATTAAGCCTGAAAGGAAGGAAAATAGCTTTACTAAGACTGAGAGAGTGTGAGTTTGATTCACGTCGGAAGTAACTTCCAAGGTCTGTGGAGTATAGGCTGCTAAAAAGTCTAACACGTGTGCTTCTTAAACCTAGCTTAGACTTTAAGAACTTAACAAAAGAGCAATGGAATTCATGAGCTGTCGAAAGGTCATGAGGAAAGGAAGTTATACGAGCATAAACATACACGTTGAGAAAGAAGCCTCCATCAGAAACACATTTGACAGCTGCACTTTTTGGAAGATGATCTCGAAAGTAATCACAATGTATAAGAGATGCCAAGCCACCAGCAGAACATCCTGTAAGTATGGCCTATGTTTTCTCAAATTTACAAAAGAAGAAGAAAAATTAAAATGTAGCAACTTGCTTAAGTAGGCGAATTTGACAAATGCAGAGGAGATATATGGACACATTTTCATTGTCACCAGAAGCACATTGAAAAATTCATTTTTAGAAGATCATGGATGTTACCCGTTCCGCATTTGACATGCCCATTGACAACAGTTCATCAATAATAGCCTCCCAAATGAGCTGACCCCGAAAGAAAAGCCGTGTTCCATTCTGAGAAGTGAGAAAGAGAGATTCAAAGAAAACATGAAAGTATACAGCTTAAGTTGCATTCAATAGAATCTGACACAAATTTCTCAGCCTACCAAAGCCCTATTTACCTTAAATTCAGCTTCAGGATGTCCAGCAAACGACGCACCATCACAGTACCGTATCGCAACCTTGTTCCAGTTAAAGAATTCTGCAAAAAAAAAAAAAAAAAAAAGGCGACCTACTTCATATACAAGTAGTCTAGAAGAAGGTCAACTATAAAAGACAACGATGGAGAGAAGCTAATACAGATTCCCATACCAGGGTTTTGAGACGGGTCACTGCTTAAAACACCTTGAAAGGCCACTTCTTGCTCAAAGTAGTTGGAAGAACCTAATTTAGTCATTGCTCGAGCAGAACATGATGCAATAGTATTGCACCAGCCTCCACCCTTGTATATATATCACTCAAATATATCACACGTTCCAAGTAAAATCATCGACTATAAATTGTATCAACAAAAAATGAATACCTCCAAGTGAACAAGCCAGCTTTTGGAGCCAGATCCAGAACCTTCATGGATATGGTACCCAGGCAAGCTTCCATCCAAACAAACTAAGAAATTGAATAAAAATTTCAATTAAAAATCAAAACTTTCAAAGCGTAAGAAAAAACATAGAGGATTAGTAACAGTACAAGCTCCTCTCTCTTTGGCTATACTCGACAACTGCAGTTTAACCAGATCGCTGATAGGCAGAGATCGGTCAACGGAGGGTATAGAGTCTGACGTGGGATCGAAGAAGAAAGAGAGGAAAAATACGATTAATACACATCCGATTGAAGCGACAAGCCAGTCGCTTTTTGCCCATTTTCTACACCGTAGCAGAGAACTAAACCTTGGAATCGCCATTGATGAACAAGCAAAGGGAGCTAGCTATCACTACACTGTTTCAAAAAATACTGTATGTTAATTATATTACATCTGTGGGGTTAGTCGATTGAGCCAGCTCAACCGAATGATTGATACGTAATCGAAAAGTCAAGAGAACCTCATACCAATAAAACCAGGCTAAGGAAACCGAACTTACCGGTTTAAATCGGGGAGCGAGTTGAACCGGACTGGATGTGGAAATACCTAAAGCCTCTTCATGGTTTAGCGGGTTTACATTTTCAATGTTTTGAAACTAGCTATTTTGCCGCCTTGCACGGAGAAAACAGTGTGTTGGAAACGCTTCAATGGCGTCTTCATCGGCAACATCGCTGGTTTCATCATATACCTTCGATGATAAAGACCTAGAAGACGCTGATTTATGGGCGGTGATTGATTCCGCCGCCGCCGCAGCTACTACCGCCGGTAAATCTCCGAAACCCCTCGCGATTAGGTATCCAAACTACAATTCTCCTCCGACGCCTGTTTCGTATCCTTCTCCTCAGTCGAAGCTTCTTCAGATCCCGAATCGTGAACCTAATCTCGGCCGGCGGTTGAATGAGGAGTCTTCTCGTCCGAACAAAATGGCCAGATCTCGCGTATTGTCTGAGGTGAAGAGTGAGAGTCCGATGGCTCTTGTCACGACGGCGAACCGGAATTCGACGCCAATTATCAATTCTACGAAGTTTACTTCGCCGGAGAGTTACTTGTCGCCTGGGATTAGGCAGTCTACGCCCTTCGTGGAGGTTTCTCCGTCAGCGAGCTGCGTTAAGAACGATCCGGTTAACGAGATGCGACATTGCTTGTCCGGGAGCTTTCCTTCAGCTACTCTGTTCAAGGAGTACCAGAATACAGCCATGGCGGTATCTCCAATTGCTCTATTCATTGAATTTTATCCTTCGAAGATTTTGTAAATCCCATGGATTTGCTATGATGATTTGGGAACCTATGAAGAAACCTCAAGCTTCTTAAGATGAAGGATCGTAAAAGTTTTCCTAGATTTTGTTGATTTTCAAGAACAGTTTTGTGCATTGAAGGTGTTCGACGAAATGTCAAGGAATTTACATGATTTTTTTTCGATCGTGACTTGTTTATAGCTTCGTTTCTTCATCAAGAATGTCTATAATACTATTCTAGATCACTAGTTTTATGTTTGCTGATTTTGGATTCACACAACCACTATCATATTCTTATCGTTACATCAAATGCTATGATTTTGTGTAACAATTATTCTAACATGGCTTCATCAATTATTACAGATTCTAGAGAAATCTGATTACACGATGATATCAGGGAAGGCATACATTAAAAAGTCAGGTGAGAGGTTATGCTTGCTGTCTGCATATTGTTATCTTTACATTTGATATTGGTTTTGATGCTGCATTGTATGGAAATGTCTAGGTTGGAGGAAAATTTCGTTTTACTTCAATGTGTCTTATGAAATCAGAGACAAGACTATTGAATTTGACGAAAACAGAAATGTCCAGCGTGCTGAGTTCATTGTCCGAGCCATCATGCAGTAATGTTCTTCTCTATAAACTTGGATCTGATGGTGGTTGAGAAAATAGAGTACAGTGATTAATTGTTGATTAACCTTTTATCTTATGGTCTCACAGTGGAGGGAGATTTGCTGACGGATGGGGCTCTTGTGAGCGACGTGAGAAAAAATTTCTTAAACCAAATCACGATATCCCCAGCACCGCAGAAACCAGAGCCAAAAACCGAGCTTGCCAGGTAAGCTTCCTCTCTAATGCTCTTGGTTACTGAATGTAGTTGCTATGCCAATTTCTCATAGACTATGCTAGCTGAATTTGAAACATCTGCATGACTAGTGTAGGTAAGAAAGAGACTTCGAGAATGAAGTAGTTTAAACTGTCAGTTTTTTAGCTTTAAGGTTCTGCATATATGCTTTCTACCTAGCTGTTTCTCCAATTTAGCCTCTTTAAAATTGCCAGAACTAAAAGGGAATGGTTGAGACAAGACAACACAGTGAGTTCTTGCAGCTTACTATCAAACTGAATGCCCTTTACTGAACATTGGTCTTGCACAATGTTATGATTCCAATATAGAACTTATAGTTCTGAAAACTCATTGGTATAGTTATGATTCCAATATAGAACACACTTTTTACTAATTCAAGCAATGGGTTTAAGGAAAAAAGAAAACTTGGAATCAGAGCGTATAGAACTTAGAAAAACTTATAGTTAGGAGTTTCACGTTCTAAAAACTCATTGGTATTAGCTTCAATGTTCATTCTGCTATGTTCCTACCTCATAATGCTCTAAGAATATCCTTTTTTACCTGCAGGATCTTCTAGGAATTGGTGAATATCGAGAAAGCCCAACTGGGTTTCCACGTTGATCAGTCAAAGATCAAATGTGTTTCCCGACCTTGCCATCACCAAGCTGAATCTTACCAAACCCACACCAACCAAGTCAAGATAGAAAAGGTATGCATATATACGCATCTGTTATTATGCTACAAGATAGCTTGATCCAACTGTTGCCATGGATCTGTGAGTCTTGACTTCATAGGACGAAAACAAATGGACTCGGCTGTAATGTAGGGGATTACGATTTGTATCAAGTATCTATGTAAAATCAACATAACAAATATAACATTCAATCTTATCATTGTTTGGTTATCTCTAACTACTGTTGGTTAACAAAGGACGTCTTCAAAGAGTCGGAAGACATAAAGTCCTTAATTATTGACCTGATTTCAAAAGTTACATCGAACCAGACATAAGTCTAAAAGTATATGAGAATTTGCATCTAATACTAGTTCTGATCTCGACAAAAAAGAAAAAAAAAGTTCTGATGTTGAATAGGTTTTGCAATGAAGTAGGCGTATCTAGTATTTTTTGTCGTGACCTTCGTGATATTAAGCAAAACATCTTCTGTTTAGATTAAAAAATAAGAAACAATCGAAAATTATATTAAAAACCCAAAAATGCAGTATAAGAGAGAATAATATTGTATGTTGCAAATACAAACACAAGGCAGGATCGAACAGAGAACAGAGAAGAAGGTTATTAATCGACCTCCTCGATCTTGGGACCTGCACCTCCAGCAGAAGGAGGAACATCCTCGTCCATTCCTGCTGCAGCTGGACCACCAGCTTCACCACCTTGGTACATCTTTGCTATGATCGGGTTGCAAAGACTCTCGAGCTCTTTCATCTTGTCCTCAAATTCATCACACTCTGCTAGCTGGTTGCCTTCAAGCCATTCAATGGCTGCTTCAATAGCGTCTTCAATCTTCTTCTTGTCATCTGCTGCAAGCTTCTCACCAATCTTCTCATCACGGATTGTGTTCCTCATGTTGTATGCGTAATTCTCCAGAGCGTTCTTGGCGTCCACCTTCTTCTTATGCTCTTCGTCCTCTGACTTGTACTTCTCAGCTTCTTGAACCATTCTCTCAATCTCGTCCTTTGACAATCTTCCTTTGTCGTTTGTGATTGTGATCTTGTTCTTTTGCCCCGTTGTCTTGTCTTCAGCTGAGACGTTGAGGATACCGTTCGCATCAATGTCGAAACAGACAGTGATTTGAGGAACACCTCTTGGAGCTGGAGGGATACCAGAAAGCTCGAATTTACCCAAAAGGTTGTTGTCCTTGGTTCTTGCTCTTTCGCCTTCAAAGACTTGGATCAAGACACCGGGCTGGTTGTCTGAATAAGTAGAGAAGACTTGTTCTTTCTTTGTGGGGATGGTTGTATTTCTCTGGATCAAGACAGTCATGACTCCTCCAGCTGTTTCAAGACCGAGAGAAAGTGGTGTGACATCGAGCAAGAGGAGATCTTGAACCTTCTCGTTACCCTCACCGCTAAGAATAGCTGCCTGGACAGCTGCACCGTATGCAACAGCCTCATCGGGGTTGATGGATTTGCAAAGCTCCTTGCCATTGAAGAAATCTAGGAGCAATTGTTGGACCTTGGGGATACGGGTAGAGCCCCCAACAAGGACAACATCATCGACAGAGTTCTTGTCCATCTTAGCATCACGAAGACACTTCTCGACAGGCTCCATACACTTTCTGAAAAGATCCATGTTAAGCTCCTCGAATCTGGCACGGGTGATTGGAGAGTAGAAGTCGACACCATCAAACAATGAGTCGATTTCAATGGTAGTCTGAGCAGTAGAGGAGAGAGTCCTCTTCGCTCTCTCGCAGGCGGTTCTCAGCCTCCTTAGTGCTCTCGGGTTACCGCTGATGTCCTTCTTGTTCTTTCTCTTGAACTCTTGGACAAAGTGGTTGACCATTCTGTTGTCGAAATCCTCACCACCAAGATGAGTGTCTCCAGCAGTGGCCTTGACTTCAAAGATACCTTCTTCAATGGTGAGAAGAGAAACATCGAAGGTACCACCACCAAGGTCAAAGATCAAGACGTTCTTCTCCCCAACACTTGTGGCCTTCTTGTCAAGACCATAAGCAATAGCAGCAGCAGTAGGCTCGTTGATGATACGCATGACATTCAAACCAGCAATGACACCAGCATCCTTTGTTGCCTGGCGCTGAGAGTCGTTGAAGTAAGCAGGGACAGTAACAACAGCGTTCTTGATCGTGGTACCAAGGTAGGCTTCAGCAATCTCACGCATCTTGATGAGAATCATGGAAGAGATTTCCTCAGCAGAAAACTCCTTATCTTCGCCCTTGTAGTTGACGACGATCATAGGTTTCTCACCAGGTCCGGAGATGATCTTGAAAGGCCACAGCGCCCTGTCACTTTGAACAGAGCTGTCACTAAATCTACGACCAATCAACCTCTTGGCATCTGTCACAGAACAAAAAAGATCACAGTCAAAATCACAGGAAACAATTAATCTGATTAATAACTAATGAATGACACTTCTTAGTTTAATTCCTAAATTAGTAAGTAGCTCAATCTTCAGAATACAGAAGTATAAAATTGAACAATGGCTCTCAGTATCTCCTAAATCATTGCTACGCAATCTTACAGATCTACTTATATCTTAGGATAGTGGAAGAAGATAAAAAAAACGTACCGAAGACAGTGTTAATCGGGTTCATGGCGACCTGATTCTTGGCGGCATCACCAATCAACCGTTCGGTGTCAGTGAAGGCGACGTAAGACGGCGTGGTCCTGTTACCTTGGTCATTAGCAATGATCTCAACACGGTCGTGTTGCCAAACTCCAACACAAGAATACGTGGTACCGAGATCGATACCAATCGCTGGACCTTCTCCTTTACCAGCCATTGTTAATTCTTTGAGCTAAAAAACAGTAAAAATCGAAAGAAACTTTGATTAAGGGGTTGAGTGCGGCTAGGTTTTCTTTCTTTCTATATTTTCCGACAGAAGAGGGTCGAAGGAGAAGTCTTTATAGTCTTGTAGTTGTGTTTCGAGAATGTTCGATTGGCTCGATATGTGACCACACGATCTTTCGGAGGTTGGATCTGACGGTCCCGGGACGATTCTCCTTTTTTGCACTTTTTCCTTTTCCGACCTTTTAAAATATTAAAATAATAAAGGAGGGTTTCAGGTAACTTACCAAGTTGGGTTTGGACGCAAAGCCGTTTAAAACTGTTCGAGAATGTTCGGTTCGGTGGCTTAGTGAAAGTCGGTCATTGGCCGTGACTTATTATTATTTTTGTGTACAGCTTGACATTTCTTTGTGTTCTCATTGGCTTCTTGCGTCGGTCCATTAGTCACCGTCAGTTTTTAAAAAAATTCTGTTTTGTCTGCAAACAAACTACTAGGATGACTAGGCTTGAGAGAGCCAATGGGCTTTTATATCTTGGAGAAAATTTCATGTGCTAGCTTATAACCTATTATTATAAGTTGCATATGATTGGTGATGAAGCCTTGGTTCAAGGATAGAGAGCTATATTATTTGTCCAAATATATAGTGTCGGTGAAATGAGCCCCATGATTCAAGGATAGAGATATTCAAAAAGAGCCCAAAGAATAGTGGTAAAGTGTAAGAGATTAAGGGCCTCTTTTGATGACCAAAATGGCCCAAAATAACAAGTAAAAGAGTTATGCAAAATGGACGATAGGTGTTTTTTCGTTGCCATGCAATAACTGTAGTGTGTTTTTTAAAAAAAATTCCATGCAATAACTTGAACAATCTCAAAGAATGTATTTTAGCAATTATTAATCAACAATTTAAGGAACTCAACAAAAAAAAAAGGGGAACTCATTTTCCATTTGGATTACTTTTAAAAACGAATAATATATTTTTGTGGCACAGAAAGTTGCATCCATGAATGGGAAAATAGAATAGGGTGTACATGTTACATGTACCAAGTATATGATAGTGTAGGACCAAATTAATTATTCCATTCAAATTCCCTCGGGAAGAGGACATAATACTAACCATGAAGCGTGCAGCTTTGTGATAAATGCTCAATCTCTCTACTTGAACTCCAACTCCTGTTGATGATCTGACTCCTCCTGTCTTTCAACACCACTTTTTTCTTCTTCTCTTTTAATTTGTCTTATTCCATAATTAATTTAGTTTTATGTTTATCAAACACTTACCCTTTCTTTCGGTCGACGAAATATCAAACTGGACAACGAAAGGTCGACTACGTGGCGAGGCGAAATAACATGTTCAACACTTGGCAATGGAAACAAATCATCAAGCTCTCGAGAAACTTGGAGAAGATATATAACTACTTTGTCAGTTGTTTGAATTACCTATACTTTTTTTTAGTTTACAGAGTGAGTTTTGAGTTTCCCTCGCACCTAACTAAACGTGTATTACAGCCTAAACCCAAAGTATCTAAAATGTGTATCAGTTGCTTTATTTCCGTTTCCATTCCCCCTTTTGATGTATGGCTTTGCCTAAACCGAAAATATAGCCCTATTGCATTAATGAGTCTAGTTTTGTTTGGTTCCTTTACTACAAAATGTAGAATATGAAATTACTTGGAGCTAAGAGACAGCTGCTCATAAGTCTTAACTCTTTGACGTTAACACTCTAATTCCCATCACAGCTTATTTATACGTAGTCTCCTTGCTCACCATAACCTTCATCTCATCTTTCTCACCATAACCTTCATCTCATCATCTTTATCTAAAGAATAATTCCTTACAAAACTCCACAAAACAAACCGTAAAAAGAATGCGTGATACAACATGGCTCGAGCGACTTGGCCTGGCTCTAAGAACCGTTATGGCTTGTCTCATCGTGAGCTTAACAACTTTGTACGGTCCCAAACAACTAAAACACTTCACAACATTTCCAGCCTTCTCTTACTTGACCACAATCCTGATCTGGCTCTCCGATGCTGAACCAACATACGGCGAAGTACTCAAGTGCTGTGTTGATGTCTCTTACGCCACTTTTCAGACAATAGCCATTGCACTAGTGAGTGTCTTGGTGGTTGGACCAGCTTCACTAGCAAATAGCTTGGTGGCTCCAGTTGCTGTGGCTCTAGCGTCATTCATCGTGGCTTTCCCCGTTTCCACGAGTCTTCTGACTAAACGGATTGCCTTTGGGCAAATTGTTGTCGTCTACGTGACTTTTGTCGTCTTCAATGGAGAGGTGGCTCATGTTTTCATGCTCCCGGTTCATGTGGCGGCCAGTACAGCACTTGGAGCCATCGCTTCTCTCCTCGCCGTGCTTCTCCCGTTTCCAAGGCTAGCTCATAGTCAGGTGAGTCTTGAAAATATTTTTCGTTCTTCATGAATGATAGATGACACAGTCACAAATTATTTACCTTGGGTTTTAAATGGTTTGCAGATGAGTAAGGATTGCAAATTATATGCTGAAACTGCTCTTGAGAGGTTGAATTTGTTCGTCGAGGTCATGATGGCTCGAGACAACACCACAGCTAAGGTTTTGATCGCACGGGCTGCTTCATTATCTGCAGCAGCAAAAAGCATACTCAAAAGCATCAAAATCCACCATGTAAGCCAACTGTCCGAACGAAATTAAACATGAAAATTGAAATATCATTTGTTACTTAAAACAAATACAAAAGAAAATATCAACAGTTAGAAATTTGTAACTCTTTTGGTTTCGGCTCATCTTGTGGGACTGATCAACTGTTTCTGATGAATATATTCTTTGGAAACAAACAGGGGCGTTTGGCATGGGAGCGACCAGATACAAGATTCTTGAGAAGGAAGCAGAAGTTGGATCCTGAGGAGAAACTCCATGCAACAGAATTTCTGATGAGGGGGCTGGAGCTGGCATTGGGTTCTTGCAGTTCCTTTCCTCAAGGCATGACCCGCGATGAACTGACTTGTCTTTTAGAAGGTCCCAGAACACATATCTCTCCCCAGTCACCATCTACTCTCAGGTCCCAAGATAGTCTAGGATGGAATCTTGAGGCTGGGTCTCTGTCCACGACAGCTTTACCGGAGTGTTTCTTCTGGTACTGCGTAAGACTCTTCAGAGGTGATTTCTTATCTGTGAGACAAGACAGTAAATCTGTAAATAGAAGTAACACGGAGGAAGAAACTCAGCCAGAAAACGAAGAATTATCCATAACCAAAAAGGTTTTAGACATTCTTTGTGTCTGGATGGCCAGAGAAAAGTTTGTTTTTGCATTCAAGTGCTCGGTGTCTCTAGGCCTTGCGGTTCTATTTGGTATTATGTATAATAAACAGAATGGGTATTGGTCGGGTCTTACTGTAGCCATTAGCCTTGTAAGCGGGAGGCAAGCAACACTAACAGTAGCAAATTCTCGCCTACAAGGGACAGCGATGGGATCAGTCTACGGTCTGTTATGTTGTTATGTTTTCCACAGACTAGAAGAATTCAGGTTCTTACCTCTGCTCCCTTGGATAATCCTTGCCGTCTTCATGAGGCACAGCAAAGTCTACGGCCAACCTGGAGGAGTTACAGCTGCCATTGCTGCACTGTTGATACTTGGAAGGAGAAATTATGGAGCGCCAACTGAGTTTGCGATTGCTCGCATTGTTGAAGCTTCAATTGGGTTGCTCTGTTTTGTCTTTGGGGAGATTCTCGTTACCCCTGTGAGAGCAGCAACCCTTGCAAGAACCGAACTTACCCATTGTCTTGATGCCCTCTTAGATTGCATCCAGTCACTGGTTCTCTGTTCTGAGCAGAGGAACCAGAAAATGTCAGTGGTTACAGGTTTGAGAAAAAGGCAGGCAAAACTCAAATCTCATGTAGACGCATTAGAAAGGCTTACAGCAGAAGCCTTAACAGAGCCTAACATTCCGTTTCTCCGCCCACTCAACACGGTCAGTTACTACAAGCTTTTGGGCTCTTTTTCGAAGATATCTGATCTTTGTCTCTATGTTTGTGATGGCCTCGACAACCTATCTGGAGTTCAACCAAAACTTGTGTTTCCTTGGGAAAACATCACTCATGACCTGAGAGCATTCCAAGAAAAGCTTAACCCTTCGGTGAAATGCTTAGAAAAGATGGCTTTAACCAAGTCGCAAGCAAGACTCCAAAAGGAGTTGCAGAAGAGAAAGATATGCCACGATGTTGAAGCAGGAGTAACATGCAATGAAAACTACTCAAACATGGAGTTGGGTCCAAGCCAGGAAGATGCAGAGAGGTTTTCGGTTTCTTTCGTAATGCTACTGAAGGAAGCAACTGACAAGATAAGTGAAGAGGTTCTCAAGAGTGAAACTGCTCTATGCTTAAGCAGTCTAGGGTTTTGCATTAGCAGATTGATGCAAGAAACAGTAAGTATTATGGCAGAAATAACCCATACAACAACTTGATTTTTGGAAGAATATTAGAGGATGTTTGGTAACTATAGCACAAACGATTATGTAAGAAACACTTGAGTGTACAAAATTAATGTAAAAACAGAGAGAATTGTAGCAAAATGAAGCAAATCTTTACGATGGTAAAATCCTGCAAACAGAACAATGAACATTCACTAAGCTGTGTCTGCTTTCTCCCTTAAGTAACAATGAAAGAACTCAGGTCTCATGGTTGGTCATTGTATCAGTGAGCTTTTAACACCCAAACAAACATATAAAACCCGGAAATTGCTCTAGAAACAAGCCTTTTTTTTATGTTGAATTGACATGGTCTATGAGACTACAAATTATAGAAAAGAGAGATGTCTCCAGCTAGAACCACATTGTCAACATACATCAAAAACCTTACTGAAAACAGCAAAAACATGTTCAATGAACGACATAATAGTTTCTGACATATCAGACTAGTGTTGTAGAAGAAACCTAACAATGGTTGAATTTGAAGCTCATCTCTATTCGAATTTAGGGTCAGCCATCACAAAGTGGTAGGCTATCACCAGTATGAAAATGAAGATTCCCAGGAAATTGGCAAAGAAGCCCAGATCTTGATCGTCAAACATCTGTAACAATTACAAAATAACCAACCATTGGAGGATATTAGCATAAAGAGATATATAATAAGGCTCATCATGTGAAGACCAAACTGTTTCAGCTATAAAAATAATATCGGCAGCAACAATTGCGGTTATACATATTATGAATCCACAACTCTGGTTCATCACAAAATTGATCCATAGAAACTAGAAGCGGACATTGATTGGATCTGATAGCAGTAAGATGAAACAAAGGCTTTGCTCAGATCACTGTGTAAATACCCAGGAGACTGAAGATCCAATTACCCAAAACTTTCAAGCAAAACAAAATTCGATTACAAAGATCCCACATAAATTATTTATTTACCTTCGGAAGCGCAGAGAATTTTCGTGAAACCTGGAGGAGCAGAGAGAACTCGTGAAATGTGTTTCAACGTTGAAGTCTCTCTGAAGCAGATTTGTTTTAAGCTAAAGCACGACTCCAACGGCGTCGTTTTCTTATTAATTCGCAATTTATTAGATTTGGTCATTATCGGTTTGGCACAAGTCTCATATCCTGAACCGGATAGATTTAAAACCGAAAAATAAAGAAAGCGAAGAAGAGTTAAAAAGTTGAATATGCAATCGGATACATTATAATATGCAATACCATTTCTTTCTTTCTTTCTTTACAATTGAATTGAGAATAATGTTTTAAGCTTTTCACACTAGTCTTCTCCCCAAACGTAAACAGATCAAAGCGTCATTCGTCGTGGGAGAATACTTTTTCTACCTTGAGAGCTAAAAACAGGAAAGAGACAAGTGAGAAACAGACCATAACGAGCATCACTATGACCATTGCTTGCAGTGATATGTACGGGCTTAGGAAGAACACTATCGCTATCGCTGCGCTCTGCCATACTTTTAGCTGCGCAAACGCTCCTTCCTGTTTCCCACAAGTACAAACAAAGGATAGTGGGTTTAGAGGAATTTTTATCATGTTTATTCAGTGAATGAGACTCTTGCTAATGATATTTACCGTGTCATGTTTGAAGAGTAGTGCGAGAAGAGCACTGATTTGAGTGTTTAATATTCCGTCACCAATTCCTAATATCGCCGCCATTATCAGTGGGTAAGCTGTGCCAAGTATTCCGCTTGTTTGCCTACATCATCATATCACCATAGTTTAGCTTCTTCAAAGCACTTGTCGGTTGTGAGTTTCACACAATTCCTAACTCTGGCACAATTTCACATATATGACAAAGAAGTCGGCATGATTCCAAAACGAAGTTGCTTGATCAATGTCACAATATACATACCAGTTACCTATAATGAAAGTTCTATGAGGAAACCAGTACTCTTCCCCTAACGAAGACAATGTTATAGACTAACTATGTCTCTATTTGTGAAGTTGTTAGTGGTGTGAGTAACGAACCTGTACCCAAGAAGAAGCCAGAGAAATATAGAAGCTTGAGCAAGAGCTCCACCAGAAACTATGAAGGTGATTGATGACAAGCCAGAGGTAAACCGTCCAGCAGTCATTGAACACTAGAATGATTCACAACATGAAAAATAAATAAGAATTCACATCATATAACCCACGCAAGTAAGAAAAAATTTCCTTTAAACGTACAACTGCATCAAGAGCTCCGTAGACTGCCATTGCCCCACCAACACCTGAGACACCAATCGCCGGTGTAACAATCTCCTTTGTAAACTCAGCCCTATCGAAGAGAAGACATAACTTGTAAGAAAAATGAAAAATGTACATTCTTTTTTTTATGCAAAAAAAAATAACAAACTTTTTCTGATTTAGCTGACAAGAAATGAAAACTTATTTAAAAGTTGGAAACAACTATTTAATTCTGAAAGCCCACAAGGAATTTTATGAAAGTTATCTAGGGGACGATATTATTTTGTTCTGCAGATTAAATCCTAAAGACTGAATGAAGTCTGACTCCTAGGTGAACGCCCTAACAGTACTTTATTTAATCATATCCTTGTGACAAAAAGGAAACACGAGGAATGTATATACAGCTTATTTAGATACATACCAAACAAATGCTTGTTGCAATCCTGAATATGCAAGTAGTGGGACAATCAGTAGCATACGTATGTCGAGCAAAGGAGTGATTATCATTCTCGGAAGAGAAACCAAGGAATCAACTAAGCCCACAGGTGAACCAACATCTTCTTTTCCATCTTCTCCATCTATTTTCCGAATGAAGAACATTAGTATTGTTCCTAATGTCATACTGAAGAGAAACACCAACATCAATAAGGTAGTGCCACTGGTGCTTCCTTCCTACAGTCATGTCAACAAGAAGAAAAGAATGGTGTGGGGGAATCCAACTAGAATGGGAAATATATAAATAGTCACTGTGAAGGTGGTATCATGATCTGCTATTAAATACTTCAGCCTTAGAATAATTGCATCGTTGACGCGATGAAAGAAACTAAAAAGTAGAAACCAAAAAGGGAAGCCATCATGACAATCACTAAGACTCTAATACATGCTATTGGATTGCTGTCAACAGTAGAAAAAGTTTGTACCTTTCCATCTTTCAGCAATGCAAGTGTAATGAGATTCCCAAACAGCTATGAAAAGATTAACATGAAAAGTGTCAAGAGGAATAATTTAAGGTAGTATACTAGATTCTGCGGTAAGCAAAAAGAAGGGGCATTAAAAAAATATAATCAAACAAGCATGCACCTGGTGGCAGGCAAACATAGCCCAAAACTCCCCATTGAACACACCAATTACCGAACCTTCATGCACACCATGATCTTTAGCATGGCTTCTGGCAATTGATGTAAGGTATGTTCCCTAATGTAGTCAAGAAAAATTTGAGTTAAGGTCTTGAATTCCAATACATATCCGCATGATTAACATTGGAGAACTGGAACATGTAGTTGCACCTGGCCAACCCATATTATTGAAGCAGCAAATCCAAGGTATAAAGAGGCTGGTACCATAGTAAACCTAGAATCAAACACCATTTGTCAAGAAAAAGTGTCGAAAGTGAGTGAATGAATAAAAGATTCAAATACATAGAGACATTCTATAGCCAAAAGAAGCAGAAGCTAGTCATGAAGACAAGAGAACAGATGAGAATACCATGATGGCTTGAGATTCGCAGCGACAAAAAGCCAATACCCTGTAGTTCCTAAAATCAGAGCATTCTTTGATCCCATTGACCGGACAACCAAAGAAGCAACCATGGAACAAAACATGAAGGACACATACAATATCCCAAGAGAGATTGTTCCCAAATCCTGAAAGAATCAAAACAACTCAAAAACCACCAAACATACACGCAAAGAAACCAATTTAAGCTGTGTGATCCTCGAACAACAGACAATATTGTGTCTCAACATAATTAAAGACAACAACCTCACGAGTCCTGCTCCTAAAATTCATATTCCTCACAAGATCCGTCAATACAAAATGGCAACCAAATCCCAGCCAGCAGAGCATAAATGTAAGTTACACAATCATCAGAAATTCAAAAATTGCATATAACCTCTACTATTTGCTACTGATTTCCCCGAATACAAATATAAACCAATCAACTTCGACACTGGAGGAAAAAAGTAAGATCGAGGGGGTACCTTATTAACAGTAGTTTCGAGGTTCTGAGCAGCACCATAGGCGAGGAAGATTAAAAGAAAAGAGATGCTGAGGATATGAACATCCCTTGTGTAGCTCTTTCCAGTTCTTTCCTTACGATCGTCACCAGAGACCAGCGGCGCCTCCTCGTCGTCTCGAGAATCCATGGAGGAGGAGTGATCCTTCCAACACCTCACCGGCTACAGCTCCGGGAAAGATGAGCGGATGAGCTCCACGAAGAGTGAAAGTCAAACCCCCGTAGAAAGAGAGATAGATTCCTACGGAATACAAGGAGTCATTTCAGAGATTTGGAACTTCCAAGACTCAATGGTGACGATGTTTTGGTACAGTTTGATTACGGTTTAGTTTATTATTAATCCGGTATAATTTGAAATTTCAGTTTTTACCGGTTCGGACTGAATTGAGAATAGGATTAGTTGGGCTAGGCCCATTTAAGAGAACCTCCAGATATAGTAATTTCAGTTTATTTCCCGGGAAAACTAAAGAAGAAGAACCCGATCAGATATTCACAAAACCGTTTTCAACTTTTACTTGATACACCCAAAAGATTTAGAAGCCCTAATCTCAGCATGAATCATAACGTAAAATCAATATCGAAGACTGCCGTGATTATAAAATATCAAAATTGATCCGAAATTCCCAAACGAGGATAATACAAAAATGATAGTAGAATAAAAGAGTATCTAAGAACTGGTGAATTTAGTGACGGCTTTGGTACCCTCAGAGACGGCGTGCTTGGATAATTCACCGGGCAACACGAGCCTAACGGCGGTTTGGATTTCCCGGGAAGTGATCGTGGGTTTCTTGTTATACCTAGCCAAGCGCGACGACTCGGTAGCGAGTTTCTCGAAGATGTCGTTGATGAAACTGTTCATGATTCCCATGGCTTTTCCGGAGATCCCGATATCAGGATGAACCTGTTTCAACACTTTGAAAAGGTAGATCTTGTACGTCTCTGTGCTCTTCTTCGTCTTCTTCTTCTTCATCTCGCTCCCTCCTTCTTTCGCCATCTTCTTCTCCGCTGGTTTCTTCTCTGCCTTCGGTGGTGCCATTGATTGATTTTTTATGACTCTTAAGATTTTCTTCAAATGTTAATGAATCCGAAATATCAATTGTCAATCTTTATATAGAAGTACTATACGAACGTGATTGGTTACTTTTTGACCGCCAGAGATCGCTTACGTGGCTTCTTCATTACATTCGTCGAGAGGAACCGATTATGATTGGGCTCCTCTAATGGGCCTTGGCCTTTTTTATAATTACGGCAGCCTTTAATAGTTACCTCGCTTTTTCGACGAACTGGATATTGCTCTGTTCTTGTCTTTCCCAATTCAGGGTTGACTTGTTTGATTTCTTGAGTGTTTTTATCAGAGGCAAAAATGGCGTCTCCGGCGAAGTTTCAATGCTCTGTACCAAAGTTAAACCTTCAGATCAAGCTCGAGAGAAAAGCTTCTCAAAATCTTTCGTTTCCCCATTTATTCAGAGACAAAGCAAAGTCAACACCAGTCGTAATCCGAGCTTCATCCTCATCTACTCCGTCGAATCCCAAACCATCGCTTCTCAAAACTACCTGCATCACACTCACCGCAGCCGCGGCTCTGTTCTCAGCATCCTCTTACCTCATCTCCAAACCAGCCGCGACGACTCCCGCTACTACCGTGTTAGAGGCGACGCTCGAGAAGCACCTCGAGACACAATCGAACGATGTGGAAGCTTTACTATCTCTCGCGAAAATCAAATTCAAGTCCGATAAATATGAGGAGACGATAGAAACTATGAACCGTCTGATCGAAATCGAGCCATACGAACAAAGATGGCCGGTTATGAAGGCTCGGATCCTTTCCTACTTCAGCAAAAGCGAATTAGCAATCCAAGCTTTCGAAGAGATTCTTTTGAGTGATCCGACTCGCGTAGATGCTTTACATTACTTGGTGATGGAGTTTTACGAATCTAAGCCCAAATTATTAGAGGTAGAGAAGAGGATCAAATACGCGATTCGAAGATGCAAGAATAATAATAATAAGAAGAAAGATATTCGCGGTTTGAGAATGTTGATCGCGCAGATTAAGGTAATGGAAGGAAACACGGCTGAAGCGATTCGGATTTGTGAAGAGCTAGTGAAGGATGATCCGGAGGATTTCAAGATATATCTGTTTCAAGGATTGGTGTATACATTGATAGGGAAGGGAGACGAAGCTGCGAAACAGTTCGAGCGAGTTGGTAGGATTCTTCCGGAGAATAGTCCGTACCTAGAGACTATGGTTAACACCAAGGAATGGGGAGCCATCGTAGATTACGATAATGTCTTCTGCTATTTATCCACCTTTACTAAGCTTTTTGTGGCTTCCTTGTTTGGGAAGCGAGGAGATGACTGAAAAAAGTACATTACTATTTAACACTCTTTTTATATGTGGTGTTTCTGATCTGAGTATTTTTATTTGTAGAAAGATTGGTGATTTAAACAATTTATGTGACTTGTGAGTGTTTGAGGAGGCTTCATTTACTTACTTAAAGTCTTATGTACATATACGTTGCCCTGATGTGATTGAAACTAAGACAAATGATGCATACGAAAAGGTCACGTTCGTTCGTTTAGATCCTTTTAGGCTTCTCACTTTTGAACTCATCACATCCCCCAATTCTTTTGATGCTTTTGGTTTTTGGCAAAGACAGAACACAACATGGATGGTAAAGAATGCTCTGTTTTGTTCAGTTCTCTAATATGGATGTTTAATAAGTCACTGAAATATGAAAAAACCTCAGGTAGTTTTTACATCGATCAAATTGTTAGACAGTAAAAAAACAAACGACCAACAACAAATTGCGCGCTAAGGCCCATTTAGTATCATCTTTAAGTCATGCTATGAATAAATATGGGCTTGACACGACCCAGTTAGGAGTCTAAGAGGGCTTTTGTTTCTCTCATAAAACAAAGAGGCTTCGTATATAAAATCCCCTCCCCTCAGAAATTAGGGTTTCTGATTCTCGGAGCCAAAAGAAGAGAAAGCAGCCGCGCAGAAAGTTGAACACAGGACAAGCTCACGATGGGTACGGCGATGGCTATTCCCTGAATATCTTCTGTCTGTTTTGTTTTCAACGAAGGATTACGTCTGATTAAATCATCCATTTGTTTATGTTTTCTAGCGAGGATTAAGGTTCACGAACTGAGGGACAAGTCGAAGAGCGATCTTCAAAACCAGCTCAAGGAGCTTAAGGCTGAGCTCGCCCTCCTCCGTGTCGCCAAAGTCACCGGTGGTGCTCCAAACAAGCTCTCCAAAATGTACGTTTTCGATATTAGCGTAATCATTTCTAGATTTAGAGTGTCTAAGATTCTAAATTAAAATCTTCGTAAGCTATTCTCTTATTTGAATTTGACAATAGCTTTGCTATGCCCTTGGAGATTAGAAAACGGAGTTTATAAACGTTAGCTTATATGCAGTCTATTTATCCTCTCTAAGCGTTTGGTGAATCCATTGTCTTGTCTTGAATGTGAATGTTGTTTTGGTCTTTACATTTCCTGGTTTGGATTTGAATCTGAACATGTAAGTTGTGTTTTGTAATATGCAGCAAGGTGGTCCGTAAATCCATAGCTCAGGTTCTGACAGTGTCCTCCCAGAAGCAGAAGTCTGCTCTAAGAGAAGCATACAAGAACAAGAAGTTGCTTCCTCTTGATCTTCGTCCCAAGAAAACCCGTGCTATCCGCAGACGCCTCACTAAACACCAGGTCTGTCCATTTTCCTCTAATCAAATTCAAACACCACTCTCAATGTGTTTTGGTCACTGCGAATTCTAATATTCCTACCTTGTTTCGTGGCATAACAGGCCTCTTTGAAGACAGAGCGTGAGAAGAAGAAAGAGATGTACTTCCCAATCAGGAAGTACGCTATCAGAGTTTAATTTTATTTAGCTACTAGAGAGACTGTTTCAGCTTTTGTTTTTGATGGAAACTTGTTGTTCTTGTTCTTCACTTTTGTTATCAACTCAAACAGGTTCAGATACTTTGATTTTGGTTCCTATTGATACTTTGCTTTTATCTTTTCCAAGTTTTTTTATAATTAGATGAACTCGAAGATAAAAAATTAAACAACTCTCTCTATCTCAGTATCTCAGCTTTAATACGACATGAACTTAAGAGTTAATAGGGTAACAATATGTGGTTTTGTTTTACTGGAAATTTTGTTCTGAATTTGATTTTAGTTCGACTGTCTACAGTATTGCTAAATTCGAAGTGGCAAAGAAATGGATGTAAACATCCTCGGTAAATTGTCAATACTGTTGAATTATATTTTGGAGAACTTTGGTTTTTCTAAGTTTTCCCATCTTAACCTCGAGAGTAATATCAAATGTGCGAATACTGTGTAATCAATTAGAAAAAATGTCCTAGTAAAAATGTTTGTGGAAAAGCAAATATAACAAGAGAAAATACAGTAATATGATGATGCATTGTTTACGATAGCACAAGCAAAATATCAAATGTGTAAAGAATACAAAGGAATCTGTTAGAATGTCGTAATATGGAACTTCCCACACAGTGAAGTCGGAAGTCGGAACCATGATGCCATGCATCATTTACGATAATAACGTCTGTTTTCGTCGGTTTGTAATTGGCCAGTTGACCTTTTCTCCCCCACAAAAATAATAATAATTTTTTTTTAAAAGGGACAAAACATGACAAAAACGTTAAAAATCCAAAACGACCACAGTGGGAGTCGAACCCACGACCTTTTGATCCGAAGTCAAACGCGCTAATCCACTGCGCTATGCGGTCCCTCGTTTGTTATTCATTGTCTATCATATATTACTGTTACTCTTCGTGTTTCGGTATTCATATTAGAATTTTTTTCCCAGGGGAAAAAGTTACCAAACGTGGGTTTACAAACAAAAAAAAAAAAAAAAAGTTACCAAACGTATACAAAAAAGTAACGAAAATGCCAATATCTCTTGCAGAAATATCTGAATGGTACCACTCAAAAGACAAAATTAGTATAGTTTGGCTACATTAATACGGAATACGTTTTTAATTTTCTTGGAGTAGAAAATTATTTCATTGATCAATATTGTTTCTGTTTTAAGTACGAATTGTAGTCGGTGGAAGGATTAGAAAAAGTTTACGCGGTGCTAACTCGTAATGTTATGTGGTTCCTATCAAAAACTTGTATTATGTGGTTTTGTTTCATATATTGATTTTGTTTTTTTGAAAGCAATGCCACTATATATCGTGGAGTGTTTACATTCCAAGCAAAATATTTATAGAATCTATATATTTATTTGCTTCATGATGATTAGTGTACCATAAATATTCATAGAAAACAAAAACAAGAAAAATGAAAAATTTCACATGTTTTTGATTACTCTGGATATATACAAAAGTCATTGTATATGAACTAATGCTTATATTGCTAATTTAAAACTTGGATCGCTAGATTATTTAATGCATGATGTGTTAATTATTGAAGACTTGGAGCCTAATTTAACATTTAATTGGAATATAAACTTTATAATAAAAAATAATAATTATTAATTGCTTTGTCCATTTTTTTCAAAGGGGAGTACTTTGTCGTGAGTCATGATCGGGACTGGCCTGAGTTTACGTGTACGTCCGGACAAGTCATCAAAGAACAACCGTAAAAACTTGGAAAACTATACGATGTGTAAATTGTTTCACAGCAACACCAATCATAACCTTGGAATAAACTGAGCCAACAAATACGATGTCTATATCAAGTTATCGAACTCATGCATGTGAATATTATGAACCAAAAAAATTAAGGATCCATGACTAAAGGGGGTTCATCTACGTTGCCTTGTCAGTTGATTTGAACCCTCGAAAGAAATTCAAAGATAATGACGATTTTTTCTTCTTTTAATAATTAATTTTGAATCTCTTTTTCAGATAAATCAGACATATATAAAAATTCAAATCTTCTTGAAATTTAAGACGTTTAGAAATGGTTAACAATGATCAAACTATAATTTATTAATCCACAAATGAATTTAACCACTAGACTATACTATAAAATTGACATACTGTGTTGTTTTTCATATATATGATCCGGTCCGAATATATAAGGAAATGGTCTCATTTTTTACATTTTTGAGTTTATATCACAAATTTACATTTTTGAGGAAGTTTCTAAATGCTTATCTTCCAAGTAAGCTGTTATGAATTTTTCACAAATTTACACCTAATTAACCATGAATCTTTTGGTTTGTACAGTATGTAGGAATATTATTTATATACACAAACCTCCGCGTTATACATACATAATCCTTGACAAACAAAGAAGCAAAAATACATTTTGGTTTGACGCATTTTTTGCGTATCATCTTTTTTCGTAGTAAAAATATGGTTCTAGATTACTCTTGAGTCTCGACTAAATATGGTAAACGTATCATGGTCGCTATATTCTAAATTGAGATAGTTCAACTACGATTCATAAAACTCATTAATCTAAAAGGCAAAATGAAAAAAAAAAAAAAAAAAAAAAAAAGAACCAACGGGGACAAGTCGATAAGTGATATTTCGGTCGCTCTTTATTTTCATTTTTGTTTCCTGCCGACTACTATCCATTAGCTATTTCAATATTGGAAAATTAAAATAGCTATGTTATATAAGTAATGTAGTGATGTTGAATGCCTAAATAGCTTCGTTCTACTCTTAGTAGTAAAAGCACAATCGACTTTGTAAATATAAAAAACAGTAATACATTAGGGCTGCTATATATTGTTGGGTTGACGAATATATATGTCTCGAAGAAACAACGTATATATATATATATATATATGTATATATATATATATATCAGAGCATATGTATCACTGTTTGATTTTATTAAGGCCTTGCAAATATTGAAAGTTGAATTTTGACTTTGATAACAAGGAAGAAGATTTTGATCACACTATTTTAAAAACCATTTTGTAAAACTGGAATCCACATATGAATATGGATAGGCTATATATCTTATTAGCTGTATAAGCTATCTATCTATAACAAATTTGTTGACAAAAAAAAGTTTATCTATACATAGTTAGTTAACACGTGGTTGAAAAATATGATTTTATTAGTCCATTGTATCATTATATCGAAGAGTTTGAATTTCTAACTATATATCTTACGTATCAATGATGATCATTTATTTACAATAAGTAATTCAACTATAGCTGATCTGGTAGCTAGGTTGTATATGGATGAGATTGAATTTAAGTAATGATGTGATTTATTTTTATCAAATAGTATAATTTTTGTTGTTGAAAATAGTATAATTTGTGAACATAGCTCTTTAGGTAATGAAAACGTTAAACTGGGAACCTCACATACGTTTTCAATATGAAGAAAGACAACAAAATAAGTGTGCATATCTTTCAAATCCTAATAAGAAAAGAAAGAAGATTTTGTATTTGGTAGATACAGATATTATAAAAATTTCCTGGTTGTAAGAAAATTACTCAAGTCGTTATACAATATTTGCGGTCGGGGTGTCAACGTCTATAAGTTTTTTTCGACATGTATGACGCGATCCATTGACCTATTCTTTTTTTTTTTAATCATTTAACTTTCCAAATTCAGAATCTATTTTTCCGCAAGACATATTGAGATTTGTACCATCCACAATAAGTAACGAAATAAGATTCTAGGTTTTGTAATCGACGGACAGCTCATGAGTCAAGAAGCTTACCACTTAGATGAGATCATATATATATATATGCATTCGTTGTTTGTAAACGCTTACGTTTAAGAGTGACTTTGGTAATTCACATAAATAAAAGTTTAATCGTCAACACTTAGATTTATTTCAAAATTACTTTCTAAATATAGTCGTAGTCGTAGACTTATAAATGGATTTACTAAACGGTAAAAAGAGTTGACGTCACACTCAACAAAATCATAAAATCCCCAAAGTAAAACAAAATCGACAAAAGTCAAAAGGTCAATAACAACATTTTTTCCTCCACACAAATAATAATTGTAACGACGTCGTTACAACGCTGTTTGATTTGTATTGGTTTCTTCTATAAATACCCCTTTCAACGACTAAATCTTCTCCTCTCATCATAACTCTTATCACCAACTTGCAATCGTTACAAAAACCATTTTCAGAATCTTTCTCTCATCAACGACAAAGACTTAACACAAACTGAAGTCTCTAGAAATTTCCACGACGACTCGATGACTAGGAAAGCGATGATTAACATCTGCTGCGTGGCCGTGACGCCGTCGGACCAACAGCCTCCTCTCACGTTAACGCCTCGCCAGAGTTTGGAATCTGCGGCCATCTATGGAGTCATCGAGTCTGCCGCCGACATCATCGAGAGATGGAACACTGAGAGCTCCTCCTACGCCAAAGTTACTTCTATGTTCTACGAGAACAAACCAGAAGCCATGATGTTCATCGAACGAGTTAAGGATCTTCAGAAGACGATGGATGTACTCGTGAGTGAGGATCCAAACTCGGAGAGGCTCATGAGAGCTCATAAACTCATGCAGATCGCTATGAAGAGGTTACAAAAGGAGTTTTACCAGATTCTTTCGATGAACCGTGCTTATCTTGATCCAGAATCTGTCTCTACTCGATCCTCACTTACCTCAGCGAGATCTAGCTACTCAGACTTCCCAGAAGACGTGGAAGACTCACACAACGGCAGCGTTGACATCATCGTGGAGCTGGAGGAGGTTTCTAGCAACGTCATGACGGAGTTAAGAGCAATCGCTGAGTGCATGATCGGTTCTGGTTACGCTAAGGAGTGTTTGAGCATATACAAAACCATTCGTAAATCAATCATCGACGAAGGGATTTATCGTTTGGAAGTTGAGAAGACGAGTACCGGGAAGGTGAAGAGAATGTCATGGGAGGTTATGGAGTTGAAGATCAGAAGCTGGTTAAAAGCTCTCAGTGTTTCCATGGAGACTTTGTTCAGAGGCGAGAAGATTCTGTGTGATCACGTCTTCGAATCCTCTGATGCACTCAGAGAGTCTTGCTTCAGCGACGTGTCACGTGACGGTGCGCTTCTTCTCTTTGGATTCCCGGAGAGCATCGCTACCAAAACAAGCAAGAAACACTCCCCGCCGGAGAAGGTTTTCCGGCTGCTTGACATGTACAGCGCCATCGCCGGAAACTGGCAAGCGATTGAATCAATCTTCTCATTCGACTCGGTCTCCGTCGTGAGATCTCTAGCTCTCAAGTCTCTCGTCTCTCTAAGCGAATCGATTCGATCACTACTGGTGGATTTCGAATCCGGAATCCAGAAAGACTCGTCCAAAGTGGTGGTTCCCGGCGGAGGAATACATCCTCTCACTATCTCCGTCATGGATCACCTCTCACTCCTCGCTGACTACAGCAACGTACTCGTCGATATCCTCGCCGGATCTCCACCGCCGGACAGATCATTGCTACCGGAATCTTACTTCAACCTCTCCGAAAGCGACGACTCGCCGTCGTCGGAGCTGGCGCTGAGATTCGCGTGGCTCATCCTCGTCCTCCTCTGCAAGATCGATCACAAATCGAACCACTACAAAGATTTCTCCGTGCAGTATCTCTTCCTAGCCAACAACCTCCAGCACGTGGTCTCACGTGCACGTTCCTCGAACCTGAAGCAACTCCTCGGCGAGGACTGGGTCAAGAGGCACTTCGTTAAGATGAGGCAATTCGCCGGTAGCTACAAGCGCCTGGCGTGGGGACCTGTGGTGTCTTCTTTACCCGAGAATCGTACGGTGGAGATGACGCCGGACGAAGTGAAGGATCTGTTTCGAAAATTCAACGAGAGCTTCGAAAACGCGTATGGTAGACACAGTGTCTGCGTCGTAGCTGACCCAAAGCTACGAGACGAGATAAAAGAATCGATAGCGAGGAAGCTGGTCCCGATATATCGCGAGTTTTATAACACGAGAAGCTCTGTCGTCTTGGCGGGAGCAGCGGCCGGTGGAGGAGGGAACGGGAAGAGAAACTTGAGCACAGTTGTCCGATTTACCCCTGAAGATATCGAAAACTATCTGTCTGATTTGTTCTTAGAGAAGGGTAGTTCGGGAACTTCACCTTCCTCGTCTCCTTCCTCTTGTCGGTCACGGCCATCTCTATCCTAAATTAGAAAAAAAAAAAAAAAAAAGAGTTAATAATCGTCTTAAATGTAAAGGCAAGTACTACTAAATCTTTCATGCTTCTTTTGGCAGTGATTGTTACGCAAAGAAAAAAAATACCAAATTTCGTTATTAATTCCATAATGAATTATGGACAACGACATAAAGTAGAGATAGCTATATTTTTTGTTCTTTCTTTGTTACAGTTCACGGTTCTTTATTAAGGTTTCGTCTTCGAACATCAAAGTAAGTATGTCACACCTTTGTCTGTAATGTCTAATGATACAGGGGATTGGGATTATTTAATTTATCCCATAACAAAGTCGCAATATTATTTATCATTTTTATTTGAAAGTAGAAACTCTGATCCATCCATGGCGAAGACACGTGTAAGGAGAGGATGAGTCAAAGGCCAACGGCACATTCTTCCTCATATTTCTCTACGCGTGTTTTGTAACCACAATGATGAGTCAAAGGACCTAAATCGATAATTATTGTTACGTAACAGATAAATAATTATCTTAGTTTCTGTTCTAACGACGCCTCCCTGCGTTTGGATTCAGTGGTAGGTTCTTCAAAAGGGGAACCCTTTCACCACTACTTCTTGAATCCATATCGGAGGCGAGGCGTTTCCGATACTAATGTAATGTAACTTTGTCCTTGACATCCATTGTTTTTTTCTCCTTCAAAATTACTGCAACGACATTTGAGAATATAATGCAAGAGATAAGATCAAAGATGAGAAGCAAGAGCGGTTTTAGTTTTTTCTCTAAGATAACTTCTTCTAAGAAGAGGCCTTCTCTCTCGATACCTAGCAAGAGTTACGATTTGTCAGGGATCGACAAAACAACCGATAACGCTGCTGAGATCATCGAAAAATGGAACACCGAGTATGTTTCTCCGAACAAATTTTATTCTCTGTTTTATGAGAGCAAGCGTGATGCGAAGAAGTTCGTGAAGCGCGTTAAGGAATTACAAAACGCGATGGATTTATTGATTAGAGAGGACCCGAATTCAGAGACACTCCTTAGAGCTCAAAAACTGATGCAGATTGCTATGAAACGGCTTCAAAACGAGTTTCTCCAAATTCTAACAATGAATCGTGCGCATTTGGATCCTGAATCTGTCTCCACTAGATCACCTACCTCTGTCATGTCCAACGATGAAGATGCTTGGCACGAGTATCGTTCGGCTGGAGATTCCATCATGGAAGTTGAGGAGGTGTCAAAGAACTCTAGGAAAGAGCTCAAGTCCATTGCAGAGTGCATGATCTCTGCTGGTTACGCAAAAGAGTGTGCCAGTACTTATAAATCCATCAGAAAATCTATAGTTGACGAATCCCTTTACCGTCTCGGAGTTGAGAAAATCAGTTCTTCCAAAGCGAAAAAGATGCCATATGAGGTTGTTGAGTTGAAGATGAAGAGATGGATAGAGGCAGTTAAGGTCTCGATGAAGACCCTCTTCACTAGCGAAAAGAGTCTTTGCGATGAAGTTTTTGAGTCCTCTGCTTCTCTTAAAGAGTCTTGTTTTAAAGACATCTCTAAGGAAGGAGCTCTTCTTCTGTTTGGATTCCCTGAAATAATTGCCGTAAGAGACAAGAAAAATCCACATATGAAGAAGATTTTTCCGTTACTAGATATGTATTGCGTGATCACAGAGAACTTGCTTGCCATCGAAGTTATTTTCTCGTTTCCATCAATTTCGGCTGTTCGAACTCAAGCTCATATCTCACTTAGCCGTCTTAGTGAGTCGATCCTTTCGCATTTGGTTGAGTATGAATCTGAAATACGTAAAGACTCGTCGAAGACGATGGTTCCTGGTGGAGGAGTTCATCCAATGACTATCTCCACAATGGACCACATCTCTCGACTCTCGGAATACAGTAGTTCTCTCATGGACATCCTCAACGGATCAACATCATCTTCTTCTAAATCACTGCTTCCAAAATCTTACTTCAATGTCACGGAATCCGATGAATCTCCAACGTCGGAGCTAAGAGTACGATTCGCGTGGCTCATTCTTGTTCTCCTTTGCAAAATCGACGGCAAATCTGAGATTTATAAAGACTTCTCCATGCAGTATCTCTTCTTAGCCAACAATCTCCAACACGTGGTCTCAAAAGCGAGCTCCACGAACCTGAAGCAGCTCCTCCGCGACGACTGGATCACAAGACATTTTGAGAAAGTTAAGCAGTTCGCTAAGAGCTACGAACGGCTAGCATGGGGTCCATTGGTGTCGATGTGTCCGGCGATAAGTACTTCTGAGGCATTGGATATGTCGCCGGAGGAAGCGAAGATGCAATTCGAAAAGTTCATCGAGAGCTTCGAGAACACATGCGAGGCACATAGCGAGTGCGTCGTACCGGATCCAAAACTATTGGACGAGATGAAATATTCGATCGGGAGAAAACTCTTGCCGATATACCGCGATTTTTACAACGCACATAGAAACGCAGTGATATTGGTAGGAAGAGAAGATGGGTGGAATGTCCGATATACCCCTGAAGATATCGAAAACCGCTTGTCGGAGCTGTTTTCCGGCAAGGGTATTTTGGATAATCGATATGTTTGTACTGCAGATTTATGTCTTGTTAGAACAGCTACTTCTCCAACTCCCAGACGAAAGACACGATCTTTGTCATGCAGAAGATTTTGAAGGGGGAAAAAATAATTTTTCCTGTCATTTTTTTTCTCCCTAATATTATCGTATGTAATAACATCTTTACTGATGTGATTAAAAGTGTAACGCTTTACGACATACAAGTAACACGGTATGAGGTATTGTAACTACCATTAAATCGTCATTTAAAAAAATAAATGCGACGATGAATTCGCCATCATTTTCATATTCGGATAATGCATTAATTCACCATCATATATTAGAATCTTTGGTCCTTTGTGGTGGGGTGAGGACCATTATTAGGTATAGACTATAGCTAATAATCCAAGTCAAGTCGTGTTAACACGATTTTTAGAGACCTGAATACCACACATTCTTTTGTAGAAACAATCAACGTAAGGGCGACTTGACAGAGTCGAAGAACCACACGTTTTATTGACTGATGACAAATAATATATACTCGCAAAACCTTAAAAGTTTGCATCACAAGGAACATTTGATTTAATTTGTTACATAAATGAATTTATATGTTATTCTTTACTTTTAGGAAATTTATTGGGGTTTGATGATAATATTCGTATGGACGTAAAATATTCCTCCCAAGGGAGATTGAACTAGGGAAGAAGGATTCAATCTTCTTTAGAGGGACTGAATCTTATTAAGATAATCCACACAAGCTCACAAATATAGGCAATCTTTTTTCTTATTACTTGAAACTATAATATATCAACTTTGAATTATAAAAGTTCGAAAATCGTATCAAATTATTTGTCTTTACACCGCCTCATATATATATATATATATAAATTGATACCTATCGGGTGGTCGGAGGTTAGTCCAGAGGGAGGGGAAGGTTCTGCCAGCCGGTCCCATGTTTGAGATAGTTCTTGAGTTTTTCGCTTGGAGTTTCGACGGTCCATTCAGAATAGTGTTGGGTCGGAGAGAATACGTGGCGATCTCCACCGTCCTGGCTAAGACAAGACTTGGCTCCGTTCAACAACAAATCCCCTTCCGATCTTACGAACCCAGCTCCAGGTTTCTCTTTATCCGCAGCCTAATCACCAAAACCAAAATAAACATATAACGCTGATTAGCACCTTATTCCCAAAAAAAAGAAGAAAATAACTTAAGAACCTAATTAAAAAATACAAACTAGATTACCTTCTCAGTGATGTACTTAAAGACGGTCTTCTTCTCAGCAGCTTCATATATGTTACACTGAGAATATATCTATCAAAACAACATAAAAATGTATGAGAAAACATATATACGAACTGAGATGATGGGATAATCGTAAAATAATTATGTTCATCTAGGTTAAATTCCTGTTACGGACCTGAGATTCGACGCCGGCCCCAACGGCGTAAATGGACCAGTGACGAGTGTAGTTGTTGAAGAGATGGACTTTTGCGAAGCGAACGCGAGGGTGTCGCTGACGCGTACCGTCGAAGAAACAGTGATGTATCGTAACTCTTATGCATCGGTCTGTCACGTGACTTGTGTCCGCTCCTATCAACATCGTCTTGTTGTGATTCATGAAATGGCATCTGAAATATATTTTGTAAAAAAACATTTAACACAACAGATTGAGACATATATCTAAACTAATACAGTAATATGTACATTTAACACAATCGATAGATAGATGTTTCCAACAAATATCTAAACTATTCTTTTATTTTTCATGTTTGGATATATATTTTTGTTTTTATAAAAAACTTCCCCTGTTATCCTAGGAATAAGACCGTTACACAACCATTATAACAACGATGCAGAAAAGATTAAATAGACAATTGAATTACCTTGAGACGGTAATGTCGGTGCTTTCTCGTGTGATATCAATCAAACCATCATAATAGTTCTTGAGACTACACCGATCAATCCAAATGTTGTGCGACTTTGGTTTGATCTGAATGGCGTCTGCGTCTGGACCTACACCGCCTTCAAATTCAAGATTGCAGATTATAACGTTTTCACACTCTTTAAGCCTTAACCCTTTTCCCGTTATCTTCACTCTTTGGCCTCTTCCGTCCACCGTTTTGTGCGACGATACGCTCACAAAGGAAGAAAGATTGATCGTTCCGGACACATCGAACACAATCCATAACGGTTCTGGCCTCCTACAAGCCTCTCGTAACGATCCTGGACCCTCGTCTAGCAAACACATATGATTGGTTTTATATGAATGATTAACACACAAAACAAAAGTGTCCAGAATTGTGAATCTCAAAAACAAAATATGTGCAATTTTATGCGGTTTTGAGTTTCAAAACTAATTTACTTTTATCTCACTTATGTGGGATTCACAAACTTTATATATTATTTGGTAGCAAGCAAAATAGAGAATCTAGATTTGTAGTTCAGTACAATTACAGAATCAATCAACAAAGACAAATGAAAAACTATTACTAAAGATTATGAATAAAGAAGTTCCAAAACAGGAAGATCATCATATGAAGCCCAAGAAACAGAGGAATATTCTTAGATTATAAATGAACCAGGGGGCTGCTAAAAATTTACCAGCTAAAGAAGTGACGCGGCAAATAGGACCATTTAGACCACCAACAGCGGCGCAGCCGAAGCCCTCGGCCTTTCCGGCGAGAGAGCGGAGGCTGGAGTCTACGTGGCAATAAGGTTCCACCGTCATCGATGAAGACGACGGAGCTGGAGGATATGTGTAAGGTGGGAAAGGGGCGTTGGGGGTTTCGCCGGGAAAGCTAGAAGCGCCGTGATGGGATCTGTGAAGGCCGTGTAAGTTTCCCATATTTATATAAATAATTTAAGAGTAACGATATTAATTTGGGGACAGTTTCAGTTTTTTTTTTTTTTTCGTAATTTTGGGAGATAGTAATTGATCCTCCATCTGTTTCAACTGAAACTGAAAGGCATTGATGAATGAATGGTTAGCTTATTAAGCTTTGTTTTTTTTTTGGTAGAAGCTTATTAAGCTTTGTTGCAACTGTGGCAGAATAATCCTTTTTTTTTAATTGTTGTTGCCGACAGTAGCATTCTTTTTTTGTTTTTCTTGAAAAATTTATTTAATTAAATATTCCCAATATATAACGTTTAGGGAAATGTTTGGATATTTTTATCCGACAACTTTAAATTTGTTAGATATTTACGCACAATACATAAATTCTTTTAAATTATATTTTTATATATGTGTACTTGTAATATGATTCATTTCTTTCTAGATGTGGTTTTGTTTTAATGCTCACTATTTAAAAATGAACTTCTTCTACAAAAAAAAAAAGAGAAAAAAATTGTTATAAAATGTTGTCAACCACTTTAAAAACTACTCTCTATGTTTCACAAAAAATATCATTCTAAAATTTTAATTTTGTTTTACAAAATGTGTTACTTTAAATTTTCAATGTATTTTTAACACAAAATTTCATAATTTTATCCTTAATCTAAAATGAATTAAATTATTAAACACATATTAAATAAAAACATATATATGTATATATATGTATATATATAATTTAATGTTTTCTTAATATGTGTGCATTGTGTTAAAGTGACCTCTTTGTGAAACATAAGGAATATTTTTCTTTTGTTTTTATAACATCTTGCATTACTTTATCATAGAAATATATATAAATATATATTCGACGTTAATGAAATGTTCAAAACTGATATTTTGTGGTAATTTGAAATATCCTAAAACTAAAGGTATTTTACTATTATTTTTTAGTAGAAAAAAAAACCTAAAAAGTGATACACTATGCTTTATGTGAAGCCCAACAGGCCAATACACACACACACACCAAGTTGAGACTCATCAAAACCAAAAACGAAGCCCATTAACTAACCAATAATTTTCTAGGAAAAAGTATTTCGGATTGAACGAACAATAATGTATGAATTTAAATCGGAACGGCTCGCATGAAATGCTGACGTGGCAGACATCCTTAACTGAAGAAGAAGGAGAAAAGACAACCCAAATTACACCCAAAAACAGAGAGGTGATTAAAGCTGCTTCTCCTACGATTATCAGATCGCAAACCCTTTTCGTGACACTGACGTTACCGGTGACCCGACGGCTCTTAACGCTTATTCATCTCTCTCCAACCGGAGAGTCGTTGGTCAAATTCTTATTTTACAACATCATGATCCCGCTTTGAAATACAAACCTTCTCTCTGTTTTTTCATTTCTCTCCCTCTCTCTCATAATGGGATCCAGAATCGAAGAAGGTACAACGATTTCTCCTTCTCCTTGTTTTTAGATTTTCTGACTTAATTCGCTGCGTTCATTAGAGAACGTGTGATATTAGATGGGATCTTGGGATGGTTTTTGTATTTTTGCAAATGGATTTGTCGTTTCCGTGATGAACAAACAAACAAATGTGTATTCATATCATTTATCTGACTCTCGCAGAGAAGGAACTGGAACCGGATATGGAGCAGAGTTTGGCGACGGAGCCGGTGAGTCCTGCAGGGAGCACTGTAGCTGACCTATCCCCAACTCCAACCCCAAGGAAGACTCTGGTTCTGTCTAATTCGGGTAAGGCTTTAATGGTGTCGAATTCTAGCAAGTCCTTGGGGCTTTCCAATTCCGGGAAACGGTTTGATCCTACGGGTAAGAAGAAGTACGTTAAACAGGTCACCGGACGCCACAACGACACCGAGCTTCATCTAGCTGCTCAACGAGGAGATCTAGCTTCTGTTAAGCAGATTCTCAGTGACATCGATTCTCAGATTACTGGTACCATCACCGGAGCTGATTTCGATGACGAGGTATCACAAATAATGACAGCTGTGGTAAACGAGGTGAATGAGTTGGGAGAGACGCCGCTTTTTACAGCAGCAGAGAAAGGAAACATTGATGTTGTCAAAGAGTTGCTTCGTTATACGACCACAGAATCTCTTATGCAGAAGAACCTTTCTGGATTTGACGCTTTACACATTGCTTGTAGCCAAGGCCATCGAGGTAAGTCTTTATTATGTAAATCAAAACCTTTTTGAAGCAAATGATATACCGCATCTTTCTAATTTCTAACTGCGCGGGAGCTTGCTACTTTAATGCAATGCAGCTATTGTCCAGTTATTGCTTGAGCATGAGCCTCAGTTAAGTAAAACAGTAGCTCAATCAAACGCAACACCACTTGTGTCAGCTGCGACGAGAGGGCATATTGAAGTAGTTAACGAATTGCTTGCGAAAGACTCAAGCTTGCTCGAGATTTCTAGATCCAATGGAAAAAATGCGCTTCACCTTGCTGCGCGTCAAGGTCATGTAGATATTGTAAGAACGTTACTCGATAAAGATCCGCAATTAGCTAGACGAACAGATAAGAAAGGCCAGACGTCTTTGCATATGGCTGTGAAAGGAGTTAGCTCACAAGTCGTGAGGTTGCTCCTTCGAGCTGATCCGGCTATCGTTATGCTTCCTGATAAATTCGGTAACACTGTGTTGCATATCGCTACCCGGAAGAAGAGAGCAGAGGTAAAATGATTTATTTTTGATTCTTGATTGTCGAATTTTGAATCTTGATTCCTTTATCTTGAATCGCAGATTGTGAACGAGCTGTTACAACTTCCGGATGCAAACGTGAATGCGCTAACACGAGACCATAAAACCGCATACGACATTGCTGAAGGACTCACTCATTCAGAGGAAACTGCAGAGATCAAAGAGATATTATCGCGTTGTGGTGCGCTAAAAGCCAACGAATTAAACCAGCCAAGAGACGAGCTACGGAAAACAGTGACCGAGATCAAGAAAGACGTTCACACGCAGCTCGAACAAACCCGAAAAACCAACAAAAACGTCGACGGGATTGCCAAGGAGCTGCGGAAACTTCACAGAGCTGGAATCAACAATGCTACAAACTCAGTCACAGTTGTGGCTGTCCTCTTCGCCACGGTTGCATTTGCAGCCATTTTCACGGTTCCCGGAGGGGACGACGACCACGGTGTGGCCGTGATGGTTCATGCAACATCGTTCAAGATATTCTTTATATTCAACGCGATTGCGCTCTTTACTTCCTTAGCAGTAGTTGTCGTGCAAATCACGCTTGTAAGAGGAGAGACTAAAACGGAGAGACGTGTGGTGGAAGTAATCAATAAGCTGATGTGGCTCGCCTCTGTCTGCACCACTGTGGCATTCATTTCCTCATCGTACATTGTGGTTGGTCGGAGAAACAGATACGCGGCAGTTGTGGTAACGGTCATAGGAACTGTGACCATGACCGGGATTTTGAGTATAATGACATATTATGTTGTGAAATCGAAGAGGACGAGGAAAGTAAGGAAGAAGGAGAAGAAGAAATTTGCTAGAACTGGGACGAGTTCATGGCATCATGCGAATCCGTCGGAGACTGAGTCGGAGGTTAATCCAATTTACGCTATCTGATCGATGATGAATGATCATTAATTCATTATTTCTTTTTTTGGTTTCTTGATCTATGTACGTGTAGTGTTTTATATTGGAACTATGTCTTATACTTTATACACAAGGAGATTGGAAAACACGTATTTCTTGAAAAATGATCTGACAATCAATTAACAAGTTATTGTTGCCTGCTAATTGTATGTGAAAGTGAAAGATTGAAGTCCTTGAAAAATTGTCTTTTAAAGTTAACTACTTTGCTTTTCCAAATCCAGACACATGCATTTGGAACTTGGATATATAGTTTACATATTTGAACCAATCAATCAAATTGTAAACTTTTTAGTCAGACATATACTATAAGCTACGATAAGTCCAAGAAGCATTTGGGAATTGCCTTGAGAATCATTCTCAACTAAATAAGGTTTTGTTTTTCTTTTGGGTATGTATTATAGACTATCTGATCATTTATGTCCAAATATAATGAATATTTTTAAACTTTTTTTTTTTCTTTTCTGTGTAAGCAAGAGCCAAATTACATATAAAATTATGTCTTGTACAGAACATTGTCGCAGCTTATATAGCATTCTTTCCCTACTGTAATAACTATTAACTCCTACATGAGACATTACAGTGTAGAGACAAGTTCCCGTTCTCTCTTGTCTACAAGTTCCAGCTCTTTCCTGTCCACAAGGTCATATAATAGGCTTAGATTCCGAGCCGCCATGGTCGACTCATCTGCACCTGGTTTTAGAGACCCCGAAAGTTTCTCCTATTTGTAACATGATTTCTTTAATCAACCTCTTCTATTGGTAGTTTCCAGAAGTTCCATGGGTTATAATCTTCCTGTGAACGTGTAAGAAAACACTTAAAAAACCATTGATGAATCTACAGTGCATTATATTTGCTAAAAGATTATAACTCTAGTTACCTGCTCAACAAGTGAAGTTGGAGGGAACATGTCGTTGACAAGAGTATGAAGTGAAGTGTAAGACTTTTTGACATCTATGCGATGTCCTGTTGCCACTTCTCCCTATCCATTTTTAAACACAGAGTTATCACTCAGTACACGCACAGAAACAATCATTCATATCAAAATTCTAAGAGATTGTGAGTACCTTTGGGTTGATTATGAATATCTTCCCCTTTGGGATTCCCAGTTTTCTGTAACTCAGCTCATCGGTATCTCTGTTTCCAAATCCAGCGTAGAACGGGTTGTAATCTGCAGGGAAGAGTTTCCTGATATCCTGTACATTACAATTGTAGAAGTTGTTCAAATCTACAGTCCGCCATTGGTTTTTAACTGTGTTCTCTTATTCCCAGAGGAGAAATATATTTACCTCCAAACATGCAATCTTGAATTCATGAGGTGCTCTTCTTATAACTGTTATATGAGGAAAAATAAGAGATTTTTACTATTGAATTTAAATAACGCTGAAGTGCCACAAAGAAATCTAGAAGGCATGAAAGATTAACCTTCGCGATACAATGCTGGAAACAGCCCATCTGGTGAAATGACTACAGGACCGGTGGGCAGAGCTTTTCCGTCCTGCAAGCCAGTGAAAAATAAAGATTCCATAAGAAGCAGAGAGAATTATAATAACGGATTACACATCATTCTTTCAGCTCCTTGAGCTTCTGTTACTTATGAGAACTAGGTATAAATGACGTGTCAATTCACAAGTAAAACGATCTCACTCTTACCTGCTTCAGATTATTTAAGAAATTTCTCGTTAGATATGCCTGAACGATGGCACGAGCGCTCAAAAAGAGCAACTGATATCCATTCTCCTAAAAAAAACGAAACAATGTGAAGCATAAAGTGAGATTCATACTTACAGGGTAAAATAATTTGAGATACAAACTGATTATCAATTTAAGAAACAACCACTTCAACCAACTGTATCTTACATATGGCAGTAGTGGATCTCATGTTTTTCCAACATTAACTGTGAGAAGCGAGATTGACTTAAACCATGAGCAATTACCTTTATGGCAGAGAAAAGCTTGGCTACACCAGATTGTGTCCAGTCCTTTCCAATGAAGGGCATGAACTGACCTAACACATCAGATCTGCAAAACACACAGATCATCACATGTAAGTCACGATACTTGAAATCTAATATTATAACATTTAAGTTGCAATAAGGATCCAAGCTGTACTTAGTTATAGTTCCATCGACGTCTGAAATCACTATTTTGGTGTCCCATCTCCACCGGTAAATATGTGCATCGACCTAATAACAACCACAAAGTATTTTAAAACTAAAGATAGAAGAGATTTCCCTGATGTGCCTTCAGATTTTCAACTAATGTAACCATCAACAAACCTGTTGTGTTCCAAGAACTCTTGTTGAGAAACTAAAAGTTATTATATTCTGACCATCTTTCAGATTCAGAGATGCGATCTGTTCATTGGTAGGGACATTGGTTCTCACAAGTTGTCTACGTGGGGAGTCATGGCGACTCTCTGTGGTTGATTGTGCTTCCGGTGAGTTCTGTAAGCCAGGTTCGGAATCAACAAACAGATCTTCTTCGCTTGAGGAGTTACTTCCCGTATGCTCAATTGTTTTAACCCTTCTAAAAGGAATAGGCCAAAGTCTCCATCTTCTTCCAGATGAAGGAGTTATTGTAGTTTCATCATCCTTGGGTATAGGCGATTTATTTTCCTCCACAGAAATCACATCATCAGGCTGGATATCTAAGTCTAGATCAAACACGGCTTTCCCAAGCACAATCCGAGCAGCTTTCGTCCACGGCATATAAGTTTCTCTAATCCTAACAACCAGATTTTCACTTTCAAGAATTGATGTTGCAGAATTTACATACTCTTCCATTGAAATCCGATGTGCATCAAAGACTTCAGCAGCTGCGCTGAGTCCCATACCCTGACGAAGCTCATCCTTGCAAATTGATAGCTCGTATCCTGTAAAGTTAAACCACTGTTAACAAAACGCAGCTACTAGTCATAGTTCAGACCAACAAAAGTTAAAGTTCCTTACTCTGATCTGTATCAGGTTTTCCTACGTCGAAAGTAGAAGTCGCACCCACTGAAACTACACTCTTCCCGTCCTCGTTATCCTCCTCAGTTGGTTTAGATGGAGTCAGTTGCTCATCGTCCTCCCTCGTTGAATCTATAGAGACTCTCTCAGAAGCCTGATCCTCCAAATCTATAATCCCGACTTCCTGGCTGTTAATCAAGATGGCCTCCTCAGATGTTCTTGGCTGTTCATCCCTACATTCTGAATCAGCATTAGAATCAACGGATATTCTGGATTCCTCGGTTGTTTTCACTTCTTCGGTTGTTATTTGGGTTGTAGAAGATTCAAAACTATCAACAAGAGTATCTACTGTTTCAATAGTCACTTCATCTTCACTTCTTTCATTTTCTGCGATGGTATCAAGTGGAAACTCACCTTCTTTTAGATTCCGATCCTCAAAAGTAGGACCTTCTTCCTCCGACTTCGAGATCTCACCAGTCTCAGTCAGCTCTGACTGCTCCAGATAGCTCCCACGAAGTTTTCTTTCAGCATCATGAGAATCTTTTTCAGAATTATCACGAGAATACGAATCTGAATCGTTACGACCATCGTTCGCAGTAGCTACTTTTTCAGATACAATATTAGTAGTGTCAGATGACTCCACTTTGCTGATATATTCAGTATCCCACGGAGTCTCTGATGATGCAAACTCAGTATTACCTTCACAAAAATCAGTTCCATCACCAGGGGCCAAATGAAACTGAGGAGTATTTAACCGTAAATTCTCAGCCTCCTGTTCTGCGGCTGACACAGGGGCCGTTAGTATATGTCCATCAATACTGACCAAAACCACCTCAGAATCTGAGCCTTGAGAATCCCCATAATTTTCCACATTTAGATTGTCAAACCGAGCACTTCCATATTCAGAGGTTGGAGAAGGCGGATCATCCTGAAAATCATAAAATCTCCTATTACAATCAGACTCGGTCCTCTCAAGCCGATTCAAAGGGTCGAAACCCTCTCGTAATTCCTCAACACCAGTGTCAGATAAACTGTGCTCAAGTCGAAAACCCACGCCTTTAGTTTCAGTACCATTGTTATTCTCAGACCCGGAAATCAAACTGTTGGCGTCATTAGCTGCAGGATCAACTTCCCTGATGAAATATGCTTCACCAGAATTATCAAGATACATGTGGAAATCGGCTTCGGTTCCATTAACAGCAATCTTGACAAACTTCTCAGCGCCTTTGAGAACACCTTGGAACTTACCAAACCTGACATACCAAGGGGTGCTGCGGAACGAACCATCCTGTTGTTGAACAACAATGACATCAATAGCACCACCAAAGGGATGAAACGGTGTGGCAACAGAGTAAACACCTTGAGAAATCAAACTCCCAACTCTTCCAACCAAACTCATTTCATCAAAATCAATTGAGAAAAATCTTTAAACTTTTACTGTCCTAATCATATACAAAAACTAGAAACTCTCTAAAGTTTCTAGACAGTTCAATTCCAGCCTAGCCTGCAGATGAAACAAATCCAACAAGCCAAAATTAGAGAAGACAAAAAAAAAAAACGAAAAACCCACAAGCAAAATCAAATCAATAGAGAAACCATTAATAATGTTCCGATTACAAGTTTTCCAACCAGATATCGAGCATGCAGCTTTTAACTATTCCAACAAACATCAGTTGCTGAACTAAACCCAAACAAGAAAAATAAAAATAAAAATGTTGGAGAAGATGACATTTTTCCAAATCTCGGAGGCGGAGAAATCGCGATAAACAAAAACAATCCGAATTCAACTTACAGATTAGGAACTTTGAAGCGGAGAATCCAAGAAACGACGAATCTCGATGCTCCGAAATCGAGATTCTTCGATTGAAAATGAATGAGATTGTTTATTACGAATTATATATATCCTATTCTACAAGTTTCATTGAAATATTTTTGGGGATAGAATTCTCGGGTTCCTGAAAAAAGATTCTCGGAAATAAAATCAAAGTCAAAAAAAGGATTTGTCTGTTTGCCTCGTCGATCGATTGTATTATACCAGTGGGAGAAACTTACAAGAAAAAAAGATGGTTTTTTTATAACCAGAAAAATATTAAATCCGCCATGACTTAAACACACTGTAATTGCTTATATAGGTAGATAGAAAAAGAATTAGATAGATGATGATGAATGATGAGTCGAGTCCTCCCTCTCTCCTGAGAAAACCCAGGGAGGGAGTATTACGAGAAGGGTCTATGGCTGGCTTTTGCGTAATTTACTCCATCTCTTTGAGGGTACTTTTGATCTTTTCTTGTCTAAACCTGCGAAATACTTAAATTTAAACAAATTAGAACAAAGTGCTCTCAATTAATATTTTTTCTTTGACTCAAATACGAACATGATAAATGTTAAACTAATGCTTTGGAGAAATTACTGTATTGCATAAAGTTCCTAGAATAGATATAGAAAATGGATAGTCGTGGGAATATTACAATGAATCGAGTGATCCACTTATCCACACAAATAGCATAATGTGGTATATTCTATCTCTATAACGTACAAGTTAGCGGTTTATATATATATTTATTTGAAATTGGTTTTTTGTTAATTAGTATTTTTTTCCTATCATGTTTTATCAATCACTCTTAAGAGTTTTAGATGTGTCTAATAAGCATAGTCACAAAAATCACAAGTGTCTTTGTATGACAAGGTTCTCACCTAACCCGTTTTCTTCTAAAGTCAAAACCATTTTTCCATTTAAAGTTATCGATTCATAGTGTTTGGTCACGATAATTTAATACACACATACGTAAAGACTAGTTAACTGTTGGGAATATTAAATCGCGGGAGAGATGTGTGTAGCCTTGTAGAGTTGTAGGGATGAAGACAGGTGCAACGCACGTGTTACACATTCTCTTACCCAAAGTACAGTACCAACTACCAACCGTTGTCTTTCTCATTAGCAGCATAGCTCTCTATCATTTAGGCCCAATGGGCTTGGCCTAAAGTTCGGTAAAGTCAACTAACCCGAAGGACGTGTCGTCGTTTTGTTTCCGCAGCTTGATATCGGGTCTCAAACGCCATTCTCGTTTCTCCCACAAGCTTGCAAAAACCACGAGAGAAGCATCATCATCGTCCTCTCTCTCTCTCATCTTTACTGTTACTGCGCGAAATGACGAGATCACCCTTCTTCTTCGTCCTCCTACTCCTCTTCGCCGCATGTATCATCACTCGCACGGCGGCGGAGATCAAGTCTCTCACAATCTCCGACGACTCTAGGCCGATGATTCTCTTTGAGAAATTCGGATTCACTCAGTCCGGCCATGTTAGCGTCGCTGTTTCCTCCGTATCTGTAGTATCTTCTTCGTCTGCCCTGATCCCTGATCCTTCGAGGCTAGGCTTCTTCCTCATGTCAGAGGAATCGCTTCTCCAAGTAGTCTTAGAGATCCAGCAAAACCCTAACTTCTGTGTACTCGATTCCAATTACGTCCTCCACCTCTTCACATTCCACGATCTCTCTCCTCCGCCTGGTTCCAAATACGAGCACTTGTACCCGGTGATTTCTCCCAACGAGTACTCTCTCTTCTTCGTGAATTGCGTCCCCGAAACCAAAATTTCGATGAAGGTTCGAACGGAGATGTACAATTTAGATCCGAACGGCTCTAAGGATTACCTCCCTGCCGGTTCTACCCGATTACCGGGATTGTATTTCTTCTTCTCTCTCGGCTACTTAGCTTTCCTTGGTCTCTGGGGTTATGCTTGTTTTGTCAATAAAAGAGTTGTCCACCGTATCCATGTTCTCATGGCCGCTTTGCTTCTGATGAAGGCTCTGAATCTGATCTGTGCCGCCGAGGATAAACACTACGTGAAAGTCACCGGTACTCCCCACGGCTGGGATGTCTTATTCTACATTTTCCAGTTTCTTCGCGTTGTTCTTCTCTTCACTGTGATTGTCTTGATCGGAACTGGTTGGTCCTTCTTGAAGCCATTCTTACAAGAGAAAGAGAAGAACGTGTTGATGGTTGTTGTTCCACTTCAGGTTTTGGCCAACATAGCTTCCATTGTGATTGGAGAGACTGGACCTTTCATCAAAGATTGGGTTACTTGGAATCAGATTTTCTTACTTGTAGATATAGTTTGCTGTTGTGCTATCTTATTCCCCATTGTTTGGTCGATACGTTCGCTGAGAGAGACTTCGAAAACCGATGGGAAAGCAGCTAGGAATTTGGCAAAATTGACCCTGTTTAGACAATTCTACATTGTTGTCATTGGGTATTTGTACTTTACGAGGATTGTAGTGTTTGCGCTGAAGACAATTGCAGCTTATAAGTATCGGTGGGTGAGCAATGCAGCTGAGGAGATTGCAAGTTTGGCGTTTTACATGTTGATGTTCTATATGTTCAGGCCGGTTGAGAAGAATGAGTATTTCGTTTTAGATGAAGAAGATGAGGAAGCCGCAGAGTTGGCCTTGAAGGAAGATGATTTTGAACTCTGAAACAGGTCAAGGACTTTCAGCAGTGGACGTTCGCTTTACCTCTCCTTTTTGTTTTTTTCTATAACTTCAGAAGTAGTTTACTTGCAAAAGGGAATACCTGTGTATTGTTCTCTTATATGGTAAAAGCTTGTTTGTCGTAAGACTTATTTGCTAGTAAGGAGAAGATCAGTGCCTCTGCTGTTTAGTACATGTATTGTCACCTAACTGAATCTACTTTACTTCAAATTTGTACATTTTTTCAGCTCATACTCCTTATTACTTGAGACTGGAGTTCGCTTTCTCGAGGACATTTGCGGCATGCTTGGCTGTTTTTTAGCTGCTAAAACTATACTTTGCCTCGATTCGTAGTGACTTAAACCACCAAGTGCAATATACCATCGACTTATTCAATACTTTAAATCTCCACTAGTATGCAACGATTATTGTAAGATTTTGAGGAAGCTAACATAGACATTAGTGAAGTTATTGTCTATCCCCAGAGATCACATGTACTGCTTTTTATTAGTTTATGATCTTAGTCACTGTCGTTTGATGAGGCTTTGTCTCTAAGTCATCTTGCAGTGTGATCGCCACAGCAACTTTCATTAGAAGGTATTAAAGTCGGCTCCATTTTTTTGTTTCAGTGGTCGTTATAGTCAAATATATGAGCTGAGGAAGATGATTAACTATCCAATATATGATCTTAGAGGATACATACTACAACTATAGTACATACAAGCCATTAATAAAAAAGCTACACAGAGAATCTTAAATTTACAGAAAAAAATAACTCTATGTGATTAGTCCCTTTTCTCGTAACAACACTTCCACGGCTCGTCTCCCGGAGACCAAAGCCCCGTCAAATGTAGCAGAAGTCATGTAATCACCGCACAAGTAAAGACCTGTCCTGACCCGCGGACTCTTAACCAAATCAGTGGGTGGGCATTGGTTCGGCTGAGCGAACTTTATTCGGTACGTTTTCAAATGTTTCCATGACATAACCGAAGACTCACTGAACCAACCAGAGAGTTCTCTGAGAACCTCTGTTGCTAAATCATCATCGGATCTATCCTCGAACGAACCGATCAACGATACCGAAACCAGAGCCTTTCCCGGTGGCGCGTATGTCCGAGCAACGTTCGTAGAGAAGAACATGTTGTTGATTATACCGGTGCTTGACCCGTTGAGAAATAGAACCGGGTCTTGTACCGGTATCTGATTCGGGTCAGCTGTGAAATAAACGCAAATCGTACTCCGAGCCGGTTTAGTTGGAACCGGTTCTCTGATCCCCTCAAGAAGCTTATCCGCTTGGTGTTGCTCGACGGCGACTATGACACCTAAGTCAGCCTTCAAAACGCCACCGTCTTGGAGTCTCACGCTAGGAGGATCCGAATCCGATCCAGTTGGATACTCAATCGAAGCGACCCTTGTGTTGAACAAGACGGAATTAGCTGGTAATTTCGCGGCCAATTGGTTAGGGATTTCTCCGATTCCCATGGCCGGAAGTGTGTTTTCTCCGAGAGCAAGACACCGGAAAATGAAATCGAAGAGCTTCGAAGTCGTCCCGAGGTCTCTGTCGAAGAAAATTCCGCCGAAGAATGGTCGGAAGAATCGATCAAGGATCGCTTCGGAGAAACCAATCTTACGGAGGAGATCAATGGTCGGAACCTCATCGGCGGCAGTCAAAATCTCTTGGTCTGACTTGATCAGAACTCTAGCTCTCGTCAACGCGATAAGCCCTTTGTCCACGACGGATCCGATGGGGTTCGTGAGAGAAGCCACCGAATCCCAAAAATGTCGGAGAGGATCAGCTACGGTGTGAAATTTTCCGCCGTAAAAAACCTTTGCTCCGGCGTAGAATCGCTGCAGATCCAGTGCTTCATAATCTAGAAGCTTTTTAGCTTCGGGATATGCAGAGATGAAAATCTGAAACCCTCTGTCGAGGAAGAAGCCGTCGACGATGTCTGTACGGACGCGTCCACCGACGCCGTCAGAAGCTTCTAAGAGTAGGAATGGGATTCGTTCGGAGGTTAGCCGAGTTGCGGCGGCTAAACCAGCGAGTCCAGCGCCGATGATGATGACGCCGGTTTGGTTCTTTTGGTTGTACGGCCCTTCGGCGGAAGATCGAGCTCCAGAAAAGCGTCGATATCGGAGAGTTGCATGGCCGCGGCGGTGAGGGAAGAGATTAGAAAAAGATGAGGTTGGGAGAGAGATCGCCAGTGGCATTTTTAAAGTTTGGATAAGGTTTTTTTCTCATTCGTTGAACTTTATTTTACCCGGGAAAATGGTTTTGTCTGGAAAAAAACAAAAAAAAATACGAGCATGGGATCTGTGCCGTTGATGTGGAACCAAGAAATCCTGACCGTCAGATATTTTTCCTTCTCTTTTATGTCTGTTTCGTAGATCTGACTTTGAGGGTAGCTCAGTTTCGAGGGGAAGACACCGAGTGCGGCGAATTATCGGATCCAGACCACAGGTACGGCATTTGTCGGAATGTTTTTTTTCTCTTCCATTAATATGCTTTGATGTTTTGATGTAAATCCTTGTTCGGGTCAAATCGGGAGGTCATGGAAATCTATCAATTTATTTTACCTAAATACAAATTTGATGCTATTAGATGTCAGAACTCTGTTTCCGTCTTCCTCTTGTCAAGACTATCGCAAAGCTGATAATGGCGATGTTGATATGTCTGCTGATTGAACCACCCTTCCTTTTTTTTTAAAATTGTAGCGTGAAGTGAAGATGCCTCGCTATGACGATCGATACAGCAGTTCGCGTCTCTATGTTGGCCATCTGTCATCTCGAACTAGGGAACGGGATCTTGAACGGCTCTTCAGCAAATATGGAAGGTAAGATATCTGTTTTCAGGGATTCTTTTCGGCAAATACAGCTCTCTTTTGTGAAAGTTGTGAACTTAGTCAGCTTTGTTTTTAGATTCACATCTTTGGTTCAACTCATTATAGCTTCAGCTTTGAAAAATGGTTCTCTTTTGTGAAAGTTGTGAACTTAGTCAGTTTTTTACTTAGGCAAAGCTATGGTTTTAGATTCACATCTTTGGTTCAACTCATATTAGAGTCGGAAACCTAAACCAGGTCTGAATTACGATTGATATTCTGAGGATTCTTGTGTATTCATTAAATTATATGGGTGGGAGTGTTGTGACTCGGAAGTGTAGCATATTTTAACCTGGATGATCTTGTTGAAGGTTTTTTTGACCTGGAGGATTATGGTGAGAGAGAGGGTCCCCTTGGTGGAAATTCTTTCATGGTGTTTAGTGGACTTTGGCAGTTCTGTTTGTTGTGTTATTGCGTGTTTTAGTGATGAAAATGGCAAGCAATCTCAAATCTGGTGTTTTGTTCCCTGTTGATGGTGAAGTATCATAACACTAGCTACAGCCTACACCAGTAGCACTTCTTAAAATGTCAAAATGTGGCCTTACTGTTTCTCGCAAACCATTTCTGCAGAATTCGAGATTTGGACATGAAGCGAGACTATGCCTTCATCGTAAGTAGTAATGCCCTATGACTAGTATGTTTTCTCGTTAACTATTTATGTAAGCTGTGTGTTTCTTATTGATGGCTCTTTTGTCTGTTATATATGTTCACTGTTTGATCACAGGATTTCAGTGATCCTCGAGATGCTGATGATGCGAGGTACAGGTTGGACGGGAGAGACTTTGATGGAAGCCGTATAATTGTTGAGTTTGCAAAAGGGGTAAAATGCTCAAATTTAGTAAATTCCTTATGTTCTTAGTGTATTTTTTCAATTTTAGGTTTCTCTCGTTTAACCTTTTTGGATTTTCCTTTTGTTGTAGACACCTCGTGGTTCCAGAGACTTTTCCTCGAGCAGAGGCCCTCCTCCTGGTAGTGGTCGTTGCTTCAACTGTGGTCTTGATGGCCACTGGGCTCGAGATTGCTCCGCTGGTGACTGGAAGAACAAATGTTATCGATGTGGAGATAGGGGTCACATTGAGAGAAACTGTAAGAACAGTCCTAAGAAGCTCAGGTATCAGTTAAAAATCTCATTTTTACACTATTTCTAGCCAAATACACTGTCAATTTGTATTTGAGTCATCTGTCTTGATTGTATTTCAGGCGGGATGAAAGTTACTCAAGATCGCCAGTTCGGTCTCGGTCTCCTCGTCGTAGAAGAAGAAGCCCTAGCAGAAGCAGAAGCAGAAGCTACAGCCGTGGTCGTAGCTACAGGTTAGTGATGTCCCAATTTGGCTTATGATTTCACAACATACAACTACAAGTTTGATTCTAATGCAACTTATTTTTGTTCTGTCTTGGGCCGATTGTTTCAGTCGCTCTAGATCACCGGTTAGGAAGGATAAGGATCTGAGTCCTGTGCCTGCTGCTAGAAGCAGAAGCCCTGAACCAATGGTGGACAACTCTCCTCCCTCCAAAGATAGGAAGAGAAGCCCGAGCCCTGAAGGCAGTCCAATGCGTGAGAAGCACAGCCCCAGAGAGAGGGCGAGAGGAAATGATGATGATGGTATTGGAACCTATGGGGACGACCGTAGTCCTAGTCCCAGAGAGGACCGTAGTCCTAAAGGCGGGCACAGCCCAAAAGAGGACCGTAGCCCTGTGGAAGATGATGACCAGTGAAGGAGTTGAAAGACAAATGATGGTTATTTTGCTTTTGGGCGATCACTTAACCAATGTAATGGTTATAATAATGGTCTCTAGACAATGTAATGGATTTTGATATTCCTGTTTGGAAAACTTGGCTTGATACTTGGTGTTATCTTCTTCTAAAAGATTAAGAAAATAAATCAACTTTTCGTTTGTTTGTTTCTCTCTTTCTTTTATGTTCCATTAGTTAAAAGCTCAAGTAAATATGGACTCCGACTCTCTGAGACTCTTCTTCTTTCTCATGATTTCTTTCCGTCATTGTATTTCCAAATTATTAACAATATATTTTATGTTATTGATTAATGATGCAAAAGTCAATATGTCCGAGTGGTTAAGGAGACAGACTCGAAATCTGTTGGGCTATGCCTGCGCAGGTTCGAATCCTGCTGTTGACGGATCAAATATGTTACTTTTATTAAAAAGTGTATAATTTTTTTTCTTTCTAAATATTTTCTATTCCTATAAGGTTTTTGTTTTTGGAATTCCATTCTAAATATTTTCTTTTCCTATAAGATTTTCTTTACTTAATTCAATTTTCTTTGCTTTCGCTTTTGGATATCACCATCGGTGATGTACGTACGTGATGAGATTATATTACCTTAAAAGTTGTTTGAAAGTAACGTTACCAATGACACAATTAATGTACACACGCCACAACACGTAGATGACACCAAAGCAAATCTGTTAGAAAAATGTCTGAAAATGGAAAAATCTCTAACAGAAACAATGTAACAAAAAAAAAAAAAAAACTCCTTAGAAACAGAGGAAGCAGAAGGATGAGACCACACAATTATACAGAGAGACGCTGGAGACGATGTCTGTGACCTTGTCTCATCCATCATCATGTCTTCTCCTTCTAATCCTTCTCTTTCCCGGCCATCCCTCTGCCTCCGGAACCTCCATCTCCGACATGGTGAACACTGCGGCGCGTGTGTTAAACAGAGCGAGAAGAGCAAGACACTCGAGAGAATTCCTACACGCGCACAACATTGCCCGGGAGTCTTCAGGCGTGCCACCTCTCGAATGGGACAAAGGCCTGGCCCGGTTCGCTGATAAATGGGCTAAACAACGTAAGCCCGTTTGCAATATGATGCATTCAGATGGTCCTTACGGCGAGAACATATTCTGGTACCGGCGTAAGAAGACGTGGTCGTTGGAGAAAGTGGTGACGAGATGGTTCGAGGAAAGGTTTAACTACGACACGAAAACGAACACGTGCGCATCAGGTGAGATGTGCGGCCATTACACGCAGATGGTGTGGCGAGCCACCAGAGCCGTTGGATGTGCACGCGTGAAATGCGATAATGGCCGTGGCTATCTTGTGGTGTGTGAGTATGATCCACCTGGAAATTACGAAGGTGAAAGCCCTTTCGATCAAAACACTGTTAAATGAAAGAAGAAGAAAATGTTAGAGATTGATTGAAAACAATTTTTTTTCCCATTATATAATGAAGAAAATATACATTGTATCTGTATTACTATTCTTGGTCCATGCATAATTGCAGATATATCATACATTGAGAGGTCTACTTGAAGTGATCGATATTTATACTGTGATTGTGAAACAAAAGAAAACAAATGGTTGGAGTGGAAAAAAAAAAAAAAAAAAATGAGAACGTCGACAGCAGGGTTCGAACCTGCGCGGGCGAAGCCCAATAGATTTCAAGTCTATCTCCTTAACCACTCGGACATATCGACTTCTTTTTGCTTAGCACGTATGTTTTACATATTTCACATAAAATAGTATAGTGTTTTATGTTTACGTGTACGGTGGATCTTCAATTTGGTTTTGTTTGCGTAATTATATGCCATGTTTGAATTATTTAAGAGAATTTGGCACTTAGCATTTTGGCAATTGGTTTGATTCGGTAGGAGTCCTTTTCTTGCATACCAAATATAGAAACATAGAAAAATATAAAAAAGCACGACCATACATTTTCATGAAAGCAAAGCACAACAAAGTCTACACGTGCTTAAGCTTGAGGCTCTAAAATCAAGTGCCTAGGCTAAAGAATGAAATAATATAACGTATAGTATTAAATAATCCAAAAAAATGAATGGTGTGAGATGGAAGTGAAACCAACTCCACATATTTTTACACATACACCAACTTCGTCCTCGCCAGGTGGCCTTTTTTTTTTTCTCTCTCTCTGCCTTCTCTCTCTCTAACACCTGTCGTTATCTGAAAACATAAACCGATGAGCTCGTCGCCGTCGAGGAATCCGACGAACGCCGAAGCACCTCTGCCGCCATCAACATCATCAACGGATGCGGTGGCCGTGGAAGTTGGTTCGTCTAAGAAAGTGAGGAAACCTTATACCATCACCAAGTCTAGGGAGAGCTGGACAGAGGAAGAGCATGATAAGTTTCTTGAAGCACTTCAACTGTATAACTTCTCTGCTTCTACGTGTTTCTCTGTTTTACTTTGGGACTTTTAAGCTTTCTAACTTTGCTGCTCATGTCTGAGTTTAGTTAGTTAGACTGAACAATCAGAGAGGAAGATTCATGTTGGGTTTAGTGTCTTAGCTTAAAAACGATCTCTTTCGTTGAGTTAACTTGATCTATATATAGTCTCGTGGTAAATTTATATCTTGAGTAGATTTGAGTTACATCATCAGATCTATTGTAGCATCTCATGTTGAACTTAGCATTAGTATTCAGAGTTCTTTGAATAGAGAAGCATCCATGTTTTGCTCAATTCTTCAAGTCTTTATACTTTAGCGGTCGTTTTCAAAGTGTTATTTATCTGGAAAGACCTGATTCTGATTGTGCTGATACTACTGCTCTCTCTCCTTTGTTCCTTAGATTTGATCGTGATTGGAAGAAGATAGAAGATTTTGTGGGTTCCAAAACTGTGATTCAGGTTTGAGATTATCTTCTCTAGAATTTTACTTTGTTGCAATGTTTTCAACTTATTTGATTTACTACTCTACTGCTGCAGATAAGGAGTCATGCCCAAAAATACTTTTTAAAGGTTCAGAAAAACGGGACATTAGCACATGTGCCACCTCCTCGGCCTAAGCGCAAAGCAGCTCATCCCTATCCTCAAAAGGCGCCAAAGAACGGTTAGATGGTTTTATAATACTTATTAGTTTTGTTAAGTTACATGAGTCTTTGTTGAGTTGTAACCTTATATCTTTTGTAGCTCAAATGCCAATTCAAGTTTCCACGTCTTTTACTACGCAAAATAGCGACATGCTGGGATACACTTCGTGGGATGATGCCTCAATGCTGCTAAACAGGGTTATTTCACCACAGCAAGAACTTGCTAATCTTCTTGGACCAGAAGGCATGTACTTTTGTCTCTCTTTTGTGTTTTTTCTTTTATTGATGGTAGTACTGTAGAATAGGTTCCATCAAAGGACTTTTCATGTGCTTATTATGGCATATAACGCCACTGATTCAGCTGATATTGGATCGAAGGGCATATTAAATGTTACTAGTCCTTCTACATCTGGTATGGGAAGCTCAAGCCGAACTGTATCAGGTTCTGAGATTGTAAGAAAGTCGAAACAGCCTCCCATGCTTCACGGTAACCATCTGTGAACAATACCATTTTTCCTATATGTTATGGTGGACACTGTACTAATAATAATATCTTTGCAGCTGTTCCTGATTTTTCTGAAGTTTATAACTTCATTGGGAGTGTCTTTGATCCTGAAACGAGAGGCCATGTGGAAAAGCTCAAGGAAATGGATCCTATAAATTTTGAAACTGTAAGTCAGAGTTTACATGATTTCAGACTAAATGATGTATAAGCTTCTAGCATCTTGCACTCATGACAGTATGTTTTGCAGGTTCTCTTATTGATGAGAAACCTCACAGTTAACTTATCAAACCCTGATTTCGAATCCGCTGTAAGTGTTAAATTTACGATGAAAAGTTTGTGATGACCAACTTAGTCAGAGGCTGAACTATTTCACTCTCTAAACCAATTAGTTGGCGTCACTTCTTTTATGATTCTTGCAGTTAAATGAGTTTTTTGCTCTGCCGTGAACAAAATAATCTAACCTCAGCTAGTCCGATTGTAATGATACTGCAGAGGCAAGTCCTCTCATCATATAACCTGAAATCCAAGCTCCCAAGCGTTGAGACCACTGGTTCCCTAGTCAAGAACTCAACAAGCGACAAATCATCGTAACAAAAATATAAGCCATCAACTAGCAAGTAAGTGGTTTTCCCTATTATTTCGTCGACTTTTTATATACAGTACAAGAAAACATTTCACCTCTTGTTAGAAATCACACAAGTTCATAGTTAGACTTCTAGATATAAATATAAGTCTAGTGACAGTTCTCAAACTCTAAGGTTGGAATAAATAGTTAGTATATAGTTCTCACTGTAGTCACAGACTCACAGTCGTAGTCAAAATGACCGGGATACAATAGATATATGCCCCAGTTCAGGCTTCATGCTTAAGATGTATATGGTTCTCACCGTATTGGCAGGTTTACTCATCCGTTTTCAATGTTTAATAAACTTTGGTGTTATACGTCACTGGGAATCACAATCTTGTCAATGCATCATCATGTGGGAATGTGTAAAAGGTGTTTGTTGTTTTTGAGGAGAAACATAAGCTAAGTTTTCAAGCGATTGGGGACTCGAGCAGATTTTGACCAGGACCAGTTGAGTGAATGGTAGGTATGATATATGTAAGGGTTGCAAGGCACCCTCATCCTCATCCACAGGTTACTCTTGTACAAAAATCTCATTCATATCTTTTGTTTGGGTTGTGTATTTCTTTGTTCAGCTGTTGAATTTTACCCTTTTATCGCATTATTACGCGGGTGTCGAGAACAATTCCTAGGACTGGTTAAAGATCAATGTTAAAAGTAAATAACTGTAAATCATTTTTGTTTTGAAGTTGACAGCTTTCTCTATTAGGTGTTTGATTAACTAAATATTATATAAAAGGAAGAGAGAACGAAGGTAATGAAGAAACCAGCCAATCCAATTGATGTTTGTTGTCACACCAAGTCAAGTTTATCAAAAGATTCTGTAATTGTGTAGAGATTTGTATACCACAACATCAATCAATAGTTAATTGTTTTCTGAAAATATTCAAACCTCATGGTTTTATAGGACACAGTATCTTCTAGGTTGTGCTCCTCCAGGAAGGGAGAAGGCTTGATTAGTTATGTCTTCAAGAACACGCTTGAGTTCAGATTTAGCTGTCTTTACAGATATTTCGGTAGGCCCTTCAACGAACAGATAGAGCTTGCGTTCCCCAGGTCCCGGGATACGTCCTGGCTCATGATACTGACCTCTAATGGTAATAGCGGCTCCACTCCACTCTGATATTGGACCAAGCGTTTCTTTGTGGGTAACTTTCCACCGAGCATTCTGTGGGAAATCATTGATTTCCAGTTCTGCTTCATAGTGTTCAGGCATCCCATCAGCTTGAATCCTTGCAAGGTTGTGTTGCAGGTTAGCGGCAGCAACCATGGCTGCAACGCGGCCTGCTCCATCACTAGGAGGGACACCTGCCACAGTAACAATCCCACCACCATTAGGTGGCAATTGGTTAGCAGTCATAGCAGCTTCAGCAGCAGCAGCAATGGCGGCTATCTGAGAAAGCGTAGCTTGTTGCTGCAAGATATCACTACCATTCTTTCTTACTACATCATTCTCATCTTCTGAATCAGACTCCTCTTCCTCAAAGCCATACTCCTTCGCTTGTGCTTTCTTTGCTGCTTTCCTGACTTCCTCCTCCTCTTCATTGAATCTAAAGCCACTGCCACCATAGCCAGTTCCATGAGCTTGCTCAATACCCTGTTTCACTTTTGCCATGAACCCATCGGCCACTGCTTTTACATCATCAGGAACAAGCTGCTCAGATAGTTCCAGGGCCTTGACTAAATCTGGTGCATATTTTGCATCATCCTCGGAGATAAATGTTACAGCACAGCCTTTCCGCCCTGCCCTACCTGTCCTGCCAACACGATGCACATAGTCTTCATAGTGGTTCGGCGGATCAAAGTTAACAACCAACTCAAGCTCTTTCACATCTAGACCCCTGGCTGCAATACTTGTGGCAATCAACAAATTGCATACATTGCTCTTAAAATCAGATATAGCTGATTCACGATCAGTCTGGTCCTTACCCCCGTGAAGAGATAGACATGCATAACCACATTTGGTCATCAAATCATTGTACAAAGCATCACATTTGTCCTGTGAACGAACAAACACCAGAACTTTTCCTCTCTCATACCATTCCCCAAGAAGTTCCAAAAGTCTTGCGAACCTCTCACTCTCCTGTCTGATTTCAACTAACTGAGTTATATCTTTATTCACAACACTCCTCCCACCGACCTGTATTTCCACAGGCTTGTCCAAGATTTTACGTGCCAAAGTTTCAACTTGGCGTGGAAAAGTGGCAGAGAAGAGCACAGTTTGACGATCATGTCGAATATTTTGAAGAATACGCGTAATTTGAGGCTCAAAACCCAAGTCAAACATACGGTCAGCTTCATCCATTACCAGAAATGTGACCCTTCGCAGATTGGTTATTTTCCCACTGCTTGTGCAGAGAATATCGATCATTCTGCCAGGAGTACAAACAACAATCTCAGTACCTCGCTTAAGCTCATTGATTTGCTGGGCAACTCCTGATCCTCCATACACAGCCACACATCTTACACCCAATGCCTTAGCAAACTTTTTGATATCACTGTGAATCTGCTGAACAAGTTCTCTAGTTGGTGCCATCACCAGCCCAATCGGTCCATCACCAGCTTCAACGGGAGGCTGATCTTTGATATGCCTCAACATTGGCAAAACAAAGCCGAGGGTTTTACCTGACCCAGTTTTTGCAACCCCAATGCAGTCTCGACCGCTCATTATGATTGGGAGTGCTTGTGCTTGGATAGGCATTGGCTTTTCATAGTTAAGTTTCTTCAAAGTATCCAAAGTTTTGCTGGTCAGTCCAGTCTGGTGCCAATATTTGATGGGTCTTGGTACATCTTTCCCATGCACTCTTAGCTCCAATTCCTTTCTATAAGCGTTAACTACATCCTGTGTCATCCTTGAGATGTCCTTGACTTCGATATAGAAGTTCTTCCGGAAAGGCTCATACTCTATTTTGGAGTGGTCAACAAGAGACAGTTTCTCTGCTTTAGTCTTCTTAACTCTCTTCATGAACTCCTCATCGTCTTCGTCTAAACTTGGATCATCATCATTCTTTGTTTCTGAATAATCAGAATCTGAATCAGAATCTTCACCTTGAATTATCCTTCCAAGGGCCTTATTCAAACCTTTCTTTTCCCGGTCACCACTTTCCTTCCCATTCATTTTAGAATCCAAAAGACCATCGTTCACTGCTGAGGGAGAAGTCATATTGCTAAGCTTCACAACCTCAGGTAATACCATAGTATTCATAAAAGCATCTAAAGGATCAATATCCTCTTCATCTGCACCTCTGTAACCTCCATTCTCATTCTCCAAGTCTACCGTCTTGGCATCCTCACCTTTCTCGGGTTTAGTCTCTCCATCAACATCCATTGCTGAGTCTGATTTCTCGTCATCATCAGATTCTCCTTCAAGAGTCCAAGCCTTACCTGCCTCAAGACCCTTACTTTCACTTTGAGCTTCCTCCTTTTGCCTCTTCAGCTCTTGCCACTCCTGGACTCTTCTCCTACGTTTGTCTACTTCTTCATCCAACTGCTCCTGCTCATCCTTTACTTGTTCTTCCAGGGTTTTCTTCTCAACACAGTCATCTCCATGCCTGCTAGTTCTTGTGCTTTTCAAGTTACGCTTGATATCATCATCTCTATCTCCATTACAATCCTCTCGTGACCTAACCCTGTCTTTCCCACCTTCTCTCCTCTCTCTATCCCTTTTCCGATATTTGCCCTTATCTCTCTCACGTTCACGGTGTCCTCTTTCATCCTCCTTTACTCTGCGTTTGTAATCCCTCTGCTCTTCTCCTTCAGAATCGCTAATCGTCCTATCCCTCCGTCTCCGTATCCTCTCCTCTTCTTGAGAATCACTTCTCTTAACTATCTCAGACCGTCTCGAGCGCCTGATCTCCGAACGTTTCTCCTTCCTCCGCTCCTTACCGCGATCACGGTCTCCGCGAGACTTGTACAAATCATCATCTTCTTCCTTTCTGTACTTTGATTTATCCGACTTCATCATCTCAAACGCCAAAAATCCCGATTACAAAACCACGTAACCTACCCAGATTCAAACAAAAACACCGGACAACCAAAATCTTCAACGGTGAAGAAGACGAAGCTTCAAAAAAGAAGAAGACGAAGCTTCCAGAAGAATCGAGAAGGACTTGTTACAACACTTTATTAGGATTTGGGAGTATTCTGTATTTCAGTAGCATAAATAATAAAACGAAGAGGATCTTTCCAAAAATAATTTAAAATAAAATAATAATAAAACGAAGAGGTTTCAAGCTCTTAAAATTGGGCCTTTACTTTCAATTTAAAGTTTTACACTATTTATGAAACATGAGCTTTATAAGGCCCACTAATCGAGGCTTCGTCAGTAACCCTAAACGAAACCCTAGTATATTAGTCCCTTCTTAAACTGAAGCTGCGAAAACCCTAATTTCTCAAAGAGTCTAGAGAGACAGTGAGTGAGAGAAGAGAGAAACCTAATTGAGACAAATGGCCGCCGCCGCTGCTCGTCCTCTCATCACCGTCCAAGGTTTGGACGGTGACATGGCCACCGATCAATCCTCCACCGTCGTATTACCAGACGTCATGACGGCGCCAGTTCGTCCCGACATTGTTAACTTCGTTCACGCGCAAATGTCCAACAATAGCCGTCAGCCCTATGCCGTGTCCAAGAAGGCTGGTCACCAGACCTCTGCCGAGTCCTGGGGAACCGGACGTGCCGTCTCACGTATCCCTCGTGTTCCCGGTGGTGGTACTCACCGTGCTGGTCAAGCAGCGTTCGGTAACATGTGTCGTGGTGGTAGGATGTTCGCTCCTACCAAGATCTGGCGCCGCTGGCACCGTCGTATCAATGTCAACATGAAGCGTCACGCAATCGTCTCTGCCATCGCCGCAACTGCAGTTCCTTCGCTTGTGATGGCTCGTGGTCACCGGATCGAGAACGTTCCTGAGATGCCTCTTATTGTGAGTGACTCCGCCGAAGCTGTGGAGAAGACCTCAGCTGCGATCAAGGTTCTGAAACAAATCGGTGCTTATGATGATGCTGAGAAAGCCAAGAATAGCATTGGGATCCGTCCTGGTAAAGGTAAAATGAGGAACCGTCGTTACATTTCTAGGAAAGGTCCTCTTGTGGTTTACGGAACTGAGGGAGCTAAGATAGTTAAGGCGTTTAGGAATCTTCCTGGTGTTGAGCTTTGTCATGTTGAGAGGCTTAACTTGTTGAAGCTTGCTCCTGGTGGTCACTTGGGTCGTTTTGTTATCTGGACCAAGTCTGCTTTTGAGAAGCTTGAGTCCATCTATGGCTCATTTGAGAAGCCATCTGAGAAGAAGAAGGGATATGTGCTTCCTCGTGCGAAGATGGTGAATGCTGATCTTGCCAGGATTATCAACTCAGACGAGGTTCAGAGTGTTGTGAATCCGATTAAGAAGGATGCCAAGAGGGCTGTTCTTAAGAAGAATCCATTGAAGAACCTTAATGTGATGTTGAAATTGAATCCGTATGCTAAGACCGCGAAGAGGATGTCACTGTTGGCTGAAGCACAGAGAGTTAAGGCCAAGAAGGAGAAGCTCGCCAAGAAGAGGAAAACCGTTACCAAGGTAATCCCAATACTTCATTTTCTAGTTTATCAACCATTTCTGGATTATCATTGTTTAGTTTTGATTTGTGTATCCATTTCATTTAACTCCACTGATTTTTGAATTGATCTAATGGGCTGGTTTTTTGAAGTCTGAGATGTTAGTTTACATTATGTGAATGAAATCGAACTGTAAGCTTTCTCCGCTAGATCTTACCTGTTCTGTTCTGAAATGTGGTGTATTCGTCTCGTCATGTAAATTGGTTTATGTGGGATTCTTTGTCTTGTTATTGATTTCGTCTTCGTCCTCTTTACTAATTGGAATTTTGTAAACCAGGAGGAGGCTTTGGCTATCAAAGCAGCAGGCAAGTCGTGGTACCAGACTATGATCTCCGACAGTGATTACACCGAGTTTGATAACTTCACCAAGTGGCTCGGTGCTAGCCAGTAATAATCTCATTTGCTTTGGAACACTTCAATATTTAGTCAAAAGATTTTGTTTTTTTCTTTTTCTGTTTTGTGTTTTGGAGTATGGATATTGAGTTGAATTATGAACAAGTTTCACTTTTCACATCCCCATTTCTTATTGCATTTATAAGTTTCCTTTATATATGTTTATTTCCTTCGTTTCCATTGATCATTCTTGTTAATGTTATGAACCACATTATAGACAAGCCCTAGTCTTCAAGCCTTTTATATATGAAAATTGGACAAGGTTGTTGGAGGCTTGATGTATCTTCATATTTGTTTACCCAATTTTGAAAAAATTTAAATCATTTGATTTGAACCAAATGTGTGCATTGATTCTACTTTCTAAGACATTATCAAACCTAAAGTTTTGAGATCATAATTCTCTTCGTTCAAATTTGGATTAATAGAAAGCCACGTGGTGTGTATCTGTTGGGTAAATTTGTATTATCATCTTCACTCTGGTTTGGTTTCTTCTGGAAGGCGCGGCAAGAGTCCCTTTATTTTTTAATAATCAAAACCATGACCTCCAATCATGTAAACGAAGACTGAAACTAGAAGCTTCATTTGATTCATCAGCCAATTCTATAAATTGATTCGCTAACTAAAATTAAACGACAACTTCTTGCAAACACTTTACTCAGGTTTCTCCTTTTGATCAATCTTTGTGTTTTCGTAGTTTGAGTATGTTCTTTTATTGATAGGTTCTCCAATTTTGAATTCTGTTTTTTTTCACGATTTGCAGAGAGAAGCGAGTTTGAAAAAATGGTGAAGAAGAGTTACCCGGAAGTGAAAGAAGAGTACAAGAAAGCTGTTGAGAGATGCAAGAGGAAGCTCCGTGGTCTTATCGCTGAGAAACATTGTGCTCCCATCGTCCTTCGTCTTGCGTAAGATCCTCTCTGCTTCTAATCTGCTCTGTTTCTGTATACTCTCTTTTAAAAATTTTGGTTGCGAGTGTTGCTCCATTTGGGAGTTGTTCAATGGATTGCCTATGAGAGCAATTTTGTTGGGAAAATCTGCAGATGGCACTCGGCTGGGACATTTGATGTGAAGACGAAGACGGGAGGACCATTCGGGACGATTAGGCATCCTCAAGAGCTAGCCCATGAAGCTAACAATGGTCTTGATATTGCCGTCAGGCTTCTTGAGCCTATCAAGGGTTTGTTCCCTATTCTGTCATATGCTGATTTCTACCAGGTACGTTTCAACTATATGCAGAGTTTTTCTTCGCTGTAATAGTGAAGCAAGAGATGCACCAACTGTATTAGTTAGGAGTTTGATGTGAAACCATATAATCAAGGGTTTATGGATGCCTGATGCATCAATGATTGTGGGACATTGGGAAACATTTAAAGGTGATTTTATTGGTTGAAACCGCTAAGTTATGACTTTAAATGGGTTCTTATTTAGCCTGAGTTGTCTACTATTCGCCCTCTGGTTGCTGTAACCTTGATTCACACATGTTATACTAAAACTTAAATCTCAGAAGCTTTCCTTGTATTTCCCATGGCTTTAAGGCCTTGAATCATCTGTATTTCTTTGTTACTGTAGCTAGCTGGAGTTGTTGCTGTTGAGATCACTGGAGGACCCGAGATTCCTTTCCATCCTGGTAGACTGGTGAGTCATTTTTAAGTTCTCAGTTCCCCTGCTACCAGTTATTTGCTTCATTAAGTCTAAGTTTGTACATTTTTCTTCGCTAAGTTTTGTACTTTTGTTTATATGATTAAGTCTGAACGTAATTTCATCTTCCAGGACAAAGTTGAGCCACCTCCCGAGGGTCGTCTGCCTCAGGCCACTGAAGGTAAAGCAGATATAGGAACATGCTTTAGTGTGATTCAGGTATTAGATCATAGATACATATCCATATCTGCTTTTATGTAAATTCAGGTGTGGATCATCTAAGAAATGTCTTCGGTCGGATGGGACTCAATGACAAAGATATCGTGGCATTGTCCGGTGGACACACCTTGGTATGTATGCTGCATGTAGAAACAAAGACTCTCTTCTCAGTTTTGGCTCATACCAACTTTTACTTTCAGGGTCGGTGCCACAAGGAGCGCTCAGGATTTGAAGGAGCATGGACACAAAACCCTCTCATTTTTGACAACTCCTATTTCAAGTAAGATCAGATTCTCTCTGCTTCTGTTTTCCTAATGCTTGAATTGGACCGGAACTGAATCAGAAAGCTCTTTAATCTTGATGGTTATTAAACAGAGAGATACTAAGCGGAGAGAAAGAAGGACTTCTTCAACTACCAACAGACAAGGCTCTTCTCGAGGATCCTCATTTTCGTCCATTTGTTGAGAGATATGCTGCAGTAAGTGAAATGACACAACTCATCATTTCATCATTTATCATTTCATCATTCTTATGATCATATATATATATATATATATATATATAGTCAAACGGATTTACCACTGATTCAAATGTTACTTTCAGGATGAGGATGCCTTCTTCGAAGACTACGCGGAAGCTCATCTGAAGTTGTCAGAACTTGGGTAAATAACACACAGAACAATCTCTTTCACTTTGTCTCTATATTTCTTTATCTTTATCATATTGTAAAGTTGCAAACATTGATTATACCTCTGAAACGCAACGCAGAGGAAGTTATCACACTTACAAACACCCGATTTTGTCTGAACACCGATCATAGTGTCTTTGTTTATGTGCTTCGCAGGTTTGCTGACAAGGAGTAATCTGGAATCTGGCGTCATGTCCTATATATATCCTTTGATTAGTGTTCCCTCACATTATCATTGTAATCATATAAAAAAAAAAAAAAGTAAAATCGAATGAAAAGCTCTTTGTATTGTACGTGTGCCTCGGGGGTTGTTTGTAACTAATGAAATAAGACAACTCAGTTGATGAAAACAACAAGTTTCTCTTACACAACACAACAGTTTATCTTCTTTTATGTTTGGATACTAGTAAGTAGTAATCTCGTAATTTAAAACTATATCGAAAGTTTTGTTAATGTAGTTGAGATAATAAAATAATCTTGAATCAAATTATGGAGATACTAATATGAACCGATGCTTGAACTCGATACGGCGACGTAGCACAACTCGTTTCCACCCAAATAATCCATTTGGAGGCTTTTCATTACAGGACACACTCTCTCTCTCCAATGGACCTAAGATGAACATTCTCCGACCTCCGACGTCATCATCGTCGTTTCCACCTTACCCAAACTCCGTTTCGTTAACCCCTCCAGTGGTTTTTACTCTCACCCACAACTCCATAAACCTCTGCTCGACCAATCCCCTATTCAACGCCGCTGGTCGATCCACGCGCCGCCAGATTTTCCAACGGTCCGCCTCCGACACTGCTAGTAGCTCCGCTGGAGACCTCTCGTCGTTCTTGGGGTCTCCCTCAGAGGCGTATTCAACACACAACGACCAAGAGCTCTTGTTTCTCCTCCGCAATAGAAGAACCGATGAAGCTTGGGCTAAGTATGTTCAATCCACTCATCTCCCTGGACCAACTTGTCTTAGCCGTTTAGTTTCTCAATTATCTTATCAATCCAAACCCGAGAGCCTCACGCGCGCACAGTCTATCCTCACGCGCCTCCGCAATGAACGCCAGCTTCATCGCCTTGACGCCAATTCCCTCGGCCTCCTCGCCATGGCTGCAGCCAAGTCTGGTCAAACCCTTTACGCCGTCTCCGTCATCAAGTCAATGCTCCGCTCTGGTTACTTACCTCACGTTAAAGCGTGGACAGCTGCAGTAGCTAGTCTCTCTGCTGCCGGAGATGACGGACCGGAAGAATCTATCAAGTTATTCACCGCTATTACGCGACGAGTCAAACGTTTTGGTGACCAATCTTTGGTTGCTCAATCTAGGCCTGACACGGCGGCGTTTAACGCAGTGCTTAACGCTTGTGCTAATCTTGGTGACACTGAGAAGTACTGGAAGCTGTTCTACGAAATGGCTGAGTGGGATTGTGAGCCTGATGTCTTGACGTACAATGTTATGATCAAGTTGTGTGCCAGGGTCGATAGGAAGGAACTCATTGTTTTTGTTTTGGAAAGGATTATTGACAAGGGGATTAAGGTTTGTATGACTACAATGCATTCCCTTGTTGCTGCTTATGTTGGGTTTGGTGATTTGAGGACTGCTGAGAGAATTGTTCAAGCGATGAGGGAGAAAAGGAGAGATCTCTGTAAGGTTCTACGAGAGTGCAATGCAGAGGATTTGAAGGAGAAAGAAGAGGAAGAAGCTGAAGATGATGAAGATGCGTTTGAGGATGATGAAGATTCAGGTTTTTCGGCTGGGGATGGGGTAAGTAGTGAAGAGGGGTTTGAGGATGTGTTCAAGAAATTGCTACCTAACTCAGTTGATCCGAGCAGTGACCCGCCATTGTTGCCTAAAGTCTTTGTACCAGACTCTAGGATTTACACGACGTTGATGAAAGGTTATATGAAGAGTGGGCGTGTGGCAGACACAGCTAGAATGCTCGAGGCAATGAGGCGTCAAGATGATAGAAATAGCCACCCAGATGAAGTTACATACACCACGGTTGTGTCAGCTTTTGTAAAAGCTGGGTTGATGGACAGAGCACGACAGGTTTTAGCCGAGATGGCTCGGATGGGAGTTCCTGCAAATAGGATTACTTATAATGTTCTGCTCAAAGGATATTGTAAGCAGTTGCAGATAGACAGGGCAGAGGATTTACTAAGAGAGATGGCTGAAGATGCAGGAGTCGAGCCGGACGTGGTTTCCTATAACATCATAATAGATGGATGCATTCTTATAGATGATAGCGCAGGAGCTCTTGCATTTTTCAATGAAATGAGAACGAGAGGGATTGCACCAACTAAGATTAGCTACACAACTTTGATGAAGGCTTTTGCAATGTCAGGGCAACCAAAGTTGGCAAATAGGGTGTTTGATGAGATGATGAATGATCCAAGGGTCAAAGTTGATCTTATCGCATGGAACATGTTGGTTGAAGGGTATTGCAGGCTAGGTTTGATCGAAGATGCTCAGAGAGTAGTTTCAAGAATGAAAGAAAACGGGTTTTACCCAAATGTGTCTACCTATGGGAGCCTAGCCAATGGTGTTTCTCTGGCGAGGAAACCTGGTGAGGCACTCTTGCTTTGGAAGGAGATAAAGGAAAGGTGTGAGGTCAAAAAGAATGAAGCCTTATCAGATTCTTCTTCAAATTCTTCTCCTCCGATGCTGAAACCGGATGAAGGGTTGTTAGATACGCTAGCAGATATATGTGTCAGGGCTGCATTTTTCAAGAAGGCATTGGAGATAATCGCATGTATGGAGGAGAATGGGATACCTCCGAATAAGACTAAGTACAAGAAGATTTATGTGGAGATGCACTCGAGGATGTTCACTAGCAAACATGCTTCACAAGCCAGAATAGATAGGCGGGTAGAACGAAAGAGAGCGGCTGAAGCTTTCAAGTTTTGGCTCGGTTTACCTAATTCTTATTATGGAAGTGAATGGAAGTTAGGTCCAAGAGAAGACTAGATCATTATATTGATCAGGCTGCTCTCTTATACAACAATGTATACTAGGTTCTACCGTAGATATAAGTCCAGTAGGTGAGTGAAGAACAACATAAACACTAAACCCAAGTCCATGTGATAATACTAAGGAGTTTCTTGCATTGTGTAATATACAATTGACTGTTTTGATAATCAGGTTCATAATTAGATTTGAACAGTACAATGGCAATGCACATGCTAAATTTACTTTTAAAAGTTTCTGTTCTAAGGAAGGTTTTTACTCGAAATGCTAATCATCTTGACCTGGATGACTGGCTCCGGGAATAAGATGAGGAGAGGACCTGTATATGAAATTAGGGCAGAATAGTAATTAAATCGGATCCATTATCCAATCTCTTGGCTGTTTATTTACCATTCTTTTTTCTGAGATGGGTGAAAGGATTTACCTGGTAAGTCTTTGGTCCCTTCTTGAGCAAATATCCCGCAATATTCAGGTTCTCTAGGAAAGTATCGATGTCTGGAACTCGTAGGCCGATCCTATCAGCTAAGCTATACATCTCCTACAGTAACATATTTTTGAGTAAGATTTTGGTCATAACAAAACGTCAGACTAGCCGCTAGCAAAATGTCGAGCAGAGAAGTTGTCCATACAGAAACAGAGAAACAATCTTTCTGCTGCAGCTCTGATTGCTTATCAAGAGCACTTAAGAAACGTTTGGCCTCCTTTTGTTGACTCATCCCTCCACTCCTACCAAAATCCACAACCCCATGTTCATCTATAAGCTTATCATACAACGATTCTTTCATTATTTCAACCACATCCTGTTAAAGCAAATCCAAGAACAGAAGTTAAGACAGTCTGTCCAAGCCAACATCATAGCAATGCAGATTGAAATCGAAAATTTCAAGCTAGATGATTACCTTATCCAACAATAAAGAACAGATAACATAATACTTTTATACATGTATGGCATGGATGCTAAGTCGAGTGTATGGTCAAACATATGCATGTAAGCACATAGATAGGGTACAAGAGATTTCAAGTTCTGGCTTACCATTGCGTCTTGGACTGTTATTTCTTCTCTCAAGTCGACCCGAGCTCTAGCTTGCGCAAGCCTAACCAAACTTTCAAGTTGTCTTGCTGTTATTGGTGTGCTATCAGCAGAAGTGTTATGGTCTCTCAGCTTCAAGTAAAACTTCTTTATGATCTCTCCGGCTTCCTTTGACATCCTGAATAGATAAAGAGATGTTATCCATAAGGCCTAAATTAGCTCGCGGGGATTTTGTAGTTGCAGCTGGGAAACAGATCAAATTACTTAGGGTTGACAAAGGTCCGTGCATAAGCAACATATTTTCTAAGCAACTGGCCAGGAACGGGAGAAAAGTCGTCATCTTTCTTAGTGTCTAACCGCAGTCTTGAAAGTAGAGAATTTCCTTTGGCATGTATATTTGCATATCCAGCATTCTGTGATGCTGCATTTAATATCAAACAAGAAGTCAAGAATTTATCTTTCTTAAGGTGATGTTTATACTAGCTGTATACCTAACAACCAAAAAAAAGTGGACCTGGCTTAAACTTCTTCAACGCTGGTGATGTTTCTCCACTTGCAGAATGAAGCTGCGAGAAAGAATCAAAGGTACAATTTTTTATTAATGGCGCTGAATGAACCAATGAGTAGAGTCAATATAGTCTTTTCAGATATGTCATATGCACTATAGCTGTCACGGATTTTTTTCCATCTGTGAGAGATGAATTTCTGCTAGTATATAAGTGAGGCATGCTCCACAAAAAAAATTTGAGATGCAGAGACTCACCGACATAATATGTTCTGAGACTTGCTTGTCGAGTAGCTCATCAGGTTTGTCAAGTAATATGAAAACTAAATCAAACCGTGAGAGAAGGGCAGCACTCATTTTTAAGTTCTCGTTTACAGTTTTTGCACGGCTGAAATGAGATCATAAAGACAACAGTAAATATTGACAACATCTTCTATTTTGGTTTTCTTTTCTCACTGTCTCAAACCTTGAATGACGCAGGGTTATTCTGCCCTGTAAAGTGCGTAACTATGACTCAAACATTCTCACAATGATGAGATAGTAAAGTTAGAAAATTACTTGTAGTGGCCACCAACAGGATTTGCTGCTGCTATAACAGAAGTTCGAGCTGATAGACTAGCTACAAGCCCAGCCTTCGCAACAGAGACACACTGTTGTTCCATTGCTTCTAGCAGCGCCTGTGGCAAAGTAATGTCAGTAAGGAGAAAAAATACATCAGAAGTAAAGATATTCTGAGAAGAAAATACCTGATGCTCGGTGGTCATCTTATCAAACTCATCAATACAGCACAACCCGCCATCTGCGAGTACCATGGCTCCTGCTCACAGGTAGCAGTAGGTTAATAAAGACGAAGGTTTCTCGTCCTACACACAAATTAGTTGAAGATATTTTTAAGTAAGTGTTCCTAATTTAAGCATGTAAAACTTTTCATTAGTGTGAAGTTCTTCAATAAAACTCTATCCTAACACTGATCAAACACTGTTGAAGATGCAAATCCTTGAATGAACTATCTATTATCTTGTAGAAGGATTTAAGACTGCTGCTAACTGTGCCCTCATTCTAGCAAACTATAAGACAGAAGTATAACATTCACATAAAATAACATCACTAGAAAACGATAAGGTATGCCACACCCTGATGCATAGAAACCAAGCAAATTATTTTAGCACCTCTGATTCAATTAGACTGCCACTAAGTATTTAGTAAAACTATCCATTAACAGCATGACTCAAACCCATATGCTATGTACTGAAGTTTGTACTGGCTAAATATAGCAAAAGAAGAGGGAAGGAGCTACCAGCCTCAAACGCATAGTCATTCGTCATGGAATCTTTCACCACAGCAACAGTGAGCCCTGCTTTAGTTGTCGCATTACCACATACATAAATGCCACGAGGGGAAATGGCAGCTGCTGCTTGCAAAAGCTGACTTTTGCCCAATCCAGGGTCACCTAGTAGTGCATCGAAAATCGTCAATCAGATTTTCGTGCTCCAAACTAGTTAGGAATAATCTTCGCTTAGTTCATGTACTTATAGGCTATAGCCTAGGTTTATGCCATTGAATTAACAGATTGATTTGAAAGCTTACCAACAATTATGAGATGAATGTCTCCTCTGACTGGAACTTTGTTCCGATCCATCGAGTGCTTCCTTACACCTCCAAAAAGAGATAGTGTTATCCCAGCTGTTGAAATGATAAGAAAATAAACAAACAACAGAAGTATTACGGTATGCAAGTCTTCTAGTTGTAACTATCAAGTCTTCACGAATGATATCCCAAGGAAACTTGTTATGGAGAGAATTATAACCTTTGACAATTTCATGGCCATAAATAGACGGGCATACTGAATGAAGTATGCGACGGAATGTATCAGAACCATATTCTTCTTTGAACTTCACAATAAATTCCAAGTCTCTCTGTGAGAATGAATACAAGTCACCAACATCTGCAGACTGGGTACTGCTACTAGAGTCTTCTGACTTGTCAAATGCAGACTGCCGCTTGGAATTTTTCACTGAAACTGCCTCTATAAACAAATAGTAAAATCCTTGATTCTTCGACTTCGATTTCCCTGAAACAGTAGCATTTTAAACGTTTATAAGTTTAAGTAGGGCTTAGGACACTGAAGCAATCTCTCTGAGAGTATAGTGAAATGGTATTTAACACCAGTATTGAGGATTTTAGTTCCTTTTTCTTTGGTAAACTGTCATAATGGGTAAAACAAACAACTGATCTGTGCTCTATACTTTCCTGCAATGAGAAGCCCATGGAATAAAACTGTAAGAGACAAATTTCTAGCTATTCTACGGTTAAGGATAGCAGTCATTTGGGCATGGTAATGTTTGGAAATTACTGGACACAACAAGGATGGAGAGAGTGCCATAAAAGTTGTAAACCAATACCTCCCCCAATATCCATGTAATTATTAATCACCCCTATAATCCCTGTAACTGTCACCACATCACCAGGGATACATGTGTCCACAAGGTCTTCTGTCAGTTCACATTCTACAGTTCGGGGTACCCGTCCATCTTCATGGTCTTCAGGCTTTTGCAATTCCTGCACCCTAAAATACATTTGGACAGCTGATTAACAACGGCAAGATACATAACTAGCAAAAAATGAAGCACACAAAATGATGAGGTGCAAATAGGAGAACACCTAATCTTCTGAAAGTCGATTGTCTGAGCGGAGGAACGGATTGGGGTAAACGTTTTGGACTTGCATCCATGAGAGTCACATTTTAGTGGAGGTGAAAATTTTCCATCAGTAAATTCCCGGGTTATGCTAGTTTTGCACTTTGCACAGTCAAAAGCCATCTGTGTAACAAGGGGCTTTACAGTACTAACTTTAACAACAGTCCCATGAACTGTCACAAGCTTTCCTGCAATTTCAAAGCACACACTCATGCTTCATCTCACTTAAGGTTTATCATATTATTATTTATATCGCGAAACGAGCATTCTACCTATATATGCTGCTCTCAGGTTTTTCAGGGAGATCGAAGATTCAGGATAATTATGGAGACGAACATTGATCTTCATGACATTGTCAAATTTTTTACTCTCCCATTGACCCAAGAGAACCTGTGAAAGATGAATAAGTCTTTATCTCATGCCAAAGAAGAAAACAAAACCCAGTGAAATTTAATACCCTACCTTGTGAACTGCAGCATTCATACAGGGGATAACTCCTTTAGGATTATCCTCCAGATTTAAGAAAAAGTTATCGATATCAGATATTTTCTTGAATTGTTGGAGATCAAGCGACAAAGAGAAGGAACCACCACCTTCTTCATTTACCTGTTTCTCTCCCAATTTGTGTCAATTGTCTCATGGCATGAAGGAAACTTATGAACTTGTTTCTCATCTAAAAATAACTAATTGAGGTAAGAGAATCTACTTTCTCAATCTAGCCTGATTCTTCACAAAATCGAGCTAATTAAACTACAGTTTACACAGGGAAATTGCTATACTAAGCTACATTCAAATTCGATTCATGAAATTTACCCGAAATTGGATGCAAAACGTTTCGTCAATTGAGGTTATAAAGCACTAATCTGATGGTGTCCAGGAGAGGAGATACCTGAGAAACTAGGTCTCCACCAGGGGGGACGGAGAATATGCGGATGAGCTCCGCCGTGAGCTGCAACTTCGCCTCGTCGATGGCCAAGTTCTCGTTGTCCCTAATATATACAGCTAATAATTTCCCTATGTCGATGGAATCGATTCCGATTGATCCACGGCGACTCGATGTCATGCTTTCACCGTCACTGCCGCCTCCGTAAAATCCCATCACCGCTTAAATCACCGTAACTATTTCGTCAGTCACAGAGGAAAATCTCGCTTCGGCCAATGGTTTTTGGCGGGAAAAGTAATAAGGCTTTTTGATATGGGTTTTTTGGGGAAGTGGGCCGAATGATTGAACCCTTAAAACCCAGAGATAATAAATAAATAGGATATATATATATTTTTTTTAAAGCTTTTGTTGTCCGCCACGTGGACTGTGCCGCACAATGTAAGAAAAAAAAAAGGAAAGTCACAAAAAAAAAATAGAGACCCAAAACGAGAAAACAATTTTCTGGTTAGATTTGACGTCTTCGTTTACTTCATTCAAGAAACGAGCTCCCGCCGCCGGGAAATTATCTGTTCATCACGACCGTCACCGGAGGTTTGTTATGGGCATCTTCCCCCTCTCTCTCTTTATCTCTTCTTCTTTAGCTACTGTTACTTGTTTTCTTGGGAAATGAATGAAGTCATTTCTGATGATTGACTTGTCTCCGTTCTTTTAGGGTTTTTGTTGTGGTCTAGCCTATGTCGACGGAATCAGAACGTATTGATTCGGTCTCAGACTTTTCTGATGGCTCTAATGCGTCGAGGAATGAGGTCAGAAATGCTCAAATGTCTGAAACCCTAGCTGACCCCTTGACTGTTCAAGCTCAGGAGCTGATAGTAAAGCCTGATGGAGATGAGCAAGAAGGAAACGGTAGCGTAGCCTCAGCTGGTGGTGATGGGATGGAGAAAATAAATGGAGTTACTGATCTGGAGAAGCAAACGAAATCTGTAAATGGAGGATTAGATCTAGGCATTGGAACCGAAAATGTAGGTGGAGAAAGTAACGAAAGTGGGAAGAAGGTTCTAGTAGATAGTGAAGAGGTATTGATGGTAGAGGGTGACAAAGATTCTGATGGAATCAAAACGGTACTTCAGGTCGAGAAGGAAGTGAAACCTGACCTGGTCTGTTCTCATGGCGCTGGTCTGAGTGATGAGAAGGTTACTGATGTCAGATTGGATAGAGAAGACCTTGTTGAGGATAGTAAACCTGATGGCTCAGAAAAGCAAGGAACAAAAGTTGATGACTTGGATGTTGTATGTTTTATGGGTTTAGAACCTCATGAGAGCAAGGTTGATGATAAGGCACCTGTAACTGCGAAGGTGAAGATCTCTGACTCTGATTTGGTTTGGGCTAAAGTAAGGAGCCATCCATGGTGGCCTGGACAGGTGTTTGATGCTTCGGCTGCAACAGACAAAGCACAGAAGCACTTCAAGAAAGGAAGTTTCTTAGTTACATATTTTGGAGATTGCACCTTTGCTTGGAACGATGCATCACGGGTAAAGCCTTTTCGACAGTATTTCTCCCAAATGGCAAAGCAGAGTAGTCTACCTGATTTTATTGATGCTATTGATTTTGCTTTAGAAGAGGTATCAAGAAGGATAGAGTTTGGTTTAGCTTGTTCTTGTATCTCAGAGGAAGTCTATCAGAAGATTAAGACGCAGAACATAATCAATCCTGGAATCCGTGATGATTCAAGCTTAATACATGGTGCAGACAAGGTCTCAAGTGCAATCTTCTTTGAACCTGCAAACCTTGTGGAATATGTGAAGCGTTTAGCATGCTCTCCTAGCTATGATGCTACTGACGCGCTGAAGTTTGTAAGTCAGAGAGCACAATTATTAGCTTTTAATCGCTGGAAAGGTTATACAGACCTCCCCCAGTTTGAGACACTTCAGGGGTCAGTGGAGTCTGCACCCAAGAATTCTGCTGCAGAAGGGAATAGTAGCTTAGTGAAAGTTCCTGATTCTGAATTGAAGAAGAGTAAACAAGTTTATACTAAAAGGAGAAAGACAGAAGACCAAGATGATGGAAAACAGGACGGAGTGTTTGAATATGAGGATACTACCGTTCCAAAGAAAAAGGAGAAAACTTTGGCAGAGTTCATTGCTGAGAAACGCTTAAGCAGATGTAAAGGGAACATATCAAATAAAAATTCTGAGAAAATTCCGCATTGCGAAAAGAAACGCAAGGTTGTGAATTCAAAACTTCCCAAGTCCACAAAAAAGATCAAGGCGAACCAGGAAACAGAGGATACAGGATCTCCCATTTCTCCCGAAAGTGATCGAAAAAATAGTTTGTCTGCTAGTGATAAGATAATACCAGAGAAAGCTAGAAAAAGTTTTGGGATTGGGGCGAGCATATTGAAAGTAGCAAACCAGATGCATTGTTCAACACCTACCAGACTCTTACCTTGCAGTGATTCGACCTCCAAAAAGGCAGCCAAAACCAATGGAAGTGGAAAAAGTCTCCAGGAAAAGCCGAAAGCCAAAGCATTATCTGAAAGAGTTAATTCTCCTTTAACCAATGAAAAGCTTTCAAACCCTGATGCTGCTTCTGTTACCAAAGCCTCAAGTGGCAAATCCAATTCCATCTGCATAGACCACCAACTATCCGAAGAACTTGAACAGGTCATAAAAGAAGCACCTAGTACTAACCTTGTGAAGGACCCAGAGTTGGAGTCTAGGGACGCGAAAGACTCTTCTAAAGAGCAGATGGTAAATAAGGATAGGAAAGAAGCTGCAGATATTGCAGATGAAATTACTATAGAGGACAGCAATCTAACGGGGGAGAATAACAGTGGTTCGGACTTGAAAGAACAGCCTAGTAACAAGAGCTGCTCTGATGGATCTGATAGTTGCAACGAAGATGTTTCTGCAGAGTAAGCATGCTCACATCAGCGTCTAACCCACTAATACTGCTGATTTTTCTAGTCCGGCTTTGTTACTACTAAGCAAGATTGGAAAATACCTTTCAGACATGTCAGCTTCCCATCTCTTTCAAAGTTTAGGATTGTATGATTTTTATCAAAGTAAAACAAACAATTTCGAGTGAGTAGAGCAAGTTTAATACAAAGTTGTTTATGCTTCCTGGCTTGAAACTTTCTGATAATAGAATTCAATTTAAGATTTCAGTTGTATATAAGCTTTTAACAAGGGTTGCGTTGGGAAAAACCTCATGTTGGGATAAGTATACTTGGGTAAATTGAATCCAGGAAATTAAAACAAAAACAAGATAAACTCAACTCCTCTGAATCTTTAAGTAGAACATGGGCATGTCTTTAAATATTTAAAAAATCCATCAACAAGAAAGCATCAAAAGTAGTAGAGCTTAAGACCTAGGCTTCTCCTTCTTTTCCTTGAAAAGCGCCAAAAGTGAGACACCAGAAACCTTCACCACCTTAAACCTAACTCCGGGAATATCTCCAACAGCATGACCTTTACGCCCAAATCCAGCAATCAACACCTCGTCCTGCACAAGACATTAAAGAGTCAAGAAGTTACAAACATTACTAGAATATCGTTGATTACTCAAAGCAGTTCTCATCTAACTTACATTTTCTTCAATGTAGTTCAAACAACCATCATTGGGGACAAAAGCAGCAATCTTTTTGCCGTTCTTGATCAACTGAACTCTAGCACACTTACGGATGGCAGAGTTAGGCTGCTTAGCCTCAATACCACTACACAATCAAACACAAGAGTCTCTTCAAAGTCAACATCCATAATCAAAATATCAATAAAAAGGTAAATATTTATGTATTTACAAACTTACATCTTCTCAAGGACGATTCCTTTAGCGTGAGATGATCCAGCAAAAGGCTTCTTCCACTCGTTACCTTGGTGAGACTTCTTGTAACTCTTGTCTGCCCACCTCTGGTTAATCCGAAGCCTCTTAAGCTTGCGCCCAGCTCCCATACCACGTGTCTTACTATAGAGATTCAAAGACAAAGACATAAGAAATTAAGAAACCCGGTCACTGAGATGCCCAGAAAATCAAATACATGTCATACAAAACATATACAGCGCTGACAATGAAATAGACTAAAGAATCTAAATCAGACATACTCAGAGAGCTTTGGCAGCCCAAGAGGAGAGAAGGCAATTAAGGATGCATCAAAAAATCACAATCTTAATTCCCACATTTCAGACAATTAACATTAACAAAACTGAATTATTGCAACCTCGTAGCTTCAACAGAGTAATTAACAATACACACAGACACAAGTAAGCAAAATCAGCAGTTCCATAACTCCCAGATAACTTAAGAGGTGAATATGAAAGCACTGCAGCAAAATGTATGACGAAATGTACTACTAATTGCGTTTCACAGAAACCAAAAAAAAAAAACATAAATATAGTAATTAATTAAACGGAGAGATGAGATTGAGCATGAAGAATCAAAGAGGAGGATACCGTACCCCATGTTGACGACGGCGAGAGATACAGGTAAGAGAGATGAGCTGAAACTGCAGAAGGCGCGACCTTGTTTAAGTTCGAGAGAGAGAAACCCTAATTTTAAGAAAATATTATATAGGGTTGGGTCAAGACTCATGAGTGGTTTAGCCGACTTAGCTACCATAATTGAGTGGCCTAAGGCCCATCACATGTTAAGTTAAGCCCAAATTTGTAGTCCATACGATAAACAGTCACGTGCACGGTGCACCTACTACCCCACGACCCCCACACTATCCACCACGTAAGCAAAACCTTTACTCTTAAATAAAAACCGGCTGTAGCAGGTAATAGGCGCACGAAGCAAAGCGTAAGGAAGCGCACGACACGCACCGGTTCAGCCGGTCCTCATACACACTCCCCGTCGATAAACGACATGCACGAACCGTCCATTTTCTTAAAAGAGCGATCCCTGATCTGACGGTCCTTATTTGTTTATTTAACCGGCTAAAATACAAAACTAATAGAAAAAGTGAAAGCATCATCGTCAATGGCGGACTGGAGTCATTTTCATTTTCAATAACCAGTCAAAAAACTAGATTGAAAAGGTTTAATTCAATGTCAGAAGAAGAATGAATTAATTGGTGAATCATCCATGATCAACATCGTCTAAGCTGGTTCTGCGTCATAAGGTAAGAGAATTTTTTTGTCTCTTTCGATTTCTCTAATGAAAAAAATAAAGGAAAGATTTTGATTCGTTATTGAAATTTATTCTCTTTGAGATATTAAATTAGAGAGAAGTGATTTTATTATATAAAAAAGTGAGCTTGAAGTTCACGCTTGTAAAGGTGTCAGTTTGCAGCTCATTCTCGCCATGTTCTACTCTCTCGCGCTCTTTGTGTTTCTTTCTCTATAGCTCATAAAAAACCCACTTAAATGTATTTGCAGCTCTTCTTCTTCTCATTGCTCTGAAGACTAGGTTCGGACTTCGGATTCGGATCCGGGTTTAGGGATTTCGTTTTTTTTGATAATGGAGGAGATGGGTAGAGGAGTGCCTACATGGCAAGACGAGTTAGCGAGTCTCATGGACGGAGGTTTACAGTACGACGGATCTCCGATTGATTTGACGGCGGATACTGAATTAAGGTCAAAGAGTTTGGGTTTCGGGTCGGGTTCTGGATCCGAATCAGTGGAGAGTTTGAAGGATCAAGTGATGGGGTTTATGAAGTCTTGGGGAGAAATGCTTCTGGATCTCGCAATAGGATGTAAAGACGTTGTGCACCAGATGGTTGTGACTGAGGACTCTTTCGTCGTGCGTAAGCTCCGGAAACCAGCTGCTAAGGTTTCTAAGAAGCTGAGCTTTCTTAACGAGTACTTGCCTGAGGACCGTGATCCGGTTCATGCTTGGCCTGTGATTTTCTTCGTCTTCCTCCTAGCTCTCACAGGTATTTTGATAAAACAGTGTTTTTTTTTCTTTAATGTGATTTTGGATCACTGTTTGTGTTGGTCTCATTCACAGTAGAATTCTGAATTCATCAGCTCAATTTCTAACCTAGATTTTCTTGGTTTTGATGTATCTCCAATGCCACAGTCATATTATGAACATTTATTCATTCATATATGGCTGCTACTGTGTATTGCGATACATCTTTTGGAAACTTCTAAGGTTGGTGTATGTAGAGTACTTGTTTCTGCTTATATGTTGGGTTTAAGTGGCAGTACTGACTGAATTCTATTGGGTTCAAGAGAGGCTTATATCCTTTCTCTAACATATCCATCTTTTAAGTGCAGCATTGAGTTTTAGTTCAGACCACGATAGATCTGTTCCTGTGTTGAAGAAAATCCGTCTGCATCCTACCAGTGCAAGCCGTGTGCAGCTTCCAGATGGTAGATATATAGCTTACCAAGAGCTTGGTGTTTCAGCTGACAGAGCTAGACACTCTCTAATTGTGCCTCATTCTTTTCTTTCCTCTCGGCTTGCAGGTATGATTAAATTAGTTCCTTTTTTCAGTTTCAGCTAAATGTGATAATGCGATTACATCCGATTGACCTAATAATGTGACAACATTATTTCATCAAGGTATACCTGGAGTGAACGAATCATTGCTCACAGACTATGGTGTCCGTCTAGTGTCATATGATCTTCCAGGGTTTGGAGAGAGTGATCCTCATCGTGCTAGGAACCTTAGCTCATCTGCCTCGGATATGATTGACCTAGCTGCTGCTATCGGGATTGTTGAGAAATTCTGGTTACTCGGCTATTCCAGTGGTAGTGTGCATGCCTGGGCTGCAATGAGATACTTTCCTGACCGAATAGCTGGTACCTTCCATTTTTTGGATAAAGTTTGAATGCATATCATTATCTATTCATTTGAACACAGTGAGCATGTTTTTTCACATTGTGATAGTTTCAATACATCACACAAAATAAAATGGCAAGATTGCGTTTTTATCAATCTACAGGAGTTGCCATGGTAGCTCCTATGATCAATCCATATGAGCCAAGCATGACAAAGGAGGAGATGACAAAAACGTGGGACCAGTGGCTACGAAAGAGAAAATTAATGTACTTTTTAGCACGTCGGTGGCCAAGTCTTCTTCCTTTCTCCTACCATAGGTCCTTTCTCTCTGGTAATCTCGAGCCGCTGGATCAGTGGATGTCCTTGTTATTAGGAGAAAAGGTAAGTCTGTATTCATCAAGTGTCTCTTCCCAAGGTTTTGGGTCTTCTAGTTTTACCAAATAGAGTAGCTTCCTTGGATGGTTTTTTGAGTTACGCTCACAAGCTAAACCTGCCACTTTCTACTTCAGGACAAACTTGTGATCACAGATCCAGTTTTTGAAGATTTTTACCAAAGGAATGTGGAGGAGTCTGTACGCCAAGGAACTGCAAAACCATTTGTCGAAGAAGCCGCGTTACAGGTATCAAATTGGGGCTTCAGTCTTCCTGAGTTCCATGTGCAGAAGAAGTGTAGAACCAACGGCGTCCTCTCTTGGCTAATGTCAATGTACAGCGAATCCGATTGTGAACTTATTGGGTTTCGGAAACCCATGCACATATGGCAGGTTTGTTGAAATCACACTTAAATCTTCTTCTTTATAATCACTTTCTCGAGTTTTGAGATACTCATTTTGCTTGTGGTCACATAGGGTATGGATGACCGAGTCACTCCACCTTCAGTAACTGATTACATTAGCCGGGTCATACCAGAAGCAACGGTACATAGACTCCCAAACGAAGGCCACTTCTCTTACTTCTATTTCTGTGATGAGTGCCACAAGCAAATCTTCTCGACCATATTTGGAGAACCAAAGGGCCCAGTAGAGATACCGGAACAAGAAACAGAAACCCATAAACCGGATCGACCTAAGACAGGTTTATCCGACACGAGCACTACCAAAGAGTAAGTAAACAGGTTATAAAAGAACTATAGAAACACGTTGTTCTTGGTCTTCGTTCCATCATGGAGAAATGTGTAAATAACACCAAGAAGATGCTTCGTTCTTTGCTTTGGTTGAATATTTCAAATTTTATAGGCCCATAACAAAGCAAAGTTCATTTTGAGATAACATATAGCACAACAAAGAGTGCAATTGAAAGAATATTCTTTTGAAGCTGCTTTGCTTTCTATTAGTTTGGAAATAAAATTTGTTATCATGTTTACTTGTTTAGACGTGACGTGTATAATCAAGTGGTACAATACATTTTTTCAAAGAAAACAGGAATCCAAGACCAACAAAGAAGTCGAACTAGATTCTCTTTCAATTTGGTTTCTTCTATATTTCTCAAGCTGAAAGTTAAAACAATTTGAAGAATTTTCACCCAAGCTTGATCGGAAAAATGATCTAGACCAATAACTCAAAACCACATGGCTATCTTGATCAGAACTAATCTAACAGCATAAAGAGAATGATCTAAGGCTAATTACTGGGGAATCACATGAATTTGTTGATGGGATCAATCAATCTCATAAAAGGGTTTCAAAACGCAGAACCAGAGCTCTTGGTTTTGCCAAGCATCATGTCTTTAGCTTCATTGATCTTAGACGCAAGGTAATGGCTTCCACCTGCGTCGGGATGATTAGCCACCATCACTCTTCGGTGAGCTTCTTTCACCTTCTCTACCGCTACACTCTCCCTGTTCAAACACCATACGTGGCAAACGTGTTAAATCCCCACTAAATTATAGGCAAACATACCATCTAACCCTTTATAAGAACATAGCTAGGCATAAACAAATAAAAAAACTTGACCCCTATTGCAAACCTTTTAAGAACTAGTGTGGCATATTTACTGGCTATAGATGATCATTTACCCATCAGGGACGTTTAGAAAAACCGTTGATGGTTACTTCAAAGGTTAAACTCTACCAAAAATGAAGGAGTCAGAAAGAAGTCTAATAGTTCCTTTGAATTCAACCAAAAACAAAAGGAGCAGTACGGGTCTTTATAAAACTAGCAGAAGTGAAACCTTTTTAAGAAACAAAAGTGCCAAGGTCGACTAGTATCATGAGTCTTCTGACTCTCAAATAGAAGTGGTTTGATAGTGGGAACAAAGACACAAGAAAGGTACCTAACACCAAGAATTAGGGCAGCTTCTCTCCGTGTCATAGCAGATTGAAAACCACCTTCATAGAAATTCCGCATTCTAGGCCTTACTGGTCTCAGCTTGAACGCCTGCCATGCCTGAATTCCATATTTACCAGCATAAGCAGCAGCAGCAACAGCAGCGCCTGCAATTATCGCTGCAACCTGGAGAATGGATGAGAAGAGAGCAATCTTAGTCAACAAACCACGAATTAAAGAGAAGATGAACCAGAGGGATTCAGGCAAAACCCTTTAAAGAAAAAAAAAACATTTTGATACTGATACAACAGAGCAAAAATGGAAGAATAAGCTCTATAAAAGGAGGATTCTTTTAGAAACCCTAGTCGATTCAAAGGGATGCTTTCAATATCATCAAATGAAATTTCCAAAAAAATCAATCAGCAAAAACAATAAAGAGTGGAGATCGTAGACAAACACGAAACGAGACGAGATGAACGAAAACTTACCATTGTTGTAGAGGATTTGAGCAAGAAAGGGCACTGAAAAGTAACACACGAGCTGCTGATAGAGATAGATAGGATAACTGATCAATGTTCGATTTTTTCGATCGAGTTGAGGATTAGGGTTTTGGGTTTTTCCTGTTTTGCTTTGGCCTTTTGGCCAGATAGGTCCGTTGCGTTGCGTCGTATATACAAGTCGAAAACCTTCTAACTGCTTTAGGGGGCTTTAGATTTCTTTCGATATGGAGAATAAAACAGAACCGGTTTATTTTCTCTTGGTTTCGGTTCTCAAATCAAATACTTTTGCTATGGTTTATGGTTTTAATTCGAATCGGTTACATTGAGTTCCATCAAAACATCCACAACATATGGGTTAATTTTCTTATAATATATTCACTGCTAAAACAAGGTTATAATTGAAGATGATTCACAAACAGTCTCTAAATTCATTCACACTTGTGGATGAGAGATCACTAGCTGTAGCAAACAATTGGTCGTTAGCTCTTGAAGTTGTAAGTATTATTCTAGTTTGCTTTTTTGAGATACAAAAGAATTACATAAACAATAGAGACTTACACTATGCACACATGAATCACCGTAAGGCTTTCTTGTAACCAACACTGCGTATAGTTGAAACAAATCTGATAACACTGACGACAAAAATCATATAATGACCTCGGTTGGTCAGGGGGTTCTCTCTGCCTTGAGAGCGCCGTTTTCAACCTTCGGCGGGGCTGAGGATCGTCTGGGTTTGGGTGCAGGTGAAGCCGAGTTGGAGAGCCGCTTCTTTGCTGGTGCTTTCTCCGGTAAAACTTTTTTTCCATCCGTTGCGGTCATGGTCACGGCCACGCTTGATGTGGTCTGGGGCTTAAGTTTGCCACGTGCTGATTTTGTCGTGGGAACCATGTTACTACTACGTCTAGCAGTTGTGCTAGCCAGGTTCTCGTCATCACTAACAGATGACCTTGCAATGCTGTGCCTACGGTTCTTCTCCGAGCTCTTGGTGTCTTCATCACTGCTCTTGGATTTTGTGGACGATGGGATTGGCCTCTTCTTTCTCGGGTTTTTGGTGGTGGTGGATGATGATGATGATGAGGGATTGGGTTGAGTCGATCTATTGAGTTTGTTGCGGTTTGAAGATTTTGTGGTTTCTCCTCCATGGGAAACACGGTTAGTTGAGTTCTTGACTGAGGAGTTTTCGTTGTTTTTTTGTTCTTTCTCTGAACTCTCCCATGGCCGGCCAGCCATCCACCTCTCTAACCAGCTCCAACCCCAAGTCGGGTTGCTAGGATCCATAAACATAGGATTCACAGTTTTGGAGTTGCTCTTCAAGTTTTGCTGCAAATATGAGTGGGATATGATCATAAGCATTAAACCAAATCCAATGTTGTGAAGATATCAAACTTCAGGCCTCAGGACTCTTAAGCAGTATTTAAGGACTGATTATGCAGAGGATTTGAGTGTGCACATGGAAGTACCTGATGTGTGAATGCATAAGCTAACGCTCTTTCCCTTCTCATTGTCGCCTCGTACTTGTGCAACATCCCCGCTTCGACTTGTTCCTTCGACTGATTGCTGTAGTTCCAATTACCCACATTCTGCGCAAGAAAGAGCAAGACTTTTAGTTTATACATAGTTTAAGCAAAAAAAAGGATCACAAGCTACACTGCATTCTGAAGATATTCCATCAGAAAGAAGATATGCTTAACTAAGCAAGAGAAGCTGCAGGGTTTAGTAGAACTAATTTTATGAATGAGTTAAGCACTAATAAGGCAGAGGCAGTATAGTGTTATTACCGCCTCTCACCAAACTTGTGGGTAGTAAAGGAAAAATTGCATCTGAAATACTAAAAAAAGAGAGAGAAAAAAGTGAGACCTTGAAGCCTCCTAGCTCTTTGGCATGCTTCTGAAGAAGTTGCTTATGTCGAGCCTGATTCTCTTCTGACATCCTGATTCTCCTAGATCGTATTTGTGACTGAACACGAGTGAGAGTCTGCATACATCTAAGTGTATTTGCAGCTTGCCGTTGTACAACCGATCCTTCCATCAGTATCTTAAGTCTATCCCGCCCCCTCATCGCCTGCAATTCTCTTCTTGCCTACATCGGAGAAGCCATACCATAGAAGTTAAGGTTACAGTTGAGAGAATAAAGAGAATCCAGGGAAGTTAGCCAATCTCAAACAATTTCAACCAGAAAAAACGGTTGTAATGAAGCTCAACCTGGATTGTGAAGAATATAAAAACATACCAAAAAGCCCCTAAAGGTAGTCTGAATGAAGATGGCAGAAGCTTCTTCCTTTGACATCCCCGAAAACCTATCATCAACTATGGCATGATGAACAGATTCAGGAGAAGATGGAGGTGAATGTAGAGGAACATCTGCAACAGTAGCAGTCACAGAATGTGATGGAGGAGGGCACGGATTATTCTTCTTGTGATCACAGTTGACCTCATCAACTCTAACTTCAAACTGAGGAGAGGAACTTCTGGATGTGGCAATCAAGACAGGGTAAGAGATGACACTGTTTTGACACTCAACCGATCCGTGTTTCAATTTCTGTAAAAAAAAAAAAAAAACATCAGATAAAGGATTTGACAAAACACCAAAACAAGAAGTTAACATCAACTATAGAAAGGATAGTGATTAAAGAAAACACATATAAGAAAGTTGGAACCTTTGAATCAGGGCTAAAAGCCTTCTTTACATTCTTGAGCCATTTGGCTTTTTTGACCATCTCCACGCCCTTCTATATAATCCGATCCTACTAAAGATGAAACTGAATACAATGACATCAAATTAAGACTTTCAAAATCATAAATTATAAAGAACTCGAATAGAAAAGACCACTTTGCAAACTATAACCCAGGAAAACGGGAGAAGAAGAGGAGGAATGGAACCTGAGAGAGAGAGAGAGAGAGAGAGGGACAAGTGCAGAAGTAGATCTAGAAGACGAGAGAAGCTCAAAACTCAACTCAAGGATTCCCTTTTAATGCAAATGGTGAGACTTCCATGGAAATGAAAATGCGATGAGAATTTGAAAAGGTCCAAGTTTTGTTCTTTGCTGCTGACTTGAGAAGAAGAAGAACTCAGAGGGAGAGAGAAAGGAGCATTTTTGGTGTCTCTGTGTCTGTGTGTGCGTGTGAGCCCACTAATTGGGATGCTTTTTTCTGTGGCCCCAACTTTGATTTCTTCTTCTTTTTTTTTAACAGCTTGCTTGCCGCTCTTTTTTTTGTATGTATATATTAACGACTTTTTTTTATTTACACAGCTTCCGCAGCTAATGAGAGATTAATTTTTTAATGACTCTTCTAATAAATTAAGCTAAAATACACAAACCAAGACCAAACTGAGACATGGGTTAAACGCTCATTACTAATTTCATTGTTGTTGACTAACCCCAATACCATCATCCTTCAACAGTTGAGGCTCTTGAAAATTGTAAGAGATTTTGCAAAACAAGATCAATCTTGAGTCTTGATTTTTGTGACAACTTCTCTTAACACATCATGTACTCCTTAATAATATGGGGGAAGTGGAACGTACGAGTTCACTCAATAATTATTTTGTTTTGTTTTTAAATAATCATAACAGCGTGTGTTGTATCTACTTCTTCCTCTTCTTCACCATTATTGTTTTTTCTCATACATACATGTGGTATTTATATGCTTCAATATATATAATGTAATTCCTTTTTTTGTTTTTCGTAAATAAAATGTACATAAAGCTTATTTATTTATAAGAATTTGTTATGTAAACCATATTTATTGTTTTTGTATTAGTTAGTGCCGCCAAATTGGTATTTATTATCAAGAAAAGACATTTACCTAATGCACACGTCTTGTTTGTGAGAGAGTTTACGCATCCTCTTCTCTCTCTCTCTCTCTCTCTCCGTCGGTCCAATCTAAATTTTCTTCTTCTTTTTTTGTTTCTTATGAACAAATGATATTAGATTGTTTGATAGATATTATCCCAAATTTTGTAAAATTGGCATAATGTGTACTTAATTGGTTTGCCCTATCTCTTTCTTTATTACTTTTAACTAATATAAATGGCTGTCATCATATATAGTATTATTTTAACAAATAAGAGTATTGATATCTAACTAATACACTTTTAATTCCAATAATGATGAGCTGGGATGGGATGATTGCCCAGCCAAGCAAGAACTTGAAACTATTAATTATCCATTTTAGAAAAAACCGGTTTGATTCAACCTAACCTCTTGAAAAATCCTAGATATGACAATATGCGGAATTCATCCATGAAAACGAAAAACAAAGGGGAGGGGGGGGGGGGGGGTTATTAATTATAATTTTCCAGAGAAACCTGGTTTGATTCAACCCAACATCAAATAGAATAATAGCTCTAATAATCATAGCCTACAAACAAACCAATACTTATGGTGCGGTCATGTATCAAAAGAAATCACTGAATCTGAGAATATGCCGAAATGAAAAAACATGGAAGAGTAACTAGTATTGAATTTAATTTACTACATTTGTATTTTGTAGTACGATCCAAGTGTTTGGATCCAAAGACCAAGGCTGATTCATCAACTGACAACAATATAAAGAAAAGACAAAATTTGAAGTTACTCATCTTCTTCCTTTTTATCGTCTTTTGGTCGAGTAGATATAGAATCACGTCTCGGCCTATGCTTCTTCCACTTCTTCTTCTTCAAAGACATGATCCACGACGGAACCTCACAGCCCGATGATATCATCGTGTTGGCTATGTTCCTTAGGAAAGGCACATCTTCTTCTGTGTAGAATGTTATCGCTTCTCCGCTCCTTCCTGCTCTTCCAGACCGACCTGAAATGTTTTAAAAGCGGCAGTTACTTCCAAATTGCATCAACTCATCATCACACATGACTCGCATGGAACAGAGAAACACAAGATTTACATACACAGGCTAGAGTTATATATACGTACCAATCCTGTGGATGTATGCAGAAGCTGAGTCTGGGAAATCATAGTTTATCACGCAATTGATGCCTTTGAAATCCATACCTCTGGCGATCACATCCGTGGCAATCAAAACCCATGTTTCGCCCGCTCTGAAATGATCAACCGCATTCTCCCGCTGCAGCATCCATTGGTAAATGGTTTCCAATCAATTTATATTATATCTTTATACTCAGTTTATAGATCTCTACACTTTCCATGGAGGAGCACACTTTATTTGATGACTATGGGAAATGTAATTTTACCTCTCCTGAAGGGAGATCAGAATGGATGACCCCGACTCTGACATTTTCACATTTCAGTTCATCGTAGAGTTCCTTTGCTCGTTCTTTGCTTTGTACAAATATCAGTACCGGTGGATTCAGACTCTACTGCCAAGTAGGAAGGAATTACAAAAGGGACTAGACTTACTTAATCATACTGTTAAGATAAGTGAAATTACCTCTGCAAAGCTTTGGCGAAGAGCAAGGAGTTTCCCTTCTTCAGTTCCAGCAAAAACCAGCTTTTGTTTGACGGTTTCAGACGCTGTGTTCCTATATGGAATAATAAACGGTAAGATCCTTTTGGTGCAAGTAACGTTGTGAAGCATCTATAATTATATTTAGTAACATGGTTACTATACTCACTTTCGGCCAATGATCACACGAACAGCATCATGCATTATGGAACGTGCGAGTTCCTCAACAGAATCGGGTAAAGTAGCACTGAACAATGAGCGTATGATTGAAGGATTTGAACAAGCCTTAACCACACAATCTATCTGCTTTAACAAGCTCTGCTCAAACAGCTTATCAGATTCATCAAGGACAAGGTACTCGACCCTGTATTCAACAGAGGTTAAGATGAATATGGTCACATCAAAATATAAATACACATGTTTATATTCTAATATATGCTATTGACTTACTTGCTTAAGTCAATTTTTTTAGCCTTGATGGCTCTCTTCAGCCGCATCGGGGTTGATATGAGAACATCACAATGCAGCTTTGAGAAATCAGCTGTTTTCACAAGGGGTTTAGTCATCAATCTAATGCGGAACTTGCTTCCTTTAATAAGTTTCTTTCCTTCTCTAGCTGTTTGGGCAGCCAGTTCCCGAGCAGGAGATAGGATAATTGCTCTTATTCCATCTGTTGAAGGGCGCTAATAGAAGAAGAAGAAAACTCATAACTCATAAGCATGATTCAAGAATCAGGATCTGGCGAAATCTGGAGGGTCTTAATGGTAAATGTAATTTATTACCTTGAGTTTTATAACCATGGGACAAATAAAAGCAAAGGTTTTTCCTGACCCAGTCGGAGCACAGGCAAAGCATTCACGACCCTGGGATTAAGCAAAAAGATGATTAAACTAAAAATTAGAGCTGGTAACACACGAAAGAATTCACAAAATAAGTGTTACTGCTGTAATGTATAGAAAATGAGTGAATAAAACCATACCGATAGGAGAACTGGAATAGCCTGTCTTTGGATAGGGGTGGGCTCTTTAAATCCTAGTTCAGCCAAATTGCGTAAAATGTATCGTTTACAGCTATATCTGTAAATGGATTAAGCATTAAGATCATAACCTAAAAGAGATGAAAATTTTAACATCCAGGGAAAAATCAAATATATACCCAAACATCAAAATCACTAATCCTATGAGCATAATAAGTCAAACTACTGTCAAAATAAAATCCAGTTCCAGGCACCTTGATGACAACTCTGCAAAGCTTTTAAGCGGGGGTGGAATATTGTTACCGGAAACATGAATGTTGTACTGTTTCCTCGACAGAGCATCACGCTGCCATTATGAAGAAGTAAACAAAGTTATGTACGTCTCACACTCTTTGCCTTTGATGGAACAGAAATGCTGAGTTCTAAACAACTACAATACCTCCATTCGCCGATTAAGTTCCTTCTTCGGATTCTCTAAAATTCCATTCTTTGTGTTTTCATCTTCTTCTTTACCTTCACCACGTGCCTTCTTTGAGCTCTTGAACACATCAAATCCTTCAACCGGCACTGTTTCAAAATATCGAAATTAGATCAAGACATAGTCAATACAAACCTGAGTAGAACAGTAATTAACTTTCCAGACGTACCAGTATTGGAAGATCTTCGTTTCCTCTTCTTAGAAGAAACAACAACTTTCTTCTCCTGCTGTTCAGTGTCCTCTTCTTCCTCAAATAAGCTCACTTTCTTACTGGAATCATCATCCTCCGGACAATTCTAACACAGCAATATGAAATTTTAAATAATACTAAGAGCGAGGGTGAGTAATGCTATACTAAACAACAATAAACACGAAGAGAAGAAACTCACCTTAAACTTAGCAAAATCTGGAGCAAACTTTTTCTTATTGAAGTTTGTTCCACCAAACAGAAAATAAGAGCTTTTCTCCATCTGCCAAGTACCACAAGACAACTCTCAATACAAGGCAAAGCTAATAATAACAAAATAGATTGATAAAGACAAAAAAAAAGAGGAAAATTTGAGCCTAGCTCAAACAAAGATCATTCGATTCGAGCAGACTATTGAGACAAACCCAAAGACAGTAGAGAAGATATCACTGATAACTCTTACCTAGATTGAGACAGAGAACGTTGCTGAGAAGAGGCAAAGGCGGCAATGGCAGTAGCACCGGAAACGAGGAAAAAAGACGCCGGCGATGACACTGACGACGGCGAATAGATGCCGAGGAAGCCAAGAAACCAGAGGACTCTTTACAGATTTTGGGTTTTACAATTAGGGTTTGGTTCTTTTGTTGATTTCAAATAATTTAGATGGTTTTTAAGTCATTTACTATTCTGAGGCTCAAACGCTAATTAATTCGAAACGCTAAAATGGCAAAAGAAATTGCGCTGAACATTTACTATAAAGTGGGCCTCTAAAAGCCCAAATAAAACAATGATAAGCCTTCAATTAGATCTGATAAGTTTGGTATGAAAATAATAAATTTGGAAATTGTGTGTAATAGCGGGAAACATGTGATGGTGTGTCCCACCGCCGCTGAGAAACAAAAAAAATCTCACTTCTTCTCTCTGTCTCCGACACACCTCGGGACTTTCTCCGACTCTGTCTTCGTCGACTTAAACACTTCAGACTTGTTCACTCTGCTTCTTCTTCTCTTATTCTCTTGCCGTTTGCTTCTCTATTTGACTGTTCATTGTTAGAAATGTGGCAAGTTGTTCTAGGAGCAGCCATTGCTGGATCCACTAGTTTTGTAGCCAAACGGTTCTTCAACCCTTTCTCTCGAGATTCACGCCTTCCCGAGAATTACGCTGAAGAGCAGGAAACCCTCACTCCTCCTGTGGGTATTGGATTTCTCGATTCTTCTTTCGACAAAACCGATGGTGTTTTCCGGTTTTCTAGTTCAGGGTCTGCCGTTAACTCAGGGTCCGGATTCGGATCCGGGTCATCTTCTGGGTTTAGGAAGATTTCAGGGGCGAAATGCAGAGTTAGGTTTCGTGGATTGATGAATAAGAAGAAGAAAAAGAATGGTGGGGGATGTGAGATCGAGAAGCGATCTGCAAATGTTGGTGCTTTGGAAACGAAGAGTGAGGTTTGCTCAAAAAAGACGAAAACTTTGGGTGCTGCTTCAGCTTCTAAACGCGGATCATGTTATACTAATCAAGGTTTTGCTTCTACTCTTTCCAAAACTCTCATTGATTTCTCGGTTGTAAAACATTAAGTAGGTATGAAGCATCAGCTATATCTATAGTGGGATTACTATCACTTGCATGATTAGAAATTTGAATCTTAATTAGTTTTTTGGAGTGTTCTGAACTTGTCTTATTCGATGTTTGATCCGTGGGCAGAGTTTTTTTTCTCGGTTTTGGACCTCGTGGTATAGAAAGATATATAGTGGCGTTAATCTTGGGGAAAAGCTTCCAGGGTACTGTTAGGTTTCCCAGGAATAGTACTCTTTGATGGCTAAAAGTCTTCAGACCTCTAGATTTTCTAGGAATGCAAGAGACTTTGTGCTTATAGGGACTGGATAGGATGGGCAGTCACTTATGGCTAGGCTTCCATAGAGTGGAATAAACAAATTCTAAAAAGTCCTCATATATACTTGAGATGCTGTCAGTGTCATTGTGTTTAACTGCATTGAAGTTTGATTGTACCTCGTTGGAATATTTTCAGTAGAACCATGACTCGTCACTTCCTATTGACATTGTCCACTATTGACGCTTAATTCTTCTCTGTGTTACAGATCATTCCTCTTTCAGCTCGGTACTTGGTGTCTGCATGATGTATATGGTGTCAGCCGAAAAAACTGAAATCAGTAAGCTGAATACAGCAACAGAAGAAACTACCAAAGCCATCCAGGAGCTAAAAGACGAACTTTCTAGGATAAAATCTTTACAGTATTTCAAATTTCGTGGTTGTGCAGCGAGTTCTGAGAAATCAAGTGGAAGATCTAGATCAGAGATGGCGAGTAGAGAATCTCTCGACATGAAGTCGGGAGTTAATGGAGAATATGCTAGCAGCGTCTTAACTGAGGAGCCAGAACAAGAGACGGTAGAAATGGAACAGTTAGAGATGGAACTTGAATCTGAGCTGCAGAAACTGAATTTGGCTGAGGTGAGTCATGAGTGTGCTTTCAAATTAGCAAGTTCATTGCGATGTATTCTCAGAGTCTCCTCTCAAAATCTTATTTCTGGTTATCATATTAAAGGATGGATTTTTCAGTTAACTTTGACAATGAAGATGGTCATACACCATCTGGATTGTTGTTCCCAACATTCATTATGTTGTTAAGTGGATTCAGTGGATGACGCTGATATTGAACTTTTAATTATTTTCCCCTTAGACAAATGAGGTTATGGAGGAATGTAAGGATCTGGTAAATAGATCTGAGTCATATCAATGTGGTGGTATATCGGCATCAGAGCTGGACAAGAAACTAAGCCACCTTCTCATCGAACAGCAAGAAGGCCAGATCAATGAGCTTGAAGCTGAACTACAAACCACTCAGTCCAAACTCCAAGAGAAAGAAGCTGAACTTCAAGCGCTTAAGGTCTGCGTTAGACGCCTGACAGAGTTTCCTCTGTTGGACCGTTCAGGTACATTTCGGTAGCTTTACCTCGTAATGAAGTTTTTTTCATTGACAAGAACTAAAAAACAGAAAGTGAACTAACAAACGTCCCAAATCATTTCACTTGCTTTATATTCTTTTCTTAGTGACCAAAGTTTATATTATGCAAAGACAAGCAGTATCTCACAGCATAAAACATGTCTTGGTGTTTCTTCAGATGACGAGCATGAAGAAGACCAGAACCCAAATCTGTCAGTCTCGTGGAACCAGCATAACCAAACTGATAAGGAGGTAAGAAAGCAGATCATTGGGACGAAAAGGCCTATGGAGTCATCTGTGCATGTTTAACAAAGGTAGGAACAAGTTTGCATCTGCACGGGAGGTTCTTTTATAGACACCATAGCACCAAAGCTCAGAAGGTTCGTATCATCAACTCATACCAAGGTGGTAATGTATGCAAACAAACTATACTTGACCCAGTAGATAATATATTCTTGTATGATCACCAGAAGAATCCAAGACTATCAGAAATCTTCATAGTCCTGACTTGTCTAGAGATTTAGATTACTAGCTTTAGTAGAAAAGCTAATGATTCTGGATTTGTCAATATCTAATTTCTTTTGTATTCTCAAGCTGTTGCTAGTGTGTGAGCTTGATGTTAAGTGCATATCCTTTTTGTTGACTTTTCGGATTAATTGCAAAATAATTTTTTTTTGTAAAATCTCAGTTTCTTCCATCTACAGTTTGAGCGGTCAAAATGGTTAGGTCAACAAAGAAAAACATCAAAAAGTTGTTTCAAATTTGGCATGAAATTATCTCAGTCTCAGCAAAGCTTATAGATTGTCAACTCAAGAAAATATCATGCTATATCGAAAACATTAACAACTAAAAAGAGTATAGAGTCATATATAATTTTCTAGTACTGCAAAGTGAGTTATCATCCCAACAACAAAGCTACTCTCCTGGAACTTGGACGCCTTGCTTCAGCTTCTCTTTCTTCATCTTCTTCTTAGAAACCGGCTTCTTCTTCCTCGGAGGCAAATTCTTCTGTGCGTATGTGTAAAGGATGAAGTTTCCTACAAGGAATGTCACTAGCAACCCTCCAATTACAAGAAGGACGATCAGTCCCGGGTTTAGCCCTTTGCTTTCGATTTTTCCCTGTTCATTGTTTCTTGTTAGTAACTTAGAATGAGAGGACAGAACAACACAACAGTTGTCTTAACTAGCTTCTAACCAATAGAAAAGTGTAATGCCGGAAAATAACTTATATAGTTATACTAGCGAAGACCATTGCTGCAAGAGAATGGTTAACTAAAAGATTACTGCAAATCAACATTGACAAAAGAAAAATCATGAAACCAATACCACAGATTGTACCATAGTCACCATGAACCTTAAATTCTGAGACAGCCAAAAGAAAAGAAAAAACACAGACATTCAATGGCAAGATCAAATTGCAAGTGATGAAGTTCATGGTCAGAATTCAGTAACCAAAGTCTTGAACGATAACACAGCTCAAAATGCATGAAATTCCTTAAAAAGGATGTAACTTTACCGATCTGATTCTGCTAGATCATAACGCATGCTAAATTTTGAGGGAATTCGATCATCGTTAAGTAGCGTTACAACAATCAAACGTATTGTTGACCAAAATGCTCAAACACAAGAAAAACGATTGCAATCTAAATCTGAAACTGGAACTTCATGCATCAAAACCAGAAGATCAGACTCAAAGCAGCACAGAAGTTAATGAGCCGTCAAAGAGTAGCATACAACAATCGGAAAGCAGAATCAGATCTAGCGATTCATCGTGAGTAACGAGAAATTTGATCTGGGACAAAGGAAATAAAAGATATATTTAGAGAGCTCACAGAAAACTCTTCGGCCATAGCGGCAATTCGGAGCTACGAGATACCAGTCGCCGGAGAAAAGCTATTGACAGCTTGAAGACGAGTTTTGCCTTAAGACTCGGCCATAAATATAACAGCACCATTGGTCAATGGGGTTAGTTTGCAATTTAGAAAATAAAGGCAAATTTATTTCTATCTTCGATTTCGCATGCATTTTATTTGTTGTACAAACGAAAACCCCATTTTATTTGGTCTAGTATAAGTGACAAAAAAAAATTATTATAGAAAATTGGAAAATAACAAAGCATTGTTGTTTAACTGTTTCACATATAACTGTTTTATAAATAATCTATTAATCTTATACAAAAATAAATCAGAATTTGTTAATATCTATCAATAATTTAATTGCGTTTGAAAAATAGGAATGTTTTCGCTCTTGGGATAAATATTGGGCTAAATGTTGAAATTGAAAAAGTTGGGGGCGGCGATAGGAAATTGTTTCCAGGCTGTAATTTTTTTTTTCAGGCTCCTTCGTCGTCGAACAACTTCGAGAAGCGATTCAAAATTCACAAATCAAAGTCTTCTTCTTCGAATCAGAGATTTGTTCTCCTTGTTATCTCAGATCTGTGAGCTTCTGGTTATAGATTTGGAAGAAGATGACTGTGATCGATCTTCTGACTAGAGTTGACTCGATCTGTAAGAAGTACGACAAGTACGATGTCGACAAGCAACGGGAGGCCAATATCTCCGGCGATGATGCCTTTGCTCGTCTCTATGGAGCTTTCGAAACCCAAATCGAGACAGCTCTCGAGGTGATTATTCCCCTTTTTCTGTTTGTATCGTGGAGTTTTTACTTGATTTGATTCGGTTCCGTTGAATCTATGTGGATTTAAAGGAGTGTGCTTAACAATGTTGAACATAGAATTTGATATTTCAATGGTCTGGACTAAATGAGAAAAATATGCATGAGTCCAATTCCGGTCAGCTATTAGTCCTGATTTTGTACATACTGTAATCGGTTTTCGTGATGGGAATTTAAATTTTTTGGATGACATACCTAATTTATGCTCTCTGGAGCTTTAAGGTTCTTCTTTGAAATTTCGAATGAGATGTGACATGTAATTTTGATTTGCAGAAAGCTGAACTTGTTACCAAGGAGAAAAATAGGGCTGCTGCTGTTGCAATGAATGCTGAGATCCGCCGGACCAAGGCTCGATTATCGGAGGAAGTTCCAAAGTTGCAGAGACTTGCTGTCAAGAGGGTTAGCTTTCTTTCTCATTTTTAACATGTTGGTTCACGGCTCAGCTACACTGCTTGCTTCTAGTTATATCAGTGGCGTGGTAGAGGTTATATGATTCTTGCTTTTATGATTGTATAGTTAGTGTGCCAAGATTTAAAATGCAGCTTGTAAATATTGTTGAGAATGAGACAATAGTAGTCATTCCTGTTGGTTTCAAAGTTTCCAATCTTGTTTTGTGGTAGTAGCATCATTCGGATGGTAGTCCATTGGCTGAGGTTGACTAAATCATGTTTCAAGGATCAACTTGTTCAAACAAGGTGACAATCTATATCTTTTTCAGGTTAAGGGCCTTACAACTGAAGAGCTTGCTGCTAGAAATGATTTGGTGCTTGCACTTCCGGCAAGGATTGAAGCCATACCTGATGGCACAGCCGGTGGCCCTAAAAACACTAGTGCTTGGGCTCCCTCAACAACATCTCGTCCTGATATCAAATTTGATTCAGGTGATTCAGCCGAAGTAGCTTTGCTTATCTCTTGTAGATTTCTCTTATGCCTTCCACTATTATAGAACTTTGTTCCTTCTGTTATAGTTCTGTTTATCTCAGAATCATATGAACTGTGTATCTCATATTCTGTGTATGACCAACCTGAAGTTCAAGATCACTAAGTCACTTCTATTGTGGATGTTAGATGGACGTTTTGATGATGACTACTTTCAAGAATCACATGAATCCAGCCAATTCAGACAGGAGTATGAGATGCGAAAAATTAAGCAGGCAAGTGATATTCTATCTTGTTGCAATCTTCTACTCTTTTGTTCACTTAAACATTGGTGGGTAATATATCACTTGTCTACTTGAGTATTCATCAGGAACAAGGTCTGGACATGATCTCTGAAGGTTTAGATGCTTTGAAGAACATGGCGTCTGATATGAACGAGGTGAGTTTGTTAAACTGCACCTCTTAAACACTTCCCTTATTCAGTACTGAGCTGAGATCCATGTCACGACCACTGCAGGAGCTGGATAGGCAAGTCCCTCTGATGGATGAAATCGACACAAAGGTATAACACACCACCTATTTCTTTTTTTGTGTCTTTGAATTCGTCAGTGATCTGAACTTTATGAACTCGCTCACAGGTGGATAGAGCAACCTCGGATCTTAAGAACACCAATGTTAGACTTAAAGATACGGTGAACCAGGTGATTTGAGTTTGAAAGCTTTTTCTAATACTCGAAGCTACATGGGTTGCTTTTGATTCCTAACATAAAAAGCATGGTGGTTTTGTTGCAGCTAAGATCAAGCCGGAACTTCTGTATTGATATTGTTTTGTTGTGTATTGTTCTGGGCATCGCTGCTTACTTATACAAGTAAGTTTCTCTCGTACGCATCAAATATAGTTATTCACTCTGAAAAAAAGAACCATCTTTAACCAAACAAACCTTTGTTCTATGTTCAGTGTACTGAAGTAATGAGATGAGCACGACGAAAGGAGCCATCAGTAATACTATCACCCGAGTCAGTGTCAGTGTCAGTGTGTGCTTGTATCTTACTTTTCTTCTCTGATCTTTCGGCGAGGGTTTCTTCTTAATGTCAAGAATATTGAAAGCCGTATCTTCCTGCATCGACTTTTTTTTCCATGTTGTTTGTGTCGTGTGCATAGATTCATCTTTGTCAAAATGTGCGTCAAACTAATAGTTGGCTGTTTCTGAAGTCTGCTCTTATTTTCCAGCGAAAATATGATTTTAATTATTCTTTTGAAAACAAGCCAAAATTTCTCGGGTGAAAAATACAATCAATTACATCATTTAGATTTATATTGTTGTCTGGTCTGGTTTAGGATTAAAACAAAATCTAGACATTGAAATGAAAATTTTTATCGTAAGGTCTAAGACTTATCCACAGCCCCAGAGAAGAACTTGGCTCTTTCATTTATCCAAGAGAAGGACGACTTTAATTGCTTCAAAGCTCAAAGGTGATTCTTATTCATTCCAACCCAACGCTCTCTTTAATTAAGGCAAAACAATACAGAGTAAGCTTAATAAACTAAGGAACCAAATCAAATCCCAGAATTTATCCTAAAACACCATAGAATAAACACAAGCATTCCAAATAAGGAATGATATAACGAAAAGAAGACACGTTCATCAGACAGTGGCAGCAATAACATTCACGAAAGTGTATCGGTCAAAAACAGTAAACACACGATCAATCCACTCAACATTCCCCGAAATATCAGAAGTATTGAGCTTTTGAAGGGCTATCTCCGCACAACAAATCCTTATGCAACTGTAAGGAACGTCAGCGTCCCGCATAACCTCCATCTTTCCACCATAATCTGCTAATCTAACATGCTCACTAAAACAGAGCTCGGGGAGGCCATCGAAGCCCTTCAAATCTCTCCACTGCCTTTCCTGAGAGTCGTACCATTTGAACGCTCCGTCAGCAGCAGAGTACAAAACACTCTCTATCTCGCAATAAGAATCTGAATGCTTATGTTTAGTCTTTAGATATCCGTTCGATCGGGGGAGTAGGAGGAGGACGCTTTCCACGCCAATGTTATAGATATCAAGAACCAACCGCCACGAGACTCGAAAATCGTACATCAGGGGAATGGGTAATTGGGACTCTAGCTAAAACATGACCACCTGATATCCTCTCCTTGCTGGTTAATTAGGGTTCGATCAGGTTTCCTGCAGAGGATGAACCAGCTAGGGGTCTTGTAAGGTTTCATTTTTTAACCAAACATGGATACAACTCCCGGTGTTTCCCAAGAGTGACCTGACCTTGTAAAGCACTAGTGAGGCTAGGAGAGATCGAAAGCTCTTGGGGACGAGTTAGAGTGAAGGATAGTACAATACTGGGACGCGTGCCACGATGGTCATTACCAAATCATCGGGAAGCGACTGATTTGACAGCTGCTTCTTCTTCATCTTTCGAGTTGATCAACCCTCTAGATTTTCTTTTACTTGGGGAACCAAAAAAAATACAAATTTAGGGATTGGCGGATATTTTTGTGTATTCCCGCGGCAATGTTAGTCTTTATAGTCATATATTGTTGGGCTTTTATGGGCCTTTGTGATCATTTATCTGGTTTAGGAACAAACAAATACTGTATAAAAGCCCATAACCACAGGAAAGAAGAAAGAAACAACAATGGCTGCTTGGCGACACTCATCCTGAACCCGAATAACCAGATAGAGGATGACTGCTCTCTTTCACCTTTTACTGTATATAAAAATATTATTGCAATGTACAATAAAAAGAAAAGATACAAAACCATCTTTCTCTGTTTTTCTTTCAAAAAAACAACAACAACAGATAGATATTCACACACAAAAGAGAGCCCTTAATCTTGTCAACCATCACTACTTAATTCACATTGACCAGACTCTTCTCATATCTCTAAATAGATCAATCTCCCATCCAGATGTCCTCAAAACTTTATCCGAAATGGTTTGATCTCGTTACTTTAACATCGCTACTGGAACATATCATTAACCTCTGCCTTCAGTTTCTTGATCCAGACACGCTCTCATCTATTGTCTCAACTGGTGGTTGATCCATCTGACTACTGTTTGGAAGTTCACCTGTCCTATGCCTTCTCCTCCATTTCGAAAACTCCACTAGACCTGTAGTTGCGCTCATCGTGAGTCCAAACCCAACCAATGTGGCTAAGAGAATGGACACAACCGGTTGCATGCGAACCTGCACAAGTATCACCGACATGGATTGGGAGTTAGAACACCAAACAGATTATCTTGTTCTGTTCTGACGTATAAAAAGACTCTCACCAACGTAAAGAATATGTGGGAGAAAAAAACAACAAGACCGAACTGAGTTGTGGCGTAAATCCAGACATAACTCTTCTTCACTGCACATTCATGACCCACATAATCAATTAAACTGATAGCTCGAGTACTTAAAGGAACTGTTCAGAAGTAAAGCTTTTGATGGGGAATTTTTTACTGTAAGCATTTCTTACCCATTGTTGTTGAAGTCATCGACGCAAGAAGACCAAGAACGCAGGAGAATGGTAAAGAAATTGCAATTGCACCGGATTTCATTTTCGTAAGCTGTAAATAATATTAGGACAAGACGGAAGGTGTTAGAAAAGCTTTACACTAAGAAGTATAAGAATCAGAATTCACTAAATCTTACCAGAAGCTGCTCGAGGAAACAGAAGTATGCAAGCATACTTACAATGACAAGAATTGGAACATCCTGCCATACACTGAGAGGACGAGAACAGGTCAATAATATACATTTTGAATATTTTCAAGAGGTATGGTTTTGACTTTGACTTGCCTGTAGTGTGAAGCCTCGGTATCTGCAGCTCCACGATTACCCTGAGAATTCTGCATGCGAAGAAGGGTGACAGGGAGATTCTGAACCTCTTGCTTGCACACATCGCATGTTCTGTTTCCTTTAATGGTGAACCATTTGATTGTACATTCTTTGTGGGCAAGAGCTAGTTCGCCTCTACACATACATTCCATCTTGAAGGCTTCTGAATCTTCTCCCAATTCGACCAGGCAGATTCTACACACAGCTTCTTCTTCAGGAACATCTTCAGCGCCATCAACATTCACGTCTGAAACATTCTACTAATATAAGGCACTGGGGTTGTTACAAGGATAGAACCAAATATCAAACTTTCATGCCTGTTGGAATTAAAAATCAAATGAAAAAAAAAAAACAAAAAAAACAAAGACCATTTCTAACCGTTAAGTGTAATAGAATTTCTGGTTGGCGTCATGTTTGGAGTTGGAATTACACGGAAAACACCTGCTTGCCTTAGACTTCCATCTTTATTGAAAGCAGGGACAGAGCGTGAACGATGAATAGGCAATGGAGGCCCTTTTTTCTGTTGAGAGAGAACAGTTTAAAAAAAAAGGCGGGTCAAACTAAAAATGAAGTAAAGCAGAAGATAGCCTGGTTAGATAAACTTATTTCACAAGCAAAAATGTATCACTTAAACATACTCTACTGAGACCAAGGTGTAATACGAGACAAGGAAATGTCCCTTGCCAATGATATAACAACAAAAAGCACAATGGAATCCACATGGGAACCTAAATGAATCGATCCATGAACATACTCACCGTGGAAGTAACTGGATCAACAACATATCTCCCGTGCATGGACTCAGGATTTGAGTGAGCTATAGGAGTTACAGGCAAGGACTCAGTTTTCTTCAATCTTGGAGTTAAAATAGTAGCTAGATTCCATGTGGACCTGTCTCTACCATTTCCTGAAGAAGGGGAGGACACAAAGGACAAATCTGCAGCTTTCTCGACATCTACATTATTGTTATTGCTGTTCCGGTTCTTGAAGCTTAACTTGGGGATTAGATTCTTCAGGCTATTAGGCTTGTTTCTTGGAGAGGAAGAAGAAGGACTCAGGGATGCACCACGTTGCCCAATTCGAGGGCTTGACATTGGAGAGAAGTTGACTCTTTTGGCAACAGGACTTGATGTTAAAGATGCATTTCGTCTTAGTAGATCATCTCTTGTATCTTCAGGTGTTCTTGATGGTAAATCTAGCACAAGGCCTCGCCTCCATAGGTCTCGACCTGGTGATAGCTCTTCTTCTGCTATCTCAGCAGACTCAACATCCTACAAATGACCAAGAAAGAACATCATTTCGAATTATAAAAACAAAAGGTTCGGTCTTTCCATCGAAAGACTCAGACTTTATATGTTTACCGAAGAACAAAGGATCTAGTAAACCCTAAACCCTAAAATCAATGGAGATTGATGAGATTCTGAGGATAACCAATCAAATCAAACCACCAGCAAAAAAAAGAATGAAATGAGACAATACCGTAAATTCAAAATACATTGAACATTAGATTAGAATGGAATGAAAGAGAGTGTGAAAGGTTCACCCTTTGGTTATCTTCGCGAGACTCATGTTTTTCTTCTTCCCGAGCTTTATCATCTCTACCATCCATCATCGTGCTAAGAAACGAAATCCAGAAAAATGCAGAGAGAAGAATCTCTAACGAAGAATCTAACTATCTAAGAATTAGAAAAAGTTTGATTATTTTTTTTCAGGAGAAATTTGTAGCCAAGAAACAAACATCAGGAACCCTTTGGAGGTAAAAGACAAGTCGTCTTCTTTCTGGGTTCCTGAAAGAAATTGAGATGTATGTGATCATTACATAGATTCAATTTCATTTTTTTAAGATATATCACCACTGTCCATTTCTCAGCTAAAAAGGTTATATTTGGTTCGAAGTCGAACTTACCAAATTAGTAAACCTTAACCATACGGCCCAATAGTAGAAGCGGATAAAAGAAAATGCAGGCCCATATAGTGTTATGTGGAGATTTAGCATCGAAAATGAAGGCTATGAGGTAAAAACAAAATCAAGAAGCACTTGAGTGACCATTACTCTGGGCAAAATATTCGTTAGATTCGCTTCGCTTCGATATTCGTTTCGATTCGATTCGAAAAATTCAAATATCTATAAGATATTGAACCGAAGCAAATATGAAAATGTAGTATTCGTAAAAACCGAAGCAAATAACAAATATTGATTTTCTTAGTGTCGAATATCCGCTTCGCTTCGTATATTTATATATATGTATAAATATAAATCATTATAAAATATATATATAATATGTGTATTTATAGATTTGGGTATGTATCTTATAGGCCTATTATTCAAATTATTATATTTTGGCCCGTTGGGTTTTTTTGCTAAATGTTGTTCTTAAACAAATAAAACTTTATTGGAAAAATCAATATTAAAAATAAAATGTGAGAATTCTACAGACGTGGTTACATTTTCTTCTTATTTTGAAAACATATCAAACAAAAACCTCTAATATCTCATATTTTGCATTTTATGTTTATGTACTATATGTTTTTAGTTTTTTAAAAAAAAAATTAGATGGGTCGAAGCGAAGCGAAGCAAATAATTCGCAAATATTACGAAAAATATTCGAAGTTCCGAATACTCGAAAATTTACGAATCGAAGCAAATAGCAAAATCAACTATTCGGTCGAAGCGAAGCAAATCACAAATATCACAAATTTTCCGAGTATTCGCTTCGTGCCCAGGGCTATCCTCTGAAGCTTTCTATCCACAAAGTCAGTCATTGTGGTCTGGTCGATGGGGTAGTCTTAAATCTTGACATAATATAAGGCACCGGGGTTGTTACACGGATTGAAACCTAAAAATACATCAAACTTGCATGTCTGGTTTAAACTTCTTTACACATCAGATGAGAAATTAACAATTTCTAACCGTGCTAAGTTTAATAGTATTTCTGGTTGGCCTCATGTTTGCAATTAGCTTTAGTATCACACTTTGTCTATCGTCTCCATAATACCGATCTTGTGTGTCTCCATGTTTTAGTATCTGTCATGTTGCCCACTATAATGATTCAGATGTCTGTGTTTACGGCCACTGTTCCTCTGCTACTGCAGCTCCAGGCTGGGCAACTAGCGAAATGAGAAACTACCAGTTTATTCTTGTATCCATCCATTGAGGAATACTCAAGGATTGCGACTGTGAATCCAAATGATTTCGAAATTTTCTATATTATGAATTGACAATCACACATTTTGTTGTTAACACACAAGGATCAAACATATGCATACTAATATATAGATGACAGTTGGTTCTTTCGATCCATACTCTCTTGTGGTTGCTATTCTTGTTCAGTTGTCTCTCCCTGTTGTCTGGTATTGTTCCCGCTTCCGCTGTTACCGTGAACTTTTATCTCCAAAAGCCTTTCGACAGGTTGCCTGCAAATAGGGCATCGATTTGTCTGAAACCTCAATACCTTAGCACATCCACTGCACATACACTGCACCACAAAACCAAACATTTTTTTACATCGATAGGTCCACTTGGAATCGTCAGCATCTACAAAAGGTGAGCGTACTTACCATATGTCGGCATGGTAGAACAGTGGTGTCTCGTGGTTCAGACAAACATATAACACATTCTTTGCCCGGGTCATTAGCATCATCAGCTGAACCATCGTCGCCCTCAACCGTATTCCCAATCCCATAAATTTCCTGCAACTCATATCTAGTTCCATCAACCCATAGTATCTGCTTCACCACCCTAAGCTTAATCTCTCCTTTATCTTTCTCATAAATCGCTTGAGTAATCTGGGCATTCTTCTTCGAATCTAACCCTTCTTCTGCATTCTCACCTGAAGCAGCTGCTTCTGCCTTAACTGCCAATGGATAGATATCTGTGTCTGTGGCCTTGAACAGCTCAACGTCCTCAAACGTGGAAAAGTCTATACCCGAACCAGATGATTGTTTAAACTTCTGACCGAGTCCTTTCTCGAAATCTAGAGTGATTGGTGGCAGAATATCCTCCTTAGTCGCTGTGAGATTGCAAGCTTCGGATTCTTTAGCAAAGAAAATGACACTAATCCTATTTTTTTCCACAAGTCCAACATAACATAAGCTTAGTCAATTAAGCATCAAAGGTTGCTTTTTTGGATATTTAAAAAAAAATTCAAACTCTCCATCTACTAGGATAGATAAAACTTAATCAAAGAAGTCAAACACTGCAACAAGAAGACCATAAATTTCAGCTATGGTCACGAGGAAGAAGACAGCTTCACGTGCTATCTGCTCTGATTATTATTATTATTTTCAAATCTATCACGAAATCAACGAAAGGGAGAAAGTGAAATCTACCTCCCGGAGACGGTTGCATCAAACGTGAAGGAGACGAGAAACCGACCCGGATGATCGGGGTCAGGTTCAAGGCGAAGACTCTCCTTCTTGAGATTAACATCGTTACGAATCGTGACGGCCTTCTGGTGTTCAACGTAGGGAGCCGGCTGAGCCATCATCATGGGACCAGCGTAAGGGTACCTCGCCATAGGGGACCAAGAGTGCTGGTGGTAAGGATGCGATGTATGATGAAGGTGGTGATCGTACGGCGGAAGAGGCGGCCCCGACATGGCACCCGGCTGAGGATTGTAGTAAGAATGAGGGTACTGGTAAACCGGATTAGAATTAGGGTTTGGATACGGTGTAGCGGCGGCGAATACCGGTTGGATATCTGTAGATGGAGGTGGCGGAGGAAGAGAAGGAGGAGGAGGAGCCGCCGGAGGATGCGTATGGTTTCGCCGGCGACGGTGGCGTCTACCTCCACCTCCGCTGCTGCTGCTGCTGCTGTTTCCCATACGAAATGATGATTGGTGGCGTTAAACCCAGATCAAAAAAGACAAGAATTTGGGGGTGACCCGAATGATCAATTCTCAGAAAATTTCGAACTTGGTGGGTGGATCAGAGAGATCCGGGGATTATTATTGAGTGAAATGTAAGGAATCGAAAAGCAAAAGCAAACCAGTTTTCTGATGAATTAAGAAAGAAAGAGTATATATATTTTTTAAAATAAAAGAAAAAGAGAGATAAGAGAGAATAATTTAGGGGAGGTGAAAGTGGGTAATGATGATGATGATGATGATGATGATGATGATGATGATGATGGGGTCAAGAGGGTTGGCCAAGAAGCTCCACTCATGAAGACATGAACATAAACACCACCACCCCTTCCTTCGATGGTGTTTTATGTTGTTGTTTACACAAGCTTCCTCTTTTTCTCTTTCTCTTCTTGTTTTTATTAATTGTTTGTTTATGATTCCGTTGATTAAGTTTTGTTTTGGAAATAAATATACAAATAAATATTTCAACAAAAGAGTTAAGGAGGGTGTTATAGGCTGATGACAAAATAAAATAGAAAGAAAGGTGTTATCTTTTTCATTACAAGACATTAATTACCGTGTTAGTTACTATGAAGCTTTTTTATAGGTTGCACATTATACTAGGATTAATTAATAATTTGTTCAACCTTTAAAGATGATTATTATATTTGTTTATAAATATTTCCTTATATTACTATCGGATCTCTTAAATTTGTCCAGATTTCTGTAAAAGATATGGCGAATGATAAAATCCAAATATTGTGTGAAGAAGTTTGTCGATCAAATTGAATAGTAGTTTGTATGATTTAAAAGGCCACTTGCGCTGTCCGGCGAAACGTATAGTGGACATTGTCTAACTTCCCCTTTCTAAATATTTATATTTGCTTAAATGTTTTTATTCTTTATTAACAAAGTAGTCTATATACTTTATTTTTAAACCTATAGTAAACCCTACTTTTTGCCAACATAATATTCTTATAATAGTCCGAAAGATGAACTTATATTTTGGAATACATAATCATAACTTGTTTTGTCGTCTTTAGATAATTGTGTATATTTTTGTTTAATTTAAAAACAAATTGGTGTATACTTTAATGTCTTGCAAAATTTAGTGGTTTCTTCAAAAGCATAGGCCATGCTGACCAACTATAAAAGAAGTTTATATAATTTCCAAAATCATAAGCTGAAATTACTATGAATTTTAGAGTCATGACTCATGATCACACCATTAGCTAAAAACCTCACAACTCACAAGCAAACAAAGAATTCAAATAAAAATAAGTATTTCTTCAAAGGAGGAGAGTAATTAAGTGATCATCTTTATATCTTTTTTATACATATATTCAATTGCCGAATAAAATTGTAGTTACCGGATGTCTGATATATACGTGAAATCGCATGTTGTTGATTACAATGATATCAAGGGTTTTTTTTTTTTAGGGAAATTATAAACTTGATCATATAATGTACATATACACAACATTGTGAAACAATCTAATTATGCGAAGAAGGTATAGTGCGATTCGAAATCAAAAAAGATAAATAAACAAGAGAATCACATACCTAACCACTCGCACACACTTTCATCAAGGAAAATATAAATAAAAAGATATATATCATTAATAGAATATTTAGTGGGAAACGGCAGACAGGAGAGGACTTTAGATGCATCAAGTTGGATACGGATTACTTTTTCTTTTCTAACTATGTTACTAGTTGTGACTCATGTTATAATTAGTCTTTCAAATCAATCCATTTTATTCATTTATAAATTATATATAGATCTATGATCGTGACATAAATATGTATATAAATAGTAAACTATGTAGTTTTCTCTGTCGATGCATTTTTGAATATATCAATTTAGACGTCGAACGTATATAATTAACATCTTCCAGGAATACCAATGTAATGAACTAATGTACATGTCAGAAGATTTTCTTAGGATTAAGTCACTAAAATAGATAGATCGAAGTCAGGTGTAATCTTAACTAAGAGGAAGTAAAGTCTGTTTAGACCCTTTGCAGTGTCTTCATGTGTGTGCATGATGATGATTATAGCCGATCATTTTAGCTGTGAAGTCCTTAGCAACGTGTCACGTGCTATCCATGAATCCATGACCTGAAGCCAAATACTATAACTTCATTTTTTGTCGTTTCCTCTGAGCAGACTGAGCTTATGGCTTTACCCTATTAAACAAGATTCAAGATTTGTATTTGAGTGGAATATATACATGTTTGATCTTAGATATATTTGTGTGATCCTTATCGCACGCAACGAGGAAACGATATATATATACTCCTATATCAATGAGTCATGTACATGTGCGTAAAAGTGTAAAACATCCCAAAAAGAGAGAGATGGTTTCCAATTTTGTTACAAAAGCTGTTTTTCTAAGAAACATATGATTCATGCAGTAGTAGGGTTTTTTTAATCTTTGTTTTTCTTATTAAAGGATCCTGATCATCAAATTAAAGGACAACTATATAGTCTATATTACTATCATAGAGAGTAGATATTGTCATGTGAATTTTGTAGTCTGACGACATATAGTGTGCATGATCTAATTAGTAGCTAAACGTTAGTTGACCATGGTTATACAATCACTAGCTACATAAAAAGATTATGTTCATCTAACAAAGTAGACCAAATGTGTGCATAAACTAATTACTTAGCTAGATGTTTGTTAAAAAATTGGTTAAATTCAAATATATACAAACACTATACAAAATTAAAAAGAAGCTCTGCTTCTTCCTCCCCCTCTCTTTTGGCTTCTTATTTTAGATGTATCTCTTTCCCTTTCTAGTATCTTTTGACTTTTGTATAGAAAAAATCAGAAAATTGGTATAAAATTTAACTTTTTACCAAAAAAAAAAAGAAAAAAAAATTAAAAGAAGCGGTTCATCAAATTATTTAATTTTCCTCATTAATTCCTACAAACAGCTAATAAAACAAATTGATCCTATAAAACAGCTACGAAAACAATTGAACTATAAAAGATTCATCAAACAATTTTGAAGTTTTTTTGCTGAGATCGAACATTGTAATTAAATTAATCAAATTTAAAAATTTTAATAGTAATATTACTTATCCACAAAAAAAAAAAAAAGGAAAAAAAGCTAGAAGATCAGTGCATCTCTGGTGAGCTGTTCTAACCAGTTTGCAAGTTCCGACATAGTCGGTCGTTGGTTAGGATCATCCCGTACACACAACTCCGCCATGTCAGCAAGTTTCAATAACGGTTCAACGTTTCTCGGCAACGCAATATACTTATCCAAAATCCCCGCCCCTTTGCCTTCTCTGATCACCGGAGCCGTCCAGTTAACAATCTCCGGCGGATCACAGTCCCTGTCATGACGTTTCCTTCCGGTTAAAATCTCTAACAACACAACCCCAAAGTCATAAACATCTCTTCTGATGTCCAAGTTCTTCTCGTTCGACGATGTCACTAGCCCAAAATCCGCAACTCTCGCTACCCAATCCGAGTCCAAAAGTACATTCGAAGACTTCACATCGCCATGAACGATTCTCGGCTCAGCTTCGTTGTGTAGATACTCGAGACCCTTTGCGGTTTGCATTGCGATTTTCATCCTTATGCTCCAATTCAACGGAGAAAACCCGCCGTGTAGGTGGTCGTGAAGGGTACCGTGAGGCATGTACTCGTAGACAAGAAGCCTCTCTCCCATTTCCGTCGAGTAACCGAGGAGATTCACAATGTTGCAATGCCTAATGTTGCAGAGAATCTCTAATTCCGTCTCGAACTCTCTTGTGTTTGTGTGGATTATGGTTGCTGCGTTTGCTCTCTTAACTGCTACTTGCCTCCCGTCAGCTAACACGGCTTTGTAGACAAACCCGTAGCTTCCTCTTCCTAACTCATTGAACTCTTTAAACCCGTTGGTCGCATCTTTAAGCTCAGAGAGCCTGAACACTTGGGCAAAAGGTGTCACCGATGGAGCAGGGGAGATATGTTCAAGCGGCTCGGTCTCTAAATCGGGCTTTCCTATGCAAGACTTGAACTGATTGGCAGCGCCGTCATCTTTATTAGGACTAGAGACAATCCGCGGCACGACGCAGCAACCGATTATGATGATCAATAGAGCGGATGCGCAAGATCCGATGATGAGGACAAGTCTCTGTAGTTGATGCCAATGCTTGTCAGGAAAATTGCTGTTATGAAGCTTACATATGTCTGAACAAGAACTATTTTGACAGAGCGAGCAAGCTGTGCAGATCCGATCAGAGTTCGGGGTGCACGAACTAGACAAGAAAGATCCGTGAGAGCAATCAGAACCGCAAGGTGAACAGACCATTAACTCTTTCCTCACACACAAACTCGTTAGGTCAGGTTCGTTGAGTATACTTGCGTTGAAAGCAAACTCTCTTTCGTTACACGGGCCAGCTCGACACGTCCCTGGACTGCACAGCTCCAAAGGAGGATCGTAAGCCAACGTTGATGACCCGTTAACCATCCAGCAATCAAGAACAAGATCCTCTTCTCTGATACCACAAACAATGAAATCAGATGAAGCAATTGCTTTGAATCCAGAACCTTTTGGAATCAATGAAAAATTCGAGTTTCCCCAACATTCAGCTTCATGATTATCCTCACGGATTCCACAGAAATGGCGAGGACCTGCGGTTAAGGCGACGAATCGAGAATCATCCCTAGGGGAATTGACGAAAGATTCATCTTCTCCCCAACATTTCACCTCCAGGGATGAGTTTAGGATCGCGCAGAGTGAGTTTTTCCCGGCGGCTAAGACTTGGAAGTTATCAGAAGTCGTGTTAAACCCTAAATGAGAAGAATTGGGGCCAAAACAGAGCAATCCACCATCTCTGATTCCACCACAGCTAAAGCCATCACCAGAAACGATGTTGTTGAAGACGAGATTACTAACAATCTGATCATAGAAGTTTGGATTCTCACTGGCCACTAAGCTGTTGTTATTCCTAGTTCTTGTTATGTCCCAACAGTCGACAGTTCCAGAATCGTGATCCGAATAGTAAGCTCCTCTAACTGCACAGACATGGCTGTTTCCAGCAGCGATCTGAGAGTAAGCAGTAGTCCTGTAAGCTAGAGGAACAAGATCCATACCTGAAGAAGAACCAAGTGAACTGAAACAAAACGCCTGAGAAGTGTTCGATAGGATGCCGCAGAGAAACCCGTCTCCGCCTGAAAGAACCGCCATGGACGGAATGTTGTAACTTGCGGAAGCGGAAGAAGGAAGAGATGAGGAGGAAGAAGAAGAAGAAGAAGAAGGAGAAGAAGGAGAAGAGTAGTTTTTGCCCCAGCAGATAACATCTTGACGGCCACTAGCGTCAATGGCGCAGAAGAAAGCAGAGGAGCCGAAAGAGGCGGCAATAGGGCCGGAGGATCCGAACCCGGATCCGGGTGTGGAGAGAAACGGGAGAAAGAGAGAGAGAAAGAGGAGAAAGTGATGGGTTTCCATTGGAGGTGAACTGAAAGGAGAAGATTGACACAAGCTGCCATTTGACAGTGTGATGGCTGACGAACAGGAACAGAGAACGTGGGTGGCGTCCTCCACCAAACAAACAATAAAATGTTTCTATATTTATATTGGATTTGTTGGATCTCTCTATTCTATCTCTTTCTCTCTCTCGTCTAGAATCAATATTTGTATACTCTTAAGTTACAGTGACGACCGACTAAACCATTAAAACTTGCATGCAGGTAAAATGCAAGTTTCTTTTCATGACTGTTCAAAGTTTTTTCTTTTTGACATATTCTCTTGGTAGAAATCGCATTACAGATGATAATAAACGAAAGGCATATGTATATTTCTAAAAAGAGAAAAAAAAATCTAATGAATTTTGCATAAAGGGGGACAAGAAGATCTAATCCGAGCGATCCCATGCCATGTCAACTTCTTTTTTTCTTTTTTCTTTTTTAATGTTGGGAGAAGAAAACAAAACTCTTTTCAGTAGAGCTCACCGTCATGATCAACTTGTAGACGTATATGAAATGGATAATATATTTTAGGTGAAAAATAGAAACAAAACAGGTAGGTGAGCGTGAGAGTCAGTAAAATAATTTCCATGCAAACGACTGAAAAACTTGAATTTATGGAGCAAAGGATGTGTGGGGTTTTATATTATTAAAGTTCGGCGTTTTTGGTGCATATAATTCCAAAATCCCTGCCTCGGAGCTGTAAACACAATGTAGATCCTTTTTGCAATCTTCTAATGTTTTATTTACTAGTCTATTTGATCGCCTTACCTTTTTATTGATCGTTTTGTCTTTGACCCCCTTTGAACATTTGCAAAACTCTTTTTTTTTTTAAGTGTGTCTGAGAGTGTGCGTGTCTTCAATGATAGCATTTTGTGCATTGTGATTTGATGGTAATTGAGATTTAGCTTGTGTGGAACAGAGAAATAAGAAAAGCATTATTATTGAAAAGACTTTGAAACTGAATGGTCAAAACTAGTTTATGAGCTTATCAAAACGTAAAACCTACCAAGAAAGTTTAATAAAAAAAAACAAAAACAAAAAACAAACCAAAGCACTAAAAAGGTAGAGACCATTTTTTTGTGGGTGAAGAGTTATCTCCATCCCCTCTCAGACGAAACATCTGATGCAGAGTTGATTCTTTCTCAATATTGTAATCAGCTAAAGTGCTCCAATCTTTAAGCTGTTTTCCAGCAAATATCAGCTTCTGTCGTTCAAAAGGAATTTGTTGCTTGACTTGGATCTTAGATTTAACATTAATAATGGTGTCTGAGCTCTCAACTTGCAGGGTAATGGTTTTATCGGTGCGGGTGTAACAGCAATAGGTCTTAACGAATATCTGCATACCACGGCTAATACAAGGTACAATGCGATGGACAAGTTTGAGGGTTGACTCGTTCTGGATGCGGTAATATTCAAGAGTACGGCGATCCATGAGCTCTGTATGGAGAAAAAGCAGTTTCTGCTGGTCCGGGGGTAAATTTGCCTCATCTTGAATCTTTGCCTTGACATCGCCAATCAAGTCAAAGCTCTCAACCTCTAGGGTAATAGTTTCAGCGGGAAGGAATTCGTCGTCAAAGGTCACGAATATCCGTATACGACGGGGATAACGAAGGACAAGGTGAAGTGTTGACTTTTTCTGGATGCCGTAATCCACAAGAGTTAGGTCATCCTTGAGCTGTTTACCGAGAAAGATCAGCCTCTGCTGGTCTGGAGGGATCCTTTCTTTATCTTGGATATTAGCCTTGACGTTACCGATAGTGTCTGAGCTGTCAACCTCGAGGGGTAAGGTCTTCCCCGAAACATACTTCACAAAGATTTGCATACCACCTCTCAATCTTAGAACCAAATAGAGAGTTGAGTCTTTCTGAATGCGTGGGAGATTTGAGTAAGAGAGGCTTGAAACTAAATTTTATAACTGAAAAATTGGATAATCTCTAATTTTGGACTTTAGTTCAAATGTCTTTATCTGTTACTTAAAGTAATTTGATATACATAATGTGTTTATCGCTTTAGTTAGTTATTTTACAAAATAATTAGATATACATAATGTGTTTATCGCTTTAGTTAGATATTTTACAGACATATCCCAAATTTGAACAAAAACTGATGGGCGTGCACCTCAATTTCGAAGGTTCTAGCCTAGGGGGGTGGCATCTAAAATCGCTTTAGACTTTCGTGAATAGCTAGTTTATAGACATTAATTAGAGTAATCAAATTTTGCTTCTTCAATAATCCAGTCTCCTCCAAAAAACATTCCACCATAAACATTAGAGATTTTATTAAGTTTTGAAACCGGAAGACAAAACTCACTCATAAAAGTTGCCCATCATAGAAATTTGAAGTCCATTCTTCTAATATGTGTGGTCATGATTAAAACTCATGTAAGCAGACTTCTTGCCAGATGCTCCCGAGCTGTTGCTAGCGCTTGAGTTAGTGTCTGCAATTCCAAATATGTAAACAATGCATCCAAATTAGAAGTGAACCTTTGAGTTTATCGCCAAACCAGACCAACATTGTAGCAAAACCTATTTCCAAGACTATTGCTTTCTTCATAGGAAGCTGTAACAATAATAGTCAAAAGTGTCATTACCTGTTCAGAGAGTGAACCACTAGCTTCTGTGCTCTGCATTGCTACTTTCCCCGCAATGACGTTTGGATCCGTTTCAAGAACCACCCTTCAAACATTATCCATGATTAATAAGCCATAATCAAACAATAGCTAAATGGTAATGTATATACGAGAAACTCGAAAAGAGATTCAGCAAATCTTTTTAACATGCTTTAGGGACTTTTTCTATAACTGTCGCGTAGGAAAAGGTATTAAACTTGCATACCCCTGGTCGACCATTTCATCAAGGCACAGAAAGATGAGATCCAAGTTCTCAAGGGCTTCCATCTTTTCGACATTGCTCCTGGCAAATAAAAAGGGATGCATCGAACTTTAGTTGTGGAGATCGTTAATCAATAAATAAAGGCATATCCAACTACAGAAAATACCTCAGAAGAAGTGAAACAGCATCAAAAAAGCCTTGAAGAACAGAAGATAAGATAAGCTCGTTTTCATTTTCACCTCCAGTAACAAAGAAATGAAGGTCCTGGGCAAACTTATAAACTATGATATTATTGTCCAACAGTGTGATCTCAGCTGCACATAAACGTTAAAATCATACATCTATAAGCGATTTGAAAGAGACAGTATGTACATAAAAGGTCAGGAAACATGGAAAAAGTAGTGTAGATGAATCATATATCTGGTCTTACCTTCTGTGCGAGCATTGGTCTTAGAGGTCTTTGAGAATACATATTTCTCAAAACTTAACTTGGCAGCATTAGTAGACCACTCATCTGAGTAATACTTGACAGCCACACGCTTTCCTTCAGAGTCTAGAAGAAGAATGTTCTTTACTAAAGGACATGAATCCTATTCAATGTAAATTGGCAGGTCAGTAATTAAGTTCCAGGAGAGAAGTGAAGTAGGTTATCCAAAAAAGATCATGTAGAGTATAGTCAAAATCATACAAAGCTATATCAGTTACTTAGCATCTATTGCTCAAAAAAGAAATGCCATCCATACATGTGCTAAGAACATTTTTTGACAAGGAAAAATAGAATGGCTGTTCAGCAGATAGAATCCAGATTCCGATAATAGAAACAGCCAAACAGGTATCTACCAGAGAAATAGTCACAAATACATGTTGCACCTAAACAGAACCTTGATTAGCCACTATAATGTTTCTTTCAAAACAGTCATAAAACGCACTTCTCAAAAAATTTGTTCGCCACCAAACAGAAGTAACCACAGTAATTAGAGATAAACCAAGGAGTTTTCCATCAACAAGGCCTCTCAAGTCACACAAAATTATTATTAGTAAATGTAAAGTAGAATATAAATGTCTAGAACCAAAGTTCACTAATATCACACTCCAAAGTATTACATGATGGTCGCATATCATAAGCACTATCTTATGGACTGCATTACGGATATTGATCAGTATGATTGCAGCAACAAGGAAACACACGTACACATAAAAGAAAAGTAAAAATTCTTACAGAATACGATATTCAGAGAGATGTAATGCATGTGTACTTACATGAGACATAGTTGTTAGACTTCAGATGTACCTGAAATAGTGAATAGTTAGCTGTTAACACCGTTACAAACACAAAACAAAGTATTTAAGCAACTAAACAATCAAATTTTCGATTTTTGTCAACATATTAAAATTTCCACCTACACTTATTTAAACAGTCATTCTAGTCACCAGTAAAAATCTCAAACACAAGAAGAAAAGGGAAAACGACATTTTCCACAAAAACATCCTAAAATCTAAGTTATTCCACATGAGTATATAATAATTTCAAATGTGACATTCTGTGTATAGTTAATGTAATATAGATGATGCACAGAACAAGACAGCTAAAGAAAGCCACCCATTTCAACCAGCGATCACACAAAGATAAAAATGGAGATTAACGTGATGGAACAGGCACACAGAGAAATGAGAATCACGGATCGATAGATAACATCATTAAGCAAAAGAAGAAATTTCATCGGAGATTTACATAAGCGAAGCAAAATATGCACAGATCTCTACAATGTAGTCATAATCAACAGAGAAAACGCAAATCAAGCCCATCCGTTTAACAAAAGAGAATGAACTACGATTGAAGAAGATCTCAAATAGCAATGGATCAAGGGAGACAGACGATCATCGGAATACAAGATCGGAGACAAAGCAATTGAGGATTCAAATATCAAAAGCGCAGGATCGAAACGTCAGAGCTAAAACATAAGAAATCGGAATTACCTTGAATTAAGATGACACTGCTTACTATCAAACCAGTAGTAGTTATCCGGATCCTAGATCTGAATTGGAAATGGATCTAACCGGCCGGTTTCACAATTTATTCATATCCGGTTTGGTATGTATTTTTAAATGTTTCTTACTGAAATCCTTTTCCACGTGGAAATTAAAGCCTTTAAGAACAATAGACTGACCGCCGTTTCATATTTATGTACACTAACTTTGTGCCGTTGTAAGTTCATTGGAATTTCTGAGAAACTACAAGGCGTTAAAAGAAATGTTCTCTTCTCTGTGGAGCTGGAGAAAGTATAAATGTTAATCTTTTTCAGGTCCAACGCAGCAAAAAGTCTCCTCTCTGTCTCTTTCCTCTTTGCGTCCTTCTGAGGCTTGAAGCGATTACCATGGCAGCATTTCTCGCGAGACGGCTTATCGGTAACCGTTCGAGCCAGATTCTCGGTACTTCGAGCTCTAGCTCCGGTGCGTTCATTTCTGTTGCTAGGGCTTTCTCCTCCTCCACCACCCCGATCAAAGCAACTCTCTTTCCTGGTGATGGGATCGGTCCCGAAATCGCTGAATCTGTCAAACAGGTGCCTTTTTCTCAATCTACTCTGGTGTGATGTAATTATGCTAGCAGATCACTATAATGTCTGTATTATTTGAGACTCGTTAATGGAGATATATGAATCTATAGGCTTCTTGAATTCGAAATTTTGTTCCTTTGGTTTATAGTCTGACAAATGTTTTTCCCCTTTTTATGGTGATCCAGGTGTTCACTGCTGCTGATGTGGCCATTGATTGGGACGAACACTTTGTTGGTACTGAAGTAGATCCTAGAACCAATAGTTTCTTGACATGGGAAAGTCTTCAATCTGTGCTTAAGCACAAGGTCGGCTTGAAAGGACCAATGGCTACGCCAATTGGAAAGGGTCACCGTTCTTTGAACCTTACTCTTAGGAAAGAGCTTAATTTGTATGCCAATGTTAGGCCTTGCTACAGTCTTCCTGGGTACAAAACTCGTTATGATGACGTTGATCTCATTACCATTCGTGAAAACACTGAAGGAGAGTACAGTGGCCTCGAACACCAGGTTAGTCTGTTACTTTAATCATTTGAATAAAACTATATTTAGTATCATTTTCAGAATCATGTTGATAATTTGTCATTTTGATTTGCTAGGTCGTCAAGGGCGTGGTGGAAAGTATTAAAATTATTACCCGTAAGGCGAGTATGAGAGTTGCCGAGTATGCCTTTCTATATGCCAAGACTCATGGAAGGAAGAAAGTTTCTGCAATTCACAAAGCTAACATCATGCAGAAAACTGATGGCCTTTTCCTGCAGGTCTACACATTTTGGATTGAAATCAGAATACATTAACATTCCTGCTGGCTTCTTTTTCTTAACTTTTGTTTTGAGACTAGGCTGTGTTTTCGTCCTGTTTTTCAGTGTTGTGATGAGGTTGCTAGGAAGTACCCTGACATAGAGTACGAGAAGGTTGTTATTGACAATTGTTGTATGATGGTAAGTTACAACATGAAATTTACTCTACCCTTTCTTCTGAATCATGTAAAATGTTAACTACATTAGTTGTTGGTATAATCTTGTTAATGTTGGAGAATAGGTTACCCAGCAACCCATACCTGGGTCTGTGTCCCGCTATTTGTACAATTGGAAACAAAATGCTTTCTTGCATTGTGGAATATGGGATTGACAATCTTAATTCCTGCAGCTTGTGAAAAACCCAGCACTTTTTGATGTTTTGGTGATGCCAAATCTCTATGGAGATATTATCAGCGATTTGTGTGCTGGACTTGTTGGGGGACTAGGATTGACTCCTAGGTATCTTTCGTTCCTTCATCTTGCAGAATGATGGTCTATTATGAATATGAGGCAGTTATCTTAAGCTCTTATGATGTTTTGGCTGCAGTTGTAATATCGGAGAGGATGGCATCGCCCTTGCTGAAGCTGTTCACGGCTCTGCACCTGATATTGCTGGAAAGGTTAGTAGTCCTTGAAGCTGCATCATTCTCATATGATATCAGCATCCTGAATTTGTATGATGCCTTTAATTTTTGTTTTATGAATAAAACGAGTTGGACAATGCGCTGCATCTTTTGACCAAACTAAGTGAATTTAGTCTGACTACATAAACCAAGTATGATATAACTTGTGCTCCTGAGAGAAGATTTTACACCTCCCTCTCTGCATTTTCTTGGTAGAACATTCAGATGCTGAGACTTTCATTGTAGATGGGATTATTGTCTGGTTTATATTCTAGAACGGTTCTTGTCGGATCATCATTACTGGAATGATGTTATTAGATGGCCAACTAAGTATTTAGGGTTAACGAGTCTAATCTATAGATCAAGTTTCAAACATCTCTGGACAGTGGATTTAAGATTTTATCAGCCCAATGTTCATAATCAAAACTTGACTTGATCTTAAGCTTATGGTCCAATGTATTTTTATTTGTCTTTTGCAATGTTTATAGAACCTGGCGAACCCGACAGCTTTGCTTCTGAGTGGAGTGATGATGTTGCGGCACCTGAAACTAAACAAACAAGCAGAGCAGATCCACAGCGCCATCATCAACACAATAGCTGAAGGAAAGTACAGAACGGCTGATCTTGGAGGTACCTCAACGACAACAGATTTCACAAAAGCAATCTGTGATCATCTCTAAACACCCGTAAAAGCATAATTCTTTCTATACTTACTCATTCACCATTGGATCTTTCTCGTGAATCTTCTCACTCCAAAAATTTTCCACCTACTGATCATCTTCCAAAAGCCAAAACAAAGCAGGCTATTGGCTTTTCACATTATTGATTTTTGTTTTAATTTACATGCTAAGTTGTTGCACAGCTATTTACTGGGGTGAGATCCATAACAACAGGAAGGTATTTTTTTTGGTAACACATTTACAATTTGTATCTTGCCTGAAGTGGTTGGCATTTTGTGTACTCTTATTCTTTATGAATCTTCAACGAAAATAATGGTGAATGTCGTCACGTTTGCTCTCTCGTGAATTGTTTGCCATTATCATATTTATGTTTCTCGGTGAATTTTCAAACTAAGAACGAATGGGTACACCCATGGGCGGACCCACATGTCCTATGGTGGGGGCAGCTGCCACCAGCAAAAAAAAAAAAAAAATACATTAAAAAATTATTAAATATTAGAAAAAAAAAAATTTGATCCCACTAAATTTAAAGAACAAAACTTACTCTTCCTTCTTTTTTTTTTGCCCCTACCGAACAAAAGCCCAATATCAAGTTATCAACCCATATAGCAAACAAAAATATTAATATATAAATCTAAAATAACTAACTTAATAAATTAAAGACCTAGACCTATTTTGTTGTTATTTTTTTTCTCCTATTCTTTTCTCCTCTGGTTTTTTTTGCTGTACACGACGATTAACAAGTGCAAGTCAACAAATATCAATTGGTGAGTCTTTTTCCTGCTTTTTTATAGAAATTATTATAGTGTGATGTAACATTATTACTGTAGGTTTTCTAAATTTTTAACTAATAACATGTTTTTGTTTTATAGCTAAATCACCAATATGAAAAATTTTTACAAACCAATTCCTAAACCAGCGCCACACTCCAATATCGATGATCAACCACGGGATCCAGCTAACACCAATGTTGATGATCAACCACTGGATCCAGCTAACACCAATGTCGATGATCAACCATTGGATCCAGATAACACCAATGTCGATGATCTGCCTTGGGATCCAGCTAAGAGAAAAGAGATAGTGAGTTATCATCCGAATCAAAGAGACGAGGTAAGACGCAAATATCTTGTTAGAGGTCCATGTCAACCTTCTGGTCATTCTTTTAAAAGAACAAAGATGAGTAATGCAACAAGACGATTTAATCCAGCTTGGTTTGAAAAATACGGTACTTGGCTAGAGTATAGTGTATCAACAGACAGAGCTTTTTGTTTGTGTTGCTACTTATTTAAAGGTGACGGACGGAAGCAAGGTGAGAGTGATGCATTTGTGAAAGAAGGGTTTATATGACAATTTTATGTTTTTCAATAATTTAGTTTTTGATGGTTTTTACTATATTTTGCCCCTGTTGAATAAATTTTCTAGATCCGCCCCTACTGACATGTCAATCTGCCCATCATGAAATTACAAGCCTGTTGGAGTAAAATATTTGATGAAAAAGATATACCACTCCCAATCCCTGAAAAGTGAAAACTACCAATGTCAACACATTGACACTTGTACAAGTACACAACGTGGATGTTTTCAGGACTAAACAATTCCACCGACACATTCTTATATCATTTCCTCTTCAATTGGGATTAGCCGTGAACTGAGCTATTATTAATATATGCTTGTCTCATCGTGTTTTTTACTCCCTCTTCTTCCTCTGCGAGGCGAGTTCCAGAGGACTTTTCAACGTATGTTGACAATTTTCTCAAAGTGGGTTGGTGGGATTGGGACTTATATCTGTAACATACAACAAAACTACTGCTATTGTTATCAAATTATTGTGTTATACATTGCAAATTCCAATATCTTATTTAATCACAATGATGGACACTGCGGTTTCAAAGTTTTTATTATCTTACTTAGTTATAATGGTTCTGTTCTCTCTACACTAAACATGTATTTAGTACTACTTCTATACTATTAAAAGGGGAGCACTTTTTGTAAGTGTTGCCAAACAGAATTAAAAATTCGAAATGAAATAAAATGTAATCTCAACCATGTAGCCAAACAGAATTAAAGACAGCAAAAAAATAATTTAAAAATAATAATAATAATAATAACAATCTATATTATTTCCATAATATAGATTTGGTTACCATAAAATTAGACAATTAAATTCGAAATTAAACATATTTCATCTAAATTATATATTTTTTTGATATTTTTAAAAACAGTAATTTATGTTTATAAAATTTAATAAAAAATTTATCATATATTTTAGAAAAAATGATATTTTAGGAAAAATAAAAAGAAAAAGAAATATGTAATCTTAAATAATAATTACATTTTATGTAAACTTAAAAGTTATATAATCTTAAAAACTAATTGCATTTTACGTAAACCCAAATTTGTAGTCAAATACCCTTAAAACATATCTATCCAATATTTTTTAAAGAAATTCAGATTTTAAAATTGTAAAAATC